TTCATGTGCAACTGAGAGATCGATTAATTGCAGGAATTAACATACCGAGTTTGGAAAGAGAGCTGTTAAAAATGCCAAACTGTTCCTTTCAAGATGCTAGAACTGCGTGTATTAACTACGAAGCAGTCAATGAACTTGATATCCAGTCGATGAAGATTTCTAATACTTTGCTTAGTCATCGTGATGAACTACAATCTCAGGGTCAATCAAACTTGCGTCCATTTAACAGTGATTCCTATTCTCGTGTAAATATGAAAGGTGCTTCAACGAGGAATTACAAAGCAAATCACAAAGGTGAGATGAAGTTTGGTAAATGTTTATCATGTGGAAAGTTTCATGCTCGCAATTCATGTGTATTTCCTGATGCTAAATGTTTTACATGTGGTGAGATAGGACACATTCAGTCAGTATGCAAATCTACTGTCCATTTTGCTTCAAGCTGTACTAAATCTTGCAATTTAAATTTCAATAATTCGGATGTTTCTAATGATCATTTATCTTTATCAACGATTTCAAAAGACAGTGCAGAGTCATATGGCAGTTCAGAGTTAGATGAAATCCAGAATTCTTGTGAGACAACAGTTCCTAATGAAATTACTTGCAATATTGAGGAAAATATGTTAAATGAACCTAATCATGATCGGAAACCTGATATTGTTTGGATAGATGCTGATTTTTCTAACGATCCTACGCGCTGCAATGACAGTCCTAATGAATTTCATGAGAATATTTCAGAAAAATCAAATCCTGATGTCATATCATATATTACCTCACCTCATAATGCATTTGATCCTTTTGAAAAACCTGCTCAATGCGAAGCACGAGTACTAAGTGGCCTCGAGTTTGATTACATTTCGGATGATTTCATATCTACTGCGGTTTACCCTTGTCACAAAAACAGTTCTAATGTTTACTCTAAACAATGTGAGAAATATGTTCTAAATGAAGCCACATTATTCATAACTTGGGGATATAAAGATCCAACATTATTTCGTGGGGGAGGATAGTGTTGAAAAATCTATGGTTCGAATTCTAGATATTAATGATTTCATTACAAAACCGACATGCTGGTTGTATACAATTCCAGGTGAGTCTGTTCCAATTTCGTTTGTTAATTCGAATACTAATGAGCACTTTCTAGATACTACAAAGTTTTTATCTTATACAATGTCGGACAGACTCAGGATGAACTTAACAAGAAGACGTACAACCGATTACAAACACTTATACTTCTATTTAAGCTGGGGAGGATGTGGTGTTGTACGAATGATTCTGTCCGTTAAATAAGTTGAGAAATGACTTAAGCAAATTGGTTGTGAACAAACTCAATTGCACGTGGGCTGCTATAGACTCTTACTTTCAGTTACCTTCTGTTATAATAACAGAACTCTAATATATCTCCTAACTACGTCTACTGATCACAGTGATATTGTCATCATGTGATTTGTCTGGATATATATCTCGAACTATAATTATCGTGATTGAAATTATTAACTACTCATAATTAAGAGCCATGAAACCAAAAGAAACTCAAATACGCCAATTCCTGACGATTTAAGTAACGTCCGGTATATTTGTCTTGTGTGTGTAGATTATACTTAAAGTATTATTACATTAATGTTTGGGCGTGAAAACTTTATCATCGTTTTTGGAATTGATATATTTTTGGTCCACCACATGTTTCATTGCAGATTAGCAATCATTCAAAAAGTGAAATCCAAAAATAACATCCGTAAATTAGGCTAATTCACAAAATTACTAGTTTCTTTATTTAACTTTACCTTTTAAATACTTAAACAAAGATCAAGTCATTCCCTTATGTTTTCATTCAATATAACTAAACAAAATAGCTACAGAATTAACTTAACAATCTAAGATATTCACTACTGGTTGATGACGAATAATGAATTATTTTTTTCGTATCGTTGAAAATAAACCACCTGAGCCACTTATATACTCATAATATGACTACTGTCCAGTATTTATCGCTTTGAACAAAACTAATATTTTTTTCGTCCTTGAATTATACCGAGAAAAACTATGCAATTGTGGCAGTGGTCATACTCTGTTTCTTTGGTTACTCTTACCAATATATTTCTCCAATAACATTGTTCATATATGAGTAATTCACGTCAAATTCTGACATTGAGTTATGATTTTGACGTAAGCAGTTCCTGTGCAATTCGAGTGGGCTACCAATTTTCAACACTGATCACCCAAGTTAGTGAATTACATTTTGTTCACTATTTATATGGTGGGATTGTCTGTAATAAAGTTACTAATGTGTTAATTGAATGATAGCTAATGTATTCTGTGATGTTTCAAATAACCTAGAAGAATTTTTCGTTCACGTCTACAGGTACATGGTAGATAGTTGCGAACTAAACTGCTTTGTCGGAAAGATATTGCTGATGTCACTATCCCGAACGACCAGAATCTTTTCTTTGCAGAAAACAGCCACAAAGACGGAAATAAAGTCAGTGACTGTGACAGGTAAATAAAAACTGTATAATAATATGCTTATAATGTGCACACACTGTACTTTTGATCGTATAAATCCAATTGTTACGGGAGAACTGAAGACACTTGACTGATTGAAACCTTTTTCTTTGTATATTAATAACTTAACTGTGTTTTTGGATGTATTTGTTTTACATAACTTCTGAACTTGTTTGTTTATATTGTAGTGACTCACATTTATCACGAAAACACGACTGGTTTAATAAAAACAATTATTATTATAACCAACTGTACCAGTGTTTGTTTTAACGTGCTTTTGTTTGACTGTGCTAATGACAGCTATTTTGTGCTTACATTCTTTTACTTACACTTTGATTGTAACTTCGCGCGAATTCGGTTACGTTCTGTAACCAAGCTTGTATTCTGGCACGATCTCGGTATCCTTTCGATGCCACGAGATCGCCAGCGAATACATCTCGATTTGGTCCATTAACTGTCTTCTGATATTTGGCTTCTCGGGGATTTTATGGATTTATTTGGTTACGTCCAACCCTCGCCTTCTGATTAACTTGGCACGTGTTTCTTGGTAGCGGTGTTCATAGTTAATCACAACTCGACGCCACGCTACAATATCATTAATTTCGGACACTTTGGTTTCTCTTTGTCATTGGTTTGGTATTTGAGAGTTTTTGCTCCGGGATCCTACAAAATTGAAGGTTTGTTTTGTAATTGTTATAATTATTGTTGTTAGAACGACATTTGGGTCGACTATTTGTAAATCGCGAATGGTATATAATTGGAATTTGGTTCTATTGCTGATTTGGGTTCGTTAATCGCAAATAGATCGACATACAGTACTTCAATGGAAGGAACGAGCAAAAACTTGGACGTGACATCAATCCCTAATTTTTTAACGGAGATTTCTTTTCTGGGCTGGATGGTTTGGTCGAAGTTCTCGTCGTTATTCCCAATGGCATCGTTCGCAGAAACTTTAGGTCACGCTTCTGATTTGTCATACAGGTAACCTCTAAACAAATGATGCGCATAACGGATTACCGATTGTCGCGGCAAAAGGACTGGAAATCCACAAGTCTAAGAGTTGCTGTGTAGCTTTGTATATTGTGGTTCGAATATTGGTTTGTATTTTACTCCAGTAGCTCAAACTTCCATCTTTGTTCACTATAAACTGTAGTGGCTTAGTCTTTTTAGTCAGTCACCTTGATAACCGTTGTTATATAAATACTAACTGTGGTTTTGGGATCAGAAGGCAATAAGAAGCAGTGACTACAGTTTATTAGCAAATGGTACGGTTAACAAATTTATGAGTACATCAAGCGGATATAAAGCATGAAGGCGAATGTGTGCATGTGAGTAAATACAGAGGTGAATTTATGGTCAAGTCGAATAAATGCACAGAAAGGCAAAAGCTAATAATAGGATTCGAGCACATATACACATGGAAAAGCGAATGATTCATCTGGCGATACTTAAGCGACTAACATTTAAGCTATAGATATATGCGTAGTCTGTCACATGTGATCAGGTATAAACGTTTATGCAGGTATGATAATGATCATAACAGTACAAAGAAATAGGCAAATTTTTGGTGTCCGAGTAACGCTGCCTGTTAAATAAGTTAATTAAAGGGTTTAACAAAAATTAACCATGATCGAAATTGATTGTAGGAGGGTTGATATGAAATAAATAACTTTTTGCTATGTGGGTTGTCATTTATTGGTAGAAGGAGCAATTGGTCACTGTGTAAAAGTTTCATTTTCCCATTGTTTCACTGAATCTAAAGGTTGAAAGTTGATTAATAACGGTAGAAGAGACCAAGGAAGAAAATATACGGTCATCTCACCATTCACTTCCGGAACTACGTGAACCCACTTGAAATCGAAAATACACTAAGTAAGACAAAAATAAACAACTCTGGTAACCACTTATTGTCAAAAGATGACATAAGTAAGTCTAGGTGAACTGACTACAATCAGGGGTCAGAAAAGAGGTCAGAACAATCGTTTTACGATAGACTGTGGTGTGATCTGTTGGTAATGACGGACCGAACCCGCTCATCTAGTTGATGTCTAGTAGAACTTACAAAGTTTACATAATTTCATGTGGTGAGGAAACCATTCATAACGAAAAATTCAGAAAAAGATATCACAACCATCGCTACTGGCAGGAAAATTTTGACCCAACTGATTTACCAATAAAAACGCTTGTGTAAATATTGTGGGCTCATACTCTATCCTAACCGGACTTTCTCTGTACTTACTCCAGACTCAGACGACTTAACGAAACAAACAAATAATGGTGATACTGAAATAATTTCAAGTGAAGTTTTTTTTAAAATTATAGTTAACTGATTTCAGGAAGTAAAAATAGTTTGATGGAAGGTTTAAAATTCCAGACAAATCACTTCACCAGGTGTGATTATTGTACCTGAACATTTTCACTATCGGAAGTGCCTGCTTATTTCCGACCCGATTATTGAGCACTATCACTCGGTCGTTTTAAATAATATGAAGGTCATGTTATGACAACTGGCCATTTTTCAACTTTAACGCTGAATGGTTGGGGTTACTGAGGAGACAGATGGTAAGTTCACTTGGACCAAAATTTGAAGACGCGTACATAACAATGTCAATTTCATCAATAACTAGCTGATATACGAACTTGTTATTTTATAACATTCGTATATGTCATGATTTACATTGTCCCCATGATTCATGAAAACCAGCTGCAAAAGCCGTATATTCTAGACTGTTATGTATTTAATGTCCATTTTATCAGCTTTTGACTTTGTTATGAAGGTGAACTTTCAATCCGCCAATTAACAAGAGCTTATGAAGCAATAATGTCAAATAAATCTAGATACATAGAACTATGTTTAGGACTTAATGATGTCATTTAAGTTACTCGCTTATAAACGTTATATTAGGCGTTTTTTAACATAATATAATATGCTTAACCCTTTGGCTCGATTGTAGGGTGTAGGACAACTTACTTTATAGAACTGTTGCGCATAAATGCGGTCAAATGTTGACCATTGTTTCAAATAACTGTTTAAAAATTTGATTAAACCAAATAAATAAACTAAATTATTCACGGAGTTGACTAGTCTAGACCCTTTTTATCAGAAATAACGACATGAATGTATGTTGGGACCAACGTTTGTGTTATGGAAAGCAGTTCTTGTACTTTAAATATTGTCTGATGATCTTGAAGATACGTGTTCACTTATTTAACTTTAACCTACAGTAAATGATAGATGTAAACTCCATCCAAGATGTTCTTAGGATTGCATGTGAAAAAGAATGCTGATATGCTGGTGATTACTTATTCTACTGTCGTGATAGACCAGAATAATTAAGAAACGAGATCTCATAAACAGTTCAATAATTACAGTGATATTTTTGCGCTCTTTTTACTCCATATAAGACGTGTTTAAGTGTCTACCTGCAAATGCAGCTCAGCCATGTTATTCTTATTCAGGTGTATCAGGCTGTTCGACATGAATCGTTTCTGACATAACGTGAACGTAGTACATAGAAGTTATAAACCTGGTTAACTGAAATAAGGTATATTGCACCACACAAAACATTGTCTGACAGTGACATTCACATTTTTTTCCCGAAGGACCGGTTTTGTGTTGTGGCTAAGCCTACGTTATGGTGGAGCTATTTCTTTTGCTCACGGTTGTACCCGGTCTAACATAAATAGGTTGAAAAAACAATGCATCCTCTACATTTGTCATAACTAGTATCTTTGTGATTGATCCTAAATGTCTCAAATATTTTCAAGGCTTAAAACATTGGAATTACTTGTAATAAACATGTCTACAGAAAAAAACTGACTATCTTAATTTTTTTCATGGGTTTGATTTCGAATGCAATGTGATGGTAACTAAATTGGCAAAATGAATGTCTGCGTCAGTCTGCGACACGGATGCTAACTTTATAAGTTTTATAAGACATATAATAAGCTGAGAGGGATAATTCATCTATTCATGCCATTTCACGTTTCAACCCCCCGTTCTAAGCACCCCTTCTTCCGACTAACCAGCTTTGATATTATGCGCTGCCGATGTTTCAAATATATATTTTTTCCTAATAATCCTAAATCTCTGATTTCATTGGCTTTGGAATCATTTTATTTGGGGGGATTTAAACAGTAGTATGATCAAATTCTACGGACCCGATACCTATTCATTACTATCGTTTTCATCAACTTTTTATGATCTAAGGTAGATATTTCAATACATCCTTCAATCTCCGTGACTTTAGTAAAGTTTAGTTCATACAAGCTTTCGAACAAAGGATATAACATATTAGGCTTCACTGTCTGTACATCTGTTGTCTGATATTCGCTGGATTATAAGCCAACTAATACTCCTAAGCTTGATGGGGTTAAAACACGTGGAATCAGTTCATCTATGGAAATGTGGTTTACGAAATTTATAGCTTTTAACCGCTTCAGTTAGCCGTTTTTAGCTAAAATGCTATAATATTTTCCATTTTAACATTACTGGGAGTGGCGAATGCAAGTACTAAACTTCAAAACACGACTTATCTCTCATGTTTACAAATAAATTGCTTGACATTTTCTGAAACTAAATGTTCGACGAGATGTAATATAGAAGTCTAATGATAGTCTTCTTCTCGAATTAATAATGTCTCTTAGCTCCCTGGACATTGATAGTGACCAACGAAGAAAACTTTTTCGGTAGAATAAAAACTGATTTTCAAATACTAGTAGATCCGTATGACTCAAAACCATTTTGTCGAGATCAAAAGTTATTTGGCTGTGTTTTCTGACCCGTGTGGCTTAATAACAAAATTATCACTGTCCCGTTGGACGACATCAATACTTACCTCACGTAAAAGTTAGAATCTTTATTATTCCAAGAGCTTGTTAATCAATCCGTTCTAATGTGATCGGTTGCATTTTTAGACTTTCTTATCTCCATTCAATCTTGAATTACTTTTGACTTTCTTGCTTCGCTGACCTGTTTTTCTTGGCGTTTTCTTCAGTGGGTGCTGTAGAGAGTTTCTGCTCTTCTGAATAGTTTCAGTAAATAATTGTCTTTAGAAGCAGTTAAGTTACAACTATTTTAATCGAGTATTTAAGTTGTGTGGTTTAATTTCATACATACAATTTTTCTCAAAATTCTTGTGTTTGTTTGATCAAGTAATAAGTTTAGTAATGGACTTTGTCTGCTTAATCTCTTCCTTTTGACTTGATCGCCTCAAAGGTATTGTCAACCAACTTGTGCTTGTTTCTTGAACTATTGTCTCTTAGTAATATAAATGTTTCATTTCCATGATGTATTTAGACCTTCAGTTTAATTATTGATGGAACTATAGCCCCTAGTCTTGCACAACAGTCTTATGATTAACCCTGATATAGGCAAATCATTTGAATTCCTTAGATTTATTTGTAAATCTTTTCGTCAAATTAGAAATAGATTTCAAGACGCCAATCAATGAGTTTAGTTGAGCCTGTATATTACATCTATAGATTTTATAAGAGCTTACAGTTGCTGCTGAGTATCTCTGATTCCGTACTGAAGCAAGCGGATCTGTAACTCTGAATTACATAACGATTTCGTTATTGTATTATTGTAGGGATTTGATTTTGGAATTGTGTTGACGAATTGGTAGAGTGATTGCTTGGTCACATCACATGACCTTCTAACTATGAGACTATAATTTTTGGAGGATCCTGAGGACTAATGCTCAACACTTTATTGTAACTACAAGCTTCCATCTCAGAATGCGTCTTTTACCCTTAAGAATGATAACATAGGCTACCCCTCTTTAATTAGCCATGTAATGGTGAGAAATTTTCCAATGTCACAACGTTTTAGCTGGTATTCGGTCTTAGTAATAGCTTGTTAGGCTACCAAGTTATTATATTTACGTTTCCCCATTTTGTGATCCACCACTACCAATATGAACGAATTCGTACCTTTTCAAATCACTATGAGATGCAAGAAGTGATCATTTGACCACTTTTGAAGGTTCATTGACGTTTATTTGAGAAAGGTGAAAATTGCATAGTGGAATAGTATGGTCATTATTAATTTTCCGTGACCATTAGGTCTTAGTTTACCTTGTGTTAAACAGTGGGAGTGATATCAGCAATTTGAATTAATTGATCCAGATGAGGAAACGCTGTCAAGTATGTACAATTCACGAAGTTTCGTTGCGGTGTACTGTTTTTCCCGTTCACACTAAGTAATTGAATCTTAATTCCATAGATTCGTTTTACTGTTTATCGAAATTCTGCCACCTCGATAGTTAAAAGATATTTCATTCTAAACCACTAGCTCATTCAAAATCGGCACCAATGAAAAAATATTTAAAAGTAAACAAACTACATTTTATTGTATTTTAAAAACTTTTGATTATCATTCAAAGTTTGGTTTTGTTATAAGACTAACAATTATTTTATTACATTTTTCCCATCTTTATGCATAGAAAATGGTATGTTTACCCATCATAATAATCTTGATGAAGACAAATCACAAGGTGATTCCAAAGATTCGAAAACACCAAACAGTTTGCATCTAAATGATAAACTTGACATCTCAACAAACAATGATCCTCACGAAACTGAAAGTGTTGATAATTTGGATAATATATCTAGTCCTACACAGAAAGGTGACATAATCAGTCTAGCAGATCTTATAAAAAATCGTATCTGTTTGACAGATTTTGATCCAGAATCTCACTGGCATGATATACATAATAGCATAATTGAAAAAGAGTTTGCCATTGATGGACATAACTTACTTATATGTTATATGTTAAACAAAAATGAATTTAAATTACAATTTGAAATACCAAGATTTCTATGCAATGAAATTAACTATTTTATTTTCACACCAAATATAAATAAAGAAAAACTAACTGTTGATAATTTTGATTTATGTATACAATATGGTAATATATCTGGTTCAGCTATTCAAAGTTTACTTGGTATTATGTCATCATTATTTGCACCAAATCTATTTACTAATATATCATGGCCAGATAGTATACGTAATGATTTTTCTTTACAATTACAACGTTTTATGTCATCATTAACTGATACAAGATGGAAATTAGATAATAAAACTGTATTATATATCCCATTAGATAGTTTAAATGTATTACCAGAAATAGCTATTAAAGATAAAGAATTAATAAATCGTTTAGAAATGATTATTATACATTGGACAAGACAAATTAAAACTGTATTAAATATACAAAATATAAATGATCATTCAACTATTATAAGTCCATTAGATGAAATACAATTTTGGCATAATCGTTGTGATGATTTAACTGGTATTAGTAATCAATTAAATAAATCAATTATTCAACAGATTATCAATATTTTATTGATTGCTAAATCCACATATATTACAAATTTTTTAAAGTTAACAGATGAAATTAAATGGAATACAGAACAAGCACAAAATAATATTAAATTTTTAGATAAAATTAAAGATCTATGTTTACAATTAAATGAATTAAAACCAAAGGATATACCTGATAAATTATCACAACTTATTAATATGATACGTATTATATGGACTAATTCAAAATATTATAATAATAATGAATTAATAACTAATTTATTTAATAAATTATCTAATCAAATAATCATTCGATGTTGTTCTATTATATCATTAAATGATATCTATAATGGAAAAATTATAAGTAGTATATTCAATTTAAATCAATGTATTTATTGTTGTGAACAATATAAAGATATTTATAATAAATTACAATTAATGCATATACATAATTCAATAAAACCATGGGATATACAAAAAAATAGTATATTTGCACAAATTGATGCATTTATACAAAGATGTCGTGATTTATTGGAAGTAAGATTATGGTTTCTTTTCTTTTTTAAATTAATTTTGTTCATATAATATATGTATACTTAGTATTGTTTAGGTGAATCTTCCTATTAATGTTTAGCATTGCAATTGATTAGTCTCTTATTGGCATATATGAATACTGTGTGTATTGACACGATATTGCATTAAGTTATAAACATTCTAGGCAAATATAGATAGTGGTTAGCAGTAAAATTTAAGATGCGCATTTTGTAATATTGGAGACTGGTCAGCTAGATGTATCCACATTCGCGTTGCTGTTCACTCCGAGTCTCGAACCCAGTACCGTTGATTTCAAACACTATCGCTTTATCCACTTAGTTACTGAGTCTTGATAGACATCTGCTTGTGCAATAGGGTGAAGTTTAAATTCAGTCAGTCAGTCAGTCAGTCAGTTAGCTGCAACATAGGACCAGGCACATACATGCATCGGTCCAATATGCCACATCTCACTAGCACAGCAGGACGAAAACCGAATTTATAGAAGTAGTTGCTTCAATGATGGTCATATATAAAAGAAAGATTACATATAAGGACATAGTACAGGAAGAAAGAATTAGTTCGTAGAATGAAATATATGAAGCGATTTTAATCTCACGATTTAAGGAAAGACGGAGAGTGTATACACCGACGCCATCGTGACCGATTCTGAGTCATGTAACTCAGAGTCTGCAACCATTTGTTACGATAGCCAAATGGACCCCAACGAAGTAGTCTGCATCTACCAACATGGCTAAGACTAGAAGTTAATGACTTCAAGCACTGATGCCACGTTTTGGTTTGGCCACCCCTAACCTTCATCCAACCATTCCGAACCCTGGTTAGCATTGCGCGTCGTGGTAATCGTTGTTCTAGCATGCGTGACACGTGACCCAACCATCTCAGTCGATGAAGATTCACAACCTCACCAACTGATTTGCCATCATTCCTTAATACCCTGCGTCTAACCTCACTATTACTGACACGATGATTCCGTCAGATGCGAGCAATATTTCTAAGACATCTGTGTAGAAATACTAGTAGCTTACGGATATCTTCTACTTTTAATGATCACATTTCGCGGCCGTAAAGTTGTTTTACTTGTATCTTCTTATTGTTATTTAGGATTGCAATTGTTCTGTCTCTTGTTGGCATATGTGAACATTAACTCTGGAGTGCAGGTACATCTAGCTGACGAATCCCAAATAGGACGGAACGCGCGTCCTGGATTCTACTGCTAGCCATGATCCGTCTTTGCTTACATATAAAATAGTTTTATTTAACTCAATGTTTAATTTGCTATGAACATATCAAAGAGTAACTAAATAAAAGACTTCAGAATAATAATTCAGTCTAGTTTTTAACATTTTAACCCTAATGGTTTACATGATTTGTAATTTTTTATTCACAAATTTATTTTAAAGAAGAAATGTAAATAAAAAAATATTGGTCAGTATGTTATGGTTTAGATATCAACTACATGATAATTCTAGTGATGAAATCAATTGAGGTTTCAAATTTCAGACAAATAGTAAAAAGTAGTCATTTAGTCAATGAATTGTTATTTCGTCTAACGATGTGATTCTTATTTCAGGCATTTCATGTACATAGAAAAATTCAAGCTTTACCATCGAGTTGACTTCCTAGTTAGGTTTGTCAGACATTTTCATAATTTGGTTTCATCACTTATATCATGTTCTCAATCTAGTTTAAATACTTAATTTAAATAGGAAAATATAATGTAAAATTAAGTGCTAAAGTATATATGATAACCTTATGGAAATCTACTATAAAGCTACGCTTTATTTCATTAGATAGGTTATACAAAAAAAATGTTTCGGAGTTGGATAATGTTGAGTAAATCTTACCCGTAACTATGATTTTCCTTTCTGATAATAATGATAATGATGATTCAGTCTTCTGATATAGATTTGAATCGGCATTTAATCCAGTTGTTTGGTTTGATAGCGTAACTTCTGTAGGGTGGCATGTAAGTAATCAAGCAATTGAAAGGATTGGCTTATCAATCTTCAGCAAATATTTGACTAGATTAAAGACTACCTTGGTTTTATCGTATGATTCAGAATTATAACCATTCTAACCATTCAAACAATTTGTTATGTATGAGTATTCAATAAAATGTATTACAATACATGAGAATTGAATGTTTATCACTCAATTAACTTTTAAATAATATGAACCCTACAAAATCACATGAAGAAATAAATTGTCTATTTACACTCTTGGTTACGAACTATGGCTCACTTTCTTTATTACACGAAGTCATCAACTCAATTCTATATTCCTTTTTTGTATTGGGGAACTGACGATATAATAAAAAATAAAAAAACAGAGATTTTAACATGTGACAAATAAGTCACTGCACTTCCTAAAAGTATGAAATTCAGACGTTCAATATCATGAAAGTTCATTTAACTACATCAGCTACCAACCTTTTCTCTGTTTGACAGTCATTGTTTCCCCTGTAGTGCAGCATCGAGTCGAGACTGACTATGATCACCACTGCAGGAAGATTACGTACCAGTTAACCGATAACATCCCCCGTAAGCCAAATATCAGAAGGCAGTTGATGGCTGTAGTCGAGATGTATTCGTGGGTGATCTCGTGGTATCGAAAGAATACCGAGATGGTGCCAAAGGAGTACAAAAGTGATTACTGGGCGTAACCGAATTCGTGCAAGGTCACATTCAAAGGAAGGAAGAATGTCTTTAGTACAGATAAACAAGCAAGTACAGTAAAACAATCACTGGTACAATTGGTTATAATAATAATTGTTTCCATTAAGCCAATCGCGTTCTCTTGATAAAAGTAGGTCACTACACCATATTCATCTAATTATGCCCGAAGTAAATTAATTTGCTATGTTCAGTGATTCATTAGCTTTACTGCATTTTGTAGAAAATTTTTATTTTCTTTTGCATCTATTTAAGGTATGTCAATGTCTAAAACATTTTGGCCGATACGAAGATGGTAATAAAACAACAATGCCAATACTTCAAGGAATTCGTGGCCCAGAAGTTGAAAACCTCCTGTTAACGATTGAACAAATGTTTGAGAAATTGATGAATAACCTATTTGAGAATCGTCATTGTATATTGGATATAAAGGCCACATCATGGCACGACAATTATAATCGTTTTAGAATTGGTATTAAAGATTTAGAGGTGATGATGCAAAATGCAATTAACACAGCCTTTGAAACGGTCACAACTATACAACAAGGGGTCGAAATACTAGATATTTTTGCTCATCTTCGAAGTCGTGAGGTAATTTTTGCTTTTTAGGAAATATATTTCTACCTTCATTATTATTAGATACCTTAACAAATAAACACTGAAGCAATTGACTAATGCATAACTGAAATCTAGCAAACAGTCTGTACCTGAAAATTAAGGTTACCAACAGCATTGGTAATGAAATGTATAAAAAGTAACTTCAGACAACTAAGCTATTTTATGCACTCGAATATTCAGTAATAAGTAGACATAAGTAAACAACACCACCGAAACTCTTCGCCACAACTCCGAATCTTCGTCACCACAATAGGAATGTTATTAAACTGAAATTGACATCAGAAACACTAATTGTGGATGAGAAGTGAACAGAAAACATGCCTACATTTCAATATCATTGGATAATTACAGATGGTGAAAATAATAATTATCCAATTCAGTATTCTCATCAGTCTCATAACGCCCCCTAAATTTCAATACCATTCGGACATCTGAAAATACGGAAAATAACATGGTATGCGAACTGAAAACTTAACATGGCAGAATAGTGAAATCGAAGTTAAAATCCTGAGAATACCAATGTAGCGATCTGAAATGCGCGTTTTTTCAAATAATTAGGTTGATTTACGTTACTTCGTAAAATCATATAAAACTTTCTGACATTATTACAACCTTACTACTCATTTTTTATTTAGTAGTAATTATCCATTTACAATTCGTTTTTTTTAAGAACTTGATAAACATGTTAAAATGACTGTCTAAATTATAACATGATCATATCCTGTTTTATAAAATCTCCTAGCTGCATACTGAATATCTGGGGCATTATTATTTATATATATTATTTGGAAAAAAAACATAATCTCCAACATGGATGATTAAGCTAGTGTTACTCCAAAGACATGACATGATTAATCCTTACCATAAGCTTATATATAGTGTACTCAAATGAAACATGAGCAACTTGTGCTTAGAAATTGAAATTGAACTTCATATTGATTATGCTGACTGACGCCATATAGACAATACGTCAAGATTACAGTTTCAAAATATAAGAGGTCAAGAATATTAGGTTCTAGATTTAGTCCTTGTACCTAATCGAAACTGTGTGAAAGATTCGATTATTACAGCCTATAGTTAGGCATTAACTCTATTAGATACTGGCTCAGTGGTCTTGTGGTTAGGCGATCGCGCGCGAGATTGGTAGGTCCTTGGTTGGAGTCCCGCGAAGCGGAGTCGTGGATGCGCACTCCTGAGGAATCACACAATAGAACGAAACGGTTGTCCAGTGCTTCCAGGTTTTCCATTGTGGTAAAGCTTCAATTGACTCCTGATCTCAACTATTGAAATTAATTAAATAATGTTTTTTAATTTTCTGCATATAGGAAACGCTGAAATTTATTATTAATTTTCATTTGGTTTACTAATGTGTATTACTTTAAGACTATTCGAAGAACTATTGATCATCGAACAAGTGAATTAGTTTCACGTTTTGGTGATTGTTTAAATCAAATAAAAAAAGAGATGACACAACGTGTTAATACTGGCCTTCCATACCAACTGAAGCGTATTATAGTGGACAAGCTTTATACTGGAAATTTTTACGTCGCCGATTAGAAAAAGATATGCTGGTTGGTCATATGAATATTTGCACTATTATTTTTTCGTATGGTATTCTAAAGAACAAAATTAATAACTATTTTTTTCGTTGAAAGAATAATAAGTGTGTAAAATGATACACAGTTGCTTCTGTATGATTTTATACTATCTGATGAATCAATTGAATAGAAACATTTGATTCCTGAATTGTTATAGTTTGGTTACAATCTGTGCAAAATGACTTAGATGTCTATGCAAATACTAGAACGTCCTAACATCAGTGGTCACCGACCGTAACTCCACATATTGTATAATAAACTCAAGCCAATGAAACCCAAGAAAGAAGAGTGGAATTAATAATACAAAACTGATTGCTTTGAGAAGATAAAACTAAATATGGAAGTAGAAACATGTATAAACTAACTCATTTGGTTCACATTAGTTGTATTTGAAATAGAAAAAACTTTATTTGTTCTATGTATTCCCTGATTGTCTAATAGTGATAATTTTGAAACGTTGAGTAGAGAATAAAAAAAAAGCTTCATTGTATGACCTTAAAAATGTAATACTATTTTACGACTTTTTAGTTAATTCCTTCAACTATCTAATACTTGTTCATTAGACTATGATTTGCAGATGAGTACAAGATAATTAGCCATGTTTATGAAAAGTACCAAGTTAATAGATAATAATCACCCACATTGTGTTTTTAACATGTCAGTCTTGTTCGTAACAAACTATTTATATCTTTTTAATAAATATAAAGAAAGATTTACATCCATGATACTCCTGCCTTCAAGCAGAATGCTCAAGAAATGCTAAAGAATCGATTACATTATCATGTGTTTATACTGTCTTAATTCCAACTGTGTTACACTGTAAATTTGAAAAGTTGTAATAATTCATAAATATAGTTTTGTTTAATAAATTACTTGATAGAAAGATAAATTCCTGAAGTTTTACTCACGAATTTCAAAATCTTTTGTTACCAGATGTGTTTATATTGGAAAAGCACTTGCTGAATTACTGACGTTCATGTCAGACGATCTATTGGATTTCTTCAGTTTAAACCATTTCATCATCATTAGTACATGAAAATATTAAAATAATAAGATATTTAACTCAGCTATTAAAATATCCTCATGATTTTTCCCGCACTGAATAGGCGTAAGAACCACATAGACTGAATAAATTACTCTATTTATCTGAAAATAATACCTACAGCACATATAATTTCACGGACGGTCAGAATAACCAAAGCAATGTAAATGTAAACCTTGTTTGACTCAGAAGTCTCTTTTCGAGTTGTTCAAGATCACAATGATAAGCATAGATAAATTATTATCAATATATAAAAACAAAAAAATGTGTATTTCTATATTTCTTTCCTAGGCTTTAGATCAAGCTTTTTTCTTACCATTATCTGACGCTGGTATGTCAGAATATCGTCAACAATGTACACAACTAACTGATGCACTAGATGATTTAACTAAGAAAATATTTAATGAATTTCAAACAACCATTGAACCAGTAAGTTTAATTTAATCACAGTCAATAAAAAGTAATGATAATAATAGAACTAATTAATCCAATTGTTCTTACATGGATCTTCATTATATCTCTGTAGCTGTATGGAAACTGAAAAGAGCATAAACTAACATGGATGAGATCCAATCTAGATGATATTCTTTATGAGAAGTAAGAAATGACATCATTCAAGTGTTTAACTTAGAAAATTCTCTTCTCACTGTTGTGACTTTACGTCCAGGTAGTTATCACGTAATTTATTCGCCAATCAAAATACGACTTATTCGCTCTGGTACTGTACTAAACCAATGACGTTCATCCGGTCTGATCAGCCTAGCGTCTTATTTACCCGTTGCTCGGCTAGCCCGTCCAGCTGAGTCCAGAATGCCAATAAAAGCCTCCACTATACGAATCATACTTGGTCTATATACTAACCAAACAGACCGCAACGCACCATAAAATGGGAAATAACATTTACATAAAATAAAATCAAAAAGTGGCTGTGAACGTGGGAGACAGTAATTAATAAACTGAACACAAGAACAGTAAACCGTATAATAGTAATAATCTATAGATCGAAATAAAGCTTATAATAAAGGGAATATAGATTTACATAATCTAATTACTGAATAGTTATACCATAAGAACATATAGATAATATTAGTCCATTAATAGGTCTCAGAAGTTACTGGTAACTTGATATTTGCTAAGATATAACACTCACTATAATGAAGATTTTTAGGACTGCCGCGAACATTTTATCTCTTATAAACTTCTTTCATCAGATTCTGAAATGGTTGGGACTCATTAAGGGATTAGATATTTTCTGCACTTATGCACTGAAAGATGAAAGAAGAATAATCGTGTCTGGTCTCTGTAAATCATACAAGCTAAAGTGTGTTGCTCAATCTAATTACTATATAATTAATTAGCATCATGTTTACATTTTATATTATAGCGTTACACTGTACAGTGTCTAATATTAGAAGGAAGAAAACGTTTCCGATATGTTTTCTCCATATCCCCTGTGGTAGATTGTAGAAAAGCATAATATTTCGATTTGTGACTTGTATTTGTTTGGGTCAGTCTTTCTCACAAAGTCTTTTATTATAAGTGCCAACTAGATAACAAGAGTAAAAAGCATGTTTACATATTTCCAAATTTTTTAACGATTTTATTTGTCCTAAAATTTGTGCCTTATGATTCAGCTTGAATACTTCTAAGTTCATACAATTCCTTTCAAAGTTCCAGAAACATTTTTATCTCTGCAACTAAGTTAAAATAATTTGTTTTTTGAAAAATTATGATTATTTAAAGGTGGAAAGTCTTAAGTAATCGATTTTGAACTAAGAAATAGATCGTAATATTTGAAAAATCCTAAAGTTTAAACTCTATCAGAAGGTTGTCCTGAGGTTCTCCTCACTCTTCTAGCATAAACAATCAGTTATTAGGAAATCAGAAGGAACATGATAAAACATTGTTTATCACCAACATTTTCCTAAATATAACCGGGAAGCAATTCATCAATAATAATATATTGAGGAGTTTTCTGATAGTCGATCATCATTAATGTTTGGTATTTCTTTGAATCATTTTAATATGGTCCTCAATAACTTAGCATAACAAGCAAATTTTAAATAGTCTATCAATTAATTTTCTTTAACCGCCTGTAACATTTTATCGTGTTTGTTTATTGTGAATATTTTATGTATAAGCATACCATTTTATTAAATAAAACACGCACTTTTCTAGGGATTAGTCTTATACTTGATTTATAATCATTTTGTGGGCTAACGTCAATGATAGTTTTGCCTACAGCTATCATATCATTGTTTGTATTTCATTAATTGGCATTCTTTTATTTTGTTTTAAAAATTGTAATTCCATCTTATCAATTACTAAAATCTTATTTCATGACATATTTATTCCCACTAAACTGGCTTCATCAGTTATCCGAGTAAAAAACATCCAAATCCATTATGATAGTGGAACCCTGATAGCATTCTTCTATAAATTCATGTTAGTGAGTGATTTTAGGTTGATTCTAGTACTCTTTTTTCAATTAAGACTTGACGTTAGACGTACAACATCCACATTTTAATCGAAACAATTAATTTTAAACATAATCCAGTCAGTCAGTTAGCTGCAACATAGGACCAGGCACATACATGCATCGGTCCAATATGCCACATCTCACTAGCACAGCAGGACGAAAACCGAATTTATAGAAGTAGTTGCTTCAATGATGGTCATATATAAAAGAAAGATTACATATAAGGACATAGTACAGGAAGAAAGAATTAGTTCGTAGAATGAAATATATGAAGCGATTTTAATCTCACGATTTAAGGAAAGACGGAGAGTGTATACACCGACGCCATCGTGACCGATTCTGAGTCATGTAACTCAGAGTCTGCAACCATTGGTTACGATAGCCATATGGACCCCAACGAAGTAGTCTGCATCTACCAACATGGCTAAGACTAGAAGTTAATGACTTCAAGCACTGATGCCACGTTTTGGTTTGGCCACCCCTACCCTTCATCCAACCATTCCGAACACCGGTTAGCATTTCGCGTCGTGGTAATCAGTGTTCTAGAATACGTGACACGTGACCCAACCATCTCAGTCGATGAAGATTCACAACCTCATCAACTGATTTACCATCATTCCCTAATACCCTGCGTCTAACCTCACTATTACTGACACGATGATTTCATCGGATGCGAGCAATATTTCTAAGACATCTGTGTAGAAATACTAGTAGCATACGGATATCTTCCACTCCTAATGGCCACGTTTGGCATGTGTAACGAAAAACAGAATGAACTGCTGCACAGTACACTCGTTCTTTAATTGATAAGCGGATATCTCATCTTCGCCATAGGTGATGTAATTTGGCAAAAGCCAAATGAGCTTTTCAAATCCATGCAGAAATTTTGTCAGACGTCAACCCATTAGGTCTGATCAGACTCTCAAGGTAGATGAAGTTGTCAACGCGTTCGACTACTTCACTCCCTATTCTTAGTTCAGAAGTTTACGCAGCTCAATAAATCTAACATTATATTTTTATTTCATTTTATTTATTCATTTCAGGATCCATTGAAATGTCTTGATTTACCTGTATTAACACGTAGTACATTACAACCTGGTATGCTTGAACCAAATTTCAATGGAACAACTCTTAAATTAATTAATGAATTACATTATTGGTCAAGGCTTGGTTTCGAACTACCAACAAATACTAATGAAGCATATCGAAGACGAATAGAATTAAAATATCTCTATGATATCATACTAATTATTGTTCGTGATTATAATCATATCATAAGTTCATTAAATAATGATGAACGTGCATTATTTAAAGAACGTATCAAAATGTTAGATATAAAATTATTACCAGGTTTAACAAAATTACATTGGACAGTAAAAGGTTTAGTTGAAATGTTTGTTAATGATTGTCGTATACAAGCAAATAAATTACAATTAAAAGTTGATGAATATAAATTAGCAAATATAAATATTAAAGAAAATTGTGAAGAAATTGCACAAACTTTATTAATTAAATTACAATCAAATCGTATTTATGAAAATACTGAATTTGATGACTGTCAAGTGAGTAATTTTTTTCCTCATTAATATAAAAATAATTTCAACAATTGAAATCATAAGTCAATTGAAGCTAGACAACCATGAAAAACCTGGAAGCACTGAACGGCCGTTTCGTCCTAGTATGGGACTCCTCAGCACTGCGCATCCACGATCCCGCCCCCGCAAGAATGTGGATGCGCCCTGCTGTGGAGTTCCATACTAGGACGAAATGACCGTCCAATGCTTCCAGGTTTTTCATGGTTGTTAGCTTCAACGAACTCATGATTTCAACTATTGAAGTTAGTAAAATTTCCACAAAACCCCTTCTGATAATAAAAATAAATGTTTACATTAGTGAATAAATCTTGATGTTTATTAAATTTTATATTCATACAATAACTATGAGGGAAATATTCCACGTGTATATATACCTTATGGATGCTTATACAAAACCTACTTTAATCATTGACTTCATAAAGTATAAAGAAATTGCACTAATTACGTTCCATTAGGATTTAGAGAAAATCATATTTTAAGTAGGAACACGTTTCACTTACTTTGGTATGATAATTCCTCAATGATTGAAAATACTGTATAAAATAGCTCAGAATTAATCATATTAACATAGATCCACTCACTCTTTATCTCCTTTAATATTCCTAGTCTCCAAACAACCTCACAGTTTTTATGGACCAAATTCATTGATTCTTTTAAAATAATACTATATCCACTGTTATTTGCTGTCACTAAAGCTGTTACTGATTCTACCATTCACCTTCATAATTTTATCTCACTATTTTAGCATGAGGTGGAAACTAGAACCCAAGCGCATGTGCGGCAGGTTTTACGTTACGTTTGACTGAATGATTAACCCTTAAATCCAAACTTTTGCGATAATTATAAACCATTTACAGAAAAATCTCCCTATTCCAATAAACAGGCGATTTTATTGGCTAAATCAGTTTGATTTCAACTACGGTCGTTGCTTTTATCGATATCTTGAGTTATTAATGTTTTCCCTTGAATAAATTCAACTCAGAACTGTAATTTATTTCATTATTCACGGAAACTTTTATATAACCATTAATAAATTTCAAATAGAAAGCAGACCAATATCAAGGGTAATGCTGATCAGTTTATATAACCGCTTTAAACTACATTCACATAAGTATCTACAAACTATAACTTAATGACATATATTAAAAATTTATCTATTAATTCCATCGAAATTCAATGAATTATTTTTCTTCGTTGTCCACTTATTGTTAATCAAATGATAACTACATATTCTTCTATGACATTAAGAATAATATCAGATGGGTTTTTGTGGAGATTGTAGTAATTTCAATGGTTAAGATCATGAGTCAGTTGAAGCTAGACCACCATCTGATATTAATCAACATATGCTCATTAGTGACTGGCTTCACGAGGTATATCCTGGAGTTCTAGTGAGAAGTAGTGACCAGTGGAGTTCAACCAGATCTGTTGTTAGATAGTAACTCACTGAAGACAATGGGGAATGTGTCGCTCAATTTCGTGGATTAGTTGAAGTTAGACATTAACACCGTTGGATGCCGGCTCAGTGGTCTAGTGGTTAAGTGCTCGCGCGCGAAACCAGTAGGTCCTGGGTTCGAATCTCGCAGGGGGCGAGGTCGTGGATGCGCACTGCTGAGGAGTCCCAAAATAGGACGAAACGGTTTTCCAGTGCTTCCAGGTTTTCCATGGTGGCCTAGCTTCAACTGACTCATGATCTTAACCATTGAAATTAAGAATAATAGTCGAGCGGAAAAATATTTCTTCTCAATTAAGATTCTCATCAAGGCTGGAGACTAATATATAGGCTATACAATAAAGTATCAGATGGATACTGAATAGATCATGGTGGTTCTATTTAACAATATAATCAGTTAGTAATACAACATAATTCAAATAAAAATCGAGGTGAAATTTTCGTAATCAAATGATTATCACAACTAGTTACGTAAGAGTAACATTGGGGATTGAACTTGAACATAAATCTAAATGTTTTATGTTATTTAAAATTAAGAATTGATAACTAATAAAATGGGTGCGATAAAGACAACGTAATAGGATTATTCAGCAAGTTATGTCATATTAAAATTAGAAAATGTTAACATGATCGAAGTTTGGAAGATTCGAAAAATGTGATAACAACTAAGATAAATGGAGAGGCTGTATAAACTTTCCCTTATCTTTTATTTTACATATCACAAGCATATATTTTTTTCATTTTAGTCTGAGCATAGAAAGGTAACAAAAGAAAAACTTATTGCCATCCATAAAGATATCATAAGAAAGTTGCATGAAGTGAAAGAAACATTTGTTTCTGAAAGTGCCGATATTCAAATGCATTGGTGGAAGTAAGTCTTATTCTTTTTATGTAATAGTTATGTTAACTTTATTGGAATAATATCTCTCCTGTTAAATGTAGTCAACATTTTGGATTTATTACAAACTTAATAAAGATAATTTAATTTAAACTCGAAGAGGTTAGAATGTTTCCACAACTCACTTATCTTGGTAAGAAGATATTAATTTTTATGCACATACAGAAACTTGTTGTGTTGATAAACGTTTTGCATTCAGTCTCAGTTTTGCTTTAATTTTTACAAATAAATCTGACCAATTCCTATTGTTTTCCTGGTAGGACAGTCAATCATCTTTGAGATGGTGAAGAAGATTTATAGCTTAGGTGGATGATTTTGATGAAGTTTTGTTATCTAAGATGGATGGAGCTTTCATCGTCCTTCGGAACACCTCACTTCTACTTAAAGTTTGGGCTGATGATGTCGTTCAGAAGAACGATGAAAGCTTCACGACTAAACCATCCGGCTCAGAGAACAAACTCCATCAAAAAATCAATCAAATTTACACACTAATCATATTAGATTGTGACAAGTTATTATTTTAAAGCTACGTCGGTGATATAACACTGCAATCCTAAATGTTATTCCTAAATCTTTAATCCACTGATTTTTTGTTTAAGCCACTGGCCTTTCTAACTTTCTAATCTTTATCTAAACAGATTTTCTTCGGTGATCCCAACAGTTGATTTTGTACCGCTAAGTGAAAAATGTAGTTTGAACTAGTTTTTTATCCGAAAATCCCTAAAACTCGTTCAAAATGTTAAATGTTTTGGTTATTTCGCTCATATTTAACTTGATAATCGTTGTTAGTTGTTATTTTTCTTTTAAATCTTAGATATACAGAAAAAATGGATCATTTTTGTGAAGAAGCATTCAGAATAAATGTCAAGTCATCATTATGTGAATTGCAAAAAGCAATAAACGGTGATGGACGAAATGATCCTAATCCTCTATTCAAAGTATCATTGAATTTAGATAATGATGTTTTAATATTTTCTCCAACACTTGGTCAACTAACACTTGTTGTAGCTTCATTAGGCAGTAAATTCGCAGAAATCATTTCAGTGATTCCTCGTCTACCTGATTTGTTAGCCCAAGCTAAGTCTACAAAACCAGTAAGCTTTTTTTAATATTGTTTGTCGCTTGTTTTGCAGATTTCATCGCTCATCTTGAGCAATATTGATTATCACCCTGAACTAATCTTCAACTTAGTAGCTCATAAATAGATACAGTTTAATTCTGAAATCTACAACTAGAAAAGAATAAGACCTAATTATGTACAACATTCTAACATAGTATATAGATTTCTCAACATCTGTAACCAGTTTTTTATCTTAGTGCCAAAGAACTTCTACGTACCGAACCTCATTTTTTAAATATAGGTCAGTTTTATTTTACCATCTTCGTTGAAGTTACTCATAAGTTGAATAATGGTTCCATATTTTTGATTTCCGCACAGAAGGACTAAAACTTTTTATTTTTGTAACTTTACAGTTTTGCAGTATCGAGTTAGCTTTTCATTTTTCACTGTCATATGTGTCTGGGTTCTTTTGATATTATGAGTCACTAGAAATTGGTTGTCTCTGGGTAATAACTGGTTTTAAATAACCACACTGCTAACCCAATACATAGCGAGCCAAGTAAGATGTAATTGACTGACAAGACTTTCCTCAGTTTATTGCTATCTTAATAGACTATTCAGTCAACACACACGTACAATCTTGTGAGTACATACTTCTTTCTTATTATGTCGTCGTATTGAAAAAAAATTTAAACCCTTTATATGGCATGCTTTACTACTCAAACAGCCATGTGTTCGTTGTGATCATTTGATATTCATTAAATCATAATAGTGGGATGTTTTCTTCTTTGATCAGATAATACTCTCGAAATTAACAATAATGACTATTATTGTAATAATGACAATGAAAACAACGTTATCAAGTTGGCTGAAATCAGATTCTCGATGGCTTTTATCATTTATCATCAATTGTGATATGAATTATAGATAGCTGAAAGATTATTTTCATCTGTTCTAAATAATGTTCACATTCATATGATACGCTTGTAAAATTATTTATTATACTGATGCTATTATAAGCTTCCAAGAGTACCAATGCATATTTGCGTATCTTTACCACATTGGCGTAACCTGAGTACGAACTACAAAAATATGAAAAGATAGTAAAGTTTCAAGAAAACATAATAAAAAGGAATGCAAGCTAGTAAACAACATCTCTCAACGAACTGATTTTAATTTAGTTTAAGGTGATCAATTGTATAATACAACATTTAGCTTTTGAAACAAAATGAATTAGTTCGATTTATAAATAAATGGTACATATTTGACTTAATTTTTATCTTATTTGGAACTAATTTTAGCCAATAAGTGAAGTTATTGCAACAGATGAAGAAATTAATAAAATACAAGCGAGTATTAAACGTGGAATGCAAGAAATTGGTACAGCAGTTCATGAACCTCTTAGTTATTGGGATCAATTTAGAGAAATATGGGAATTGCCTAAAGATGATTTTATACAAAGATATCGACAATTAAATCCACATGTTACTTCAATTGATGCTGATATATCTAGGTGATTGTTTATAAAGCTTACTTCTGATCTATATTCGATTTTTAAGTATTTTCTCTAGAATTCTTAGTTCACTATTTACCACAGTGAATTCAGAATACATTTATCATATAAACAATTAGTATTTACTCTGATATAAATGTAAGATAATATCATTCGACCTACTCTGATACTGATAGTTGAGACGCTGTTTTTATTTTCAGAACTTGAGCTCGATTATTAAATTACTTCGTACAGTTAAGAAATTACAATATGGATGTAGAGTAGAGCCAGTCATCAAAATTTGATTAAAAGTTCTCACATAATATAGATAATATGAATAACTGATCACTTAAAATTTCTACCTTACCGGTTGTTGGCTTATGAACAGGTAGATTTCGTTGTGCGTTATATTCTTTTATATATCATATGTTGACACCATTGGGTTCCACCTCAGTGATCTAGAAAGTGGGCGATCGTGCACGAGACCGAAGTTCCTCGGTTCAAGTCACTCGCTCAAGATTGTGGATGCGCACTGCCGTTGAGTCCCGTATTAGGACGAAACGGCCGTCCGGTACTTTCAGGTTTATTCGTGGTGGTCTACCTTAGATTGACTCATGAATTCAACCGTGAAAATATTACTAAACACCTATCCTTATATATTTTAATGGAGACATTCTTGCGTACATATTGAGACGTAAAACTAATTGAAGTATAGAATAAAATGACTCTCTTGGTTTTCATTGATTATGTTTCTAGAGGAATTCATGTAGTGCTATTTTGACTGGTTATATTATAGCAGATCTAAATGAAATAATGTAAGCAATATTTTAATCGCCGAATATTGTGATGTAGGATGTTTAAAATTTTGAAGATCCCACTAGATCGATTTATTCACTGTGAAGTTTTGATTCGTATTTAAACATTTATCAATTAAAATTAATAGTTGAAATCATGAGTCGATCTAAGCTAGACCACCATTGAAAACCTGGAAGCACTAGAAGGCCATTTCGTTCTAATACGGGACTCCTGAGCAGTGCACATCCACGGTCCCACACAGGGCACTTGAATCAAAGACCTTTGGCTTCGCGCGCGAACTCTTAACCTCTATATCCCTGAGCCAGGATCGTGGATATGCACTGCCTAGAAGTCCCATACTAGGATGAAACGGCCATCTAGAGCTTCCATGTTTTCAATGGTAGTCTAGCTTAGATCAACTCATGAATCCAACTGTTGAAATTACTACAGTCTTCATAAATCTCCATTTTGACAAAATCAGAATTAATTGATATTGTCCACAGACTTTATTATAAAATTTCCTACAACTCAACATAGTGTTTAAAAACAGATATCTAGATGCATAAATTACATTACTTACTATTTATCATTTCAGATATACGGAAGTAAGTAATAAAGTCTTAGATGCAGACACTATGGTTACGACCAAGTTTTTACAATTGGACTTTAGTTTATTAAAAAATGCAATAGCTGCTCACTGTCGAGACTGGCAGATGCGTTTAATCAACCTTTTACTTTCAATGACAGAAGATTCATTAAATGGGGTTTATACATATATGAATGATGTTCAAGAAAGGTAAGATTTTATTAAACTTTTTAATTATGATATTGTTAATGATAAGTATAAAAAGCCATACAAATGTTTATATAGTTCGTTAATGATTTGTATATCTATGTGGAACAGAAGAAGATTCTTGTATAAATAACAATAAATGAATCACTAATCAACTACATGAGTAAAGAATATATAGTTAAGATTGAGGCTGATAATAGCAATAAAAACGTAGCCAAGGTATACATGAAGAATATCTATAACTATTCGATACAAACAGGGAACAGAATGATTATGGCTATAACCCAATATCAGGTGAAGGACGTGGGATGTAAAATAATCAAACAAATGATTTTTGTATCTATCACTTGGGTTGGAAAATTCTGATGACTTTCCCCCACCATGGTTGTTAAACGAGGATGCCCAAACATTAAGAGTTTAACTGAGACTTTACGTATGATAATGAAATGTAGATTTTGAACGGTTGTAAACTTTGCTTTCCAGCACATTACTGTTGTCTGTAATCTTTTTTCTTCGTTCATGCTAAATGTATCTGTGTTTACTAAAATATTTCATATTTTGCAGTATATTTGTCAATAATAAGTTATGAATGATGAAAAGTATTTGGTCATCAATGAGTTTAAGTGTTGACCTTATACAACGTTTATGCTGACATCTCTACACCGTTATTCCCGTATATATAAAAAGTAACTTGTCTTATAATGTTTTTTTTCGATCATAAACTAATGAATAACGCGCATGATCCTTGCCGTGGTTATGAAAGGGAAAATGTGATTGTCTACGTGTGTATATATATTCTCTTTTCATCGATGTTTTCCTTTGGTCAAGGTCACCTCGTCCAACGTTATTTGAATTCTTATATCAGTGGAGTTAAAATGATTATAGTTTAAGGTAATGCAGTATCGTATGAGATTCTATAAATGTCGAGTTTTTCACAATGATGATCTACAAAACGTTTTACAGTAAACAGTTGTGATATCACTTTATAACTGTCTCTGTTAGGTGATAATAAGTACAACTGACTTAGAAAAGCTTAAGAATTTTAAGAATTTCTAAGTTTACACAGTGGAATAATTCTTAAGTAGATAACTGATAATAACCAGGAGGGTTATGTAAACCATTGGATGCTAGATCAGTAATCTTAAGTTTAAGCTCTCGCCTCGAAACCTGAAAATTCTAGATTTTCGCCCCTCTGGGTCAAATGCGCACTGCTTACTAATACCATACTGGAACGAATTAGCTGTCAAATACTTCCTGGTTTTCAATGATTGTCTAATTAAGATCAATCTGTGTTGTGAAGTATGGAATTCAGCAATCCATATAAACATCCTATTGTGATTTTATTAATAAATAATGTGAACTTATTATTTTTTTCTGTAGAATTCTTCGACCACCATTGAATTTAGATGAACTTGGCGATTCTATCCAACTATTGGAACAAATATTATCTGAGCAAATTGAAATTCAAGCGAAATTTGGACCTTTGGAAGAACAATTCGCTATTCTAGATAAATGTGAAGTAACGTATTCTGATGAAATATTAAATCGTAGAGTAAACTTGGCTAGTGATTGGGTACAATTTCAAAGTTCATTAGCTTCAGCTGAAGTGGTAAGGCATTACATTTTCTGTTATACAAAATACATATACGTACATTTTTAGTTCTTCCTACCATTAAGTGGTGAAAACAATCCATCATTTCAGTAAACGAATTAAATTAATGAGTCCAGTTTAATTTACATGGCTTTCACTGTAACATAACTAATCACACTATTATATTAGTATCTTGAATATAACCGTAGTATGCATTGAATTTTTATTTATTGAATTACTGAATTCATAACTATGTTAATCAAATATGAAAGCTGTAAAAGAAAGACCACTTACTTTACCTCTTTTGTAATAAAACATATTTTCTGATATCAGACATCGTTCTTAAAAAAAATATGTTTACCTCAATTTTGCTACTTTATTGAAAGTTACAATAAATCCTGAAGTTTTCATCATATAAGGTATTAATTCACTTGGTATTATTTGGCTTGTATCTTCCCATTGAAGTTTGAGACTTCAAATGATCAGTCTGTTATCGGCATATGTGCATACTGTGCGTATGCCTCGATATTGCCTTAATTCACAAGCTTTTTGTAAGCAATGATTGCACAAGCCAAGTGGCTATCAGGACTCAGTAGCTAAGTGGATAACGCGATGGCGTTTGAAGCGAACAGTACTGGCTTCGAGTCCCAGAGTGAACATCAACTCTGAGATGCAGGTATATCTTGATGACGAGTCCCAAATAGGACAAAACGCGCGTCCTGGATTCCACTGCTAGCCACTATCCATCATTGCTTTAAAGAGCCGTAAAATTTGTTTTTGCACCGGTGAGGGGTTGCTCACCCCCCGGAGCTGTAAACTCCCGTCCTCTTGTTTTTCCCAACCGACCTGTCTGACATGGTAGGACCTTGAGGAACGGTTGTTCCAGCCAGTATAGCTCGGTTGCTTCATCACGATAGGCAAGCCCGACCACCACGTCAAGGTAGCAACAACGGTCGGGCCATCATTGCTTACATATAAGGTATTATTTTAAAGACATCCCATCAATATTACCAGTTGTAGAACACTGATCAAAAGTATTATTTGTTTATGCCACCATTCATAAAAGCTAAATAAACCAGTTTCACCGAATTTCACAGTATCATAATATCTAAATGATCATCAATAATTTCTCTTTATCATTTATATGCTTAGCAAGACTTCGTGAATGGATAGATGACATCGGACAGATTGGATGAAAATATGCCTATTTTCCGTTATCACCTAGGATTTTGTTTTACTTAAGTCTTCCGATACTCTGTTTAGATTCACTCGGAAATGTAAAGTTAAACTTATGATTGAATGATAGACAAGCTAATTAAAGTCGGCTAAGATTTGATTGGATTCAATTAATAAAGAGAATTACAAATAAGTTTTTCTAGATGATTGCTTATTGTTTAGCTTTTTCTTACAGGTCTAAAATGTTGATAATTGTTACCAACTGTTAATTATTTTTAAGATCTACACTACTGACGAATATTTTTTATCACTTATCATCATCATTTCTGTTTCTCCGATCATTCACCGAGATCAGTACAAAATTTGATACTAAATGTAAAGTATTATTTTTTGCACTCATAAGCTCCGATACGTATATGTTTTAGAAGGTAGGATAATTACAGAAACAGAAAGATACGAAGAACTTAGGTCCTGGCATAAATATTCATTGACTCAGGTTTCCACAACCATTACCAATAAGGCTGTAAAAATAAGATTTCATCGAACACAGAAAATGAATGTACAGTTATTGTGTTGGTCATTCAACACAAATCAGTCTTTGTATATTGAATTGTATGTTGTTATTTGACAGTTATGGACTGCAGACATCATTTCACCATCTGTTGTAAAACTTTACAAAGTGGTCTTTCATGACGACGCATTATATCCAATTGACTACATCTGTTATGACAGTTGTACAACATGTTTATTTAACACCTCATAAATTGTAATGAATTTCTTTTAACTTTTAAAGTATTAAAACTTTCTAAAAGTTAACTATTGTTATTTTTAATACAAAAGATGATTAAAAAATCCAAAGAGAAATTCAAAGTTGGTTTATTGAATGATACGGAAGAATTTAAACGTGCAGTATCAAATCTTTTACAAGAACTACAAATGAAAGGACCATATGCAGCTAATCTTAAACCACAAGAAGCAATTGATATTATCAACCAATTCTTGGAACAATTAGATAATCTTAAAAGTCATGAATTAGAACTACGTCATGGATTAAATTTATTTAAAATAGAACAGCCACCTTTTAAAGAAATTGCGATCATAGAGAAAGTAATTATTATTTCATTAATTAATTATAATTGTTATTTTGACCTCAAATTATTTATTTTGATACCTATACTTGGAACAATGGATTCATTAGTGTAAATCATCTCATTTCAAAATACTTAAAGGAAAAGTAATTAATCAAATTAATCAAAATATTAATCAATATATGCTCACTAGTGATTGGTTTCAAGAGGTATTTCCTGAAGTGCTAGTGAGAAGCAGTGACCAGTGGAGTTCAACCGAGTGTGTTGTGGGATAGCAACTCACTGAAGACAATGCTGGATATGTCGCTCAATTTCATGGATTAGTTGAAGTTAGACATTAACACCGTTGGATGCCGGCTCAGTGGTCTAGAGGTTAAGCGTTCGCGCCGGAGACCGATAGGTCGTGGGTTCAAATCTCTCAAGGCCGGGTCGTGGATGTGCACATGCTTTCGGACTTTCCATGGTGGTTTAGCTTCGATTGATTCATGATCTCAACTATTGAAATAACTATAATATCCACAAAATCTTCAAATAAGTATTTGTTCATGACTTATAACTGTTTACAAAACTTCATATTATAACATATAAAAGACAATCGTTGGATCATTCTAATAAGAATGGACAAGTTGTTATTTACATTTAAAATTTAATCCCACTGAATTTATTGTTAAGATAATTTCTTTAAAAAATAATAGCTAGTAATACTACCCTAAAATCATTAGTAAAGGGAATTCTTAGTTGAATAATAGTGGTAGTCAATTATACTTCATAAAAATTGCATCATTATTGTTTTGAAACAAGTTTCCATAACTAGTTAATATAAATTTTAATTTAACTGAAAACCAATACGTAAATCCTGTTGATTGAATATTGAAGCAAAATTACTTTGTAGTGTATATTCAAAACTCAAGCATAACTTTCTTGATTAGGTAAGCTAAGTGTGGTTACGGCTCCATGTGAACTCAAAGAAGCGTTGAAAAAGCCGAAAACATTCTATCTGATCATCGTTCGAGAGAATATTCCATAATCTTGACGAGTAACTACACGATTGGGCAAGTGCTAAAACCACTCGATGTGGATTGGATAATGGTATTGATGATTGAGTTTTTACTAAAAACTATAATTACCCGAGTGTTTTGTATTATATTTGACTGGTTGGGCTAAGATTTTTTTCCACTCGTTTTCCGTCTTCTAACTTGTTACTTGGAGGGTTCAGACATTCAAGTGCTCAAGTTGTATGCGGTATAGAAAAAAACTCAATTTCTGGATATGACTCTAAGAATTTTGAAACTGTTTATATTTTTAATCTACTAACATACATATGCACCCTAAAATTAGTAGTGATAAATTGTGATGTGATATTATTTCATTCATTTTATTACTGGAGGCTCAGTTCAACCTAGTTTAATGCTTTTAACAAGTTCACGGAATGTGTTTAACCGTTAGTAGTCCATTGATCTGACTGTAGCATTAGGTTGTATGAGATTTTTCATACAAATAACTATTTGTAACTTTCTAGATTTCATATCAAAATTTTACATCACAAGTACCAACTAGACACATTCATTTTCAAATGTTTACACCCCTTAAGGATTTAGATATATTGAGCACTATTTGGACTACAAACATGGAGTGGGAAAATAACTGGGAAAGTTGGAAGGCTGGACGATTTTATGATCTACAAACAAATGAAATGGAAAACTTGGCTAATGCACAATTTCGTAAATTTACCAAATGGGCACGTGATTTGAAAGTTAGTTGTATGTATGATGTTGAATTAATACCGGGAATTTTTCAGTATATAATCATCATATTTAGTACCCATGATTGCACTGATTTTGTCATTTACAATTTGTATTCACATCGGGTGCCAAGATGTTGATCTTATGCAAGAAACTGATAACAGCATTGTAATAAGTTACACGCTCATTATCGTAGGAGAAATCAGTTGCATAACGAAATGTCCGACTGACATTTTCCTTAGCCTTTTCACAACATAAACAAAATAAGAAGAGACCCCATATTTGATAACTTGTCGAATTCATACGTTTTCGTATATCTTACGAAATATCTAGATAGCCAATGTATTCTGGTTGAAAGCAACTAGAGTTCATTCATTATATGTTGATTGAAAAGCGTTATCCACTAGGTTTTTTGAAGAAATAATGGACAGTAAAATAGTGAAATCGGCGGTTAGAGAGAAAACCTTCCTGAAGCTACAATTCGATGGAGATATAGCTAGTCATATACTACTGTAATGAACGAACGCTCAATTGCGAATAAACAAATTATTGCTCGACACAAAATTATAGAGAGGTTTTCCATAAAATGTGAAAACCATACATTAGAACTGCATTTGTAAATCCTCCATCAATTGCCTCAAACTTCATCGTTCCTTCCTTGTTATTACAATTACTCTGTTTTCATTCTCTTCGGTTGGATCTTCCCAACCTTGTGCTGTCTGTCGACATAAGTAACATACTCCACACTATGAGTTAGATTAACTAAAGCAATGAAAAGGGCTTTCATTGCAGCTAACCTCGATTTACCGTTTACTATATAATTATCATCACTTACCATATTCCTTATTTCTCTTCACTCTGTTTTCTCAAATATACGCTTCACTGACCCATTATCTGAACACTTCTTATTACGTAATTTTATAATTTTTAATGAATGTCATTTCAGTGTCCATTTTTTCATGTTGTTAACATAAGTCCTATTATAAAACATTGATTCAAGCCTTTAATATCCGTTTCACAACTACTACACCAGTCATTACACGATTAATTTGTACTTTTTATTTATTATTTAATTATATAACCTATTTCACTATTATCACTGACTCACAAATTTCATTGATTGGTTTAACAATTCCATATATGTATATAAAGATTGTTGTACATTAGAATAAAGCCTGATGAGGATCTAATTGAAGATAGTATTATTAGTTATATATGTTCTAATTATGTACTGTTAACTTCATTTCTCTCCCACTTGTGACCTGATTGTGATTGAAGTATAATTTCGTATTTAGTGTTCTGTATGATCAGAGATAAATCTCTGTATGTGTTTCCATTCGAAGTTCGAGAGTACAATAGAGATCTAATCCACTTATCATCTTCGTTTTCTTATTGGTTACTGGGTTAGAATGGGTTGGAGGACCAACAAGCTTTAAGGCTTTGGTTTTGGTTCATTTGTAAATTCGTGAAATAGGTCATCAATTTCACGGAACATAAAAGTAAATTAATCGGTGATAATATTTGACTTCAATCAATTCACGATATTGTACAATAATCATTCGTCGCTTGCAGTGGATAATTGTCTTACACTTGACACGGATGAAAAATACAACTTAATGTCATTTTGCTAAGAATTTCAATTTTTTGATAAATCACAATCAGTAAACTGTATTTCTGATCATCCAGCTTATTGAGAATAACTATCAGTCAAGCTCAATTATCCGTATGTTTTATATTTATTCTAGTGATTAAAACTATTATGCATCGTTTAAACAAGTGTCACAATATCCAAAGGCTTAAACAAAAGTAGGCATGCTATCATCATAATTTTCGAATCTGTTATGACTCCTTATTGACATAATGAGCTAAAAGAATGAAAATGGTGAACATTATACAAAATAATATACTGTTCACACTGATGATTCATTATATAGAGGATGTTTAGGTAATCTTCCAGCTCATTGAAAGCATTAGTATTATCTCATTCTTTTCACAATGTCGTATAACATTTTTATTTCTTTGTTTAAAAAAAACAGGATAGAAATTGGGAAATTATTGAAGTTAGTAGAAAAAAAGTTGATCAGTTTCGTCGTACATTACCATTGATCACGGATTTACGTAATTCAGCTATGCGTACAAGACATTGGGATAAGATTAAAGAAGAAATGAATACACAATTCAATGTAGATTCTGATGAATTTACATTAGAATGTATAGTAGAATTAGGATTTGAACAATATTCTGATTTAATCAGTGAAATATCCGGTGCAGCAACTAAAGAATTAGCTATTGAAAAAGCCCTTGATACAATGGAACGTTTTTGGCAAAATAATGAACTTGATATGATATCATACAAAGATAAAAGTATTTATAAGATTAGATCTACAGATGAAATATTTGAAGCATTGGAAGATAATCAAGTATGTGTATTTACTGATTGGTTATCTAATTATTTTTTATATCAGTAACTGATAGTGGTTTTATGTAAAGTTAGATTCTATCTATTGAAGTTTGTGTATTATATGATGTGAAAATGTAAACAATTGTCTAGTTAATTTACCTTAAACGTTTCTCATTTTTAAACAAATTAACTTTGACAAACCTGAACTGAAATGTAAAACAAAAGATTTAAAGGATTAATATAACCAGAAAAGAAAAAAACCCTATGTGTATCAGGTTCATTTGATGTATTTATTGAAATCATGATAACCAACAGTGATTGTGGATCATATTGTATTACTAGAATTGATTTGGAATGAAAATGTGGATCATTGAATTCTACCAAAATTGATAAAGTGAAAATTCACTGCAAGGTTTAAAAAACTTATGATTTGATTCTGTGTAGGTCAAAAGTTCAAAACTGGAAAAATAACGATTATCTGATTATTAATGCTGATTATAATTGTTCAACAGTTATTTGCATGCTGCACATTCATAAGAGACTAATTTCAGGCTGTTCAAAATCTCCATAAACTCTGTTTTATTGAATAAAATTGTTCCCATTGTTTTAAAAAAAGTTCTTTTATAAATTATATTAAGGCATAGACACTTAAGCTCACTGAGGCTACAACTGTCGTTAAACTATATCAATGGGCAGTATTCGTTGAATTAAAAGTGAAAACAATTATCATAAATTGTTATTTAAATGCTTAATCCAATATAAAATCAATCTTTAAAATGTTTGTATTTAGTAAATAATAACGTTGACTGAACTGTTTAGAAAACAGATTGTTTTAAAGAAGATACTGTAACTTTGAGTCAATATTCACGTTTTATTCTTTTTGTCTGATCTTTTCAAAAAGCTTTTAATCTTAACCCAATGATTTTCCTTAATTTTGCCACTGAGAAATGTAGATACGGTAGACTGTATTTGTAAATCAAACAAACTTTACATAAAGTAACAGAGATTTACTTCATTGTAGGTTATATTCATCATAGATTGACCCCAACTAAGATATTTTTGGATAACATAGAGGACTAGATTTCTGTTCGGTTTTAGTGTAAGATTACCCAAGAATGTGTACCTACGACCTCACAAGAACCGAACCCAGGGCCTTCTTGTCACTCACCAAATGCTTAATGTCTTTAAGGATGTTCGTTTGGTTTTAGTGAGACTTCATGACTGGTGAAGTACAGACATGTTGCGAGTGAAACGTTTATCGCCAATAATACTTGGTGATAAATGCGCTACGTCGTAAATTGAGTGGTAGTAGAACTGTACTATTTGGTTCCTACATAATTGTTCCAATGATTAGGTGTTCGACACGAGTTCAAAAGATCCTTGATGGGTTCGTGTGCGTGAACTCCTGAGGAGTCCCATACTAATAAGAAACGACTGCTTAGGACTCTCATTTCTTCAATGGTACTCTAACTGAGACCATCTATGACAAATACAATTTAGAAATTTTACTTTAATTGGTTCTAGAAAATACGTTAACTATGGGTGTTCATTGCCTTAAGAAAACTCAAACTAGAACGAAACATTTGTTCAGTATTACCTGGTTTGTTGTGAAAATTACTTCCGAATCAAAATGTCATTATTTTTGTAAAATTAATGATCTGATACTTTTTCCAGGTTCAATTGTCAACAATGAAAACATCGCGATTTGTCAAACCATTTGAACATCTTGTTGATAATTGGGAACGTGTACTTTCATTAATTACAGAAACTATTGAAGCTTTATTAACTGTACAAAGGCAATATATGTATATGGAAACTATATTTCTTGGTGAAGATATTCGTAAACAATTACCAAAAGAATCTGTATCATTTGATATGATCAATATACAATGGCAATCGATCACAACATATTTATATGAAACACGTAATACAAGAACATGTGCAAGTAAACCAGGTTAGAATTTCGACTTAATCTGTCAGTGATTTAACTAATACTGAATAGTACATGCACTAAGATATACAACAATGAGTTGAATATTATATTGAATTTATGATATACTATGTTGCTGTATTAACAGATTCTCTTTCCTAAAATTACGGTAGGGTTGATCAACTATTGAACAATTCAAGTAAATTTATCCTATTCTGAACTTCGTATATTAACTTAAATCCATTCATATATATGAAGCTTAAGAGTTGATTTCCCAGATAGATAGACAAACACACTCTTAATATAGTGCCTGGTACGGTTATGCATTGGCCCAACTGATAATTGATTAGCACAACCACATGATTATAACAATAATGATAGAAATACTAAAACGTGGGACTATTATTTGACATGATACCTAAGAAGAGATATTGCAATTCAAGATTAAGAGAAAGATAAAGAATGAATGCATCTAGGTTACTATGAAAAATTCTAAGCCATGTCATCTAAAACATAATATTACTTCACAAAACCATTGGTTATTAATTCAAATTGTTATAAACTGTGATTTTTTCATCACAAATAATCCTTAATAGATTATAAATACTATATATTTGTTTTGGACTTAATTATAATTACAATCAGTGCCGAAGGTGCATTCACTTTTAGTCATACATCTACGACTTAGAAAGTTTGTGGTTTCTCTATTCTATTCATCTATCCATCATTGTCACCTCTGCCAATTTTCTTGACCTCCGCTTTCTCTATACTTTTCTGAAATGTCATATTGTAAATTAGAACGATATTCTAACAAATATTTCAAATCGCAATAAATTCCTTACTAGATATAGAAACATTGAGCATTGCTACTATGTACTTAAATTAATTTGAAATTTCACAATAAAAGTATTGTTACCTATTATTATTATTATTATGCACAAAGAACGTCTAATTCCCACTTAAAGTACCAAAATAAAAACACGAAGTTCAGAGAAATGATATCTTTCCAGCAAATTTGTTATTAAGTTGTACAACCGTGTACGACGTGTTTCTATTCACAGAGGTTGAGAATTTCAGAAATAATTTCACAAGTAAATATCATTGATATTATTTAGAGGCTTAAATGAATCTCCATTTTACCATAATATCGACCAGAAAGTATTATTTTATTCACAATGATGATGAGTTTTCATAGAGCATTGTAATCAGTTGATGAACCGTTGAAATTGGGATTCACTTGCATTGATAATCCCCATAAACAAACAAGATATTGATAGTTGCATTCATGAGTCAATTAAAGCTAGACCAACATGAAAATCTGGAAGTACTGGACGGCTATTTTTTCCTAGTGTGGGACTCCTCAACAGTACACATCCACAAACCTGCTTGCGGGATTCGAAACCAGGACCTTCAATCTGGCGTGCAGGCGCTTAACTTCTAGACCACTAAGTCGGCACTCAATGGTGTCTAACTTCAACCAATCTACGAAATGGCCGTCCAGTGCTTCCAGTTTTTCCATGGTGATCTAGTTTTAGTTGACTCATGAATTCGACTATTAAAATTACTACGATCTCCACAAAACCCGTTTCTAATAATAAACAAGATACTTTTTTTTCTTTACACATGAACTATTTTAAAACGTTCGTTTTTTTACTTCTTGTATTTATATAACTATTGATCGATTAACGTTTCGATCTCTTTGTAAGTGAACTTCTGGTTTTAACCAAACTGCACATATTTTGACAAGATCCGATTAAAAGGATAATTCAAATGTGGTATTTATTAAATAAAAATAACTTTTATTCACTAGATTGCTATTTCTTTTCAATTGAATTTTATCCAACAATACATAAACGGGATAAGATAAAACAATCATTAATGTTGAATTTTCCGATTCAATATTATGATCCTTTTTTTATCAGGTTTATTGGATCAAATCAATAAACTTGTACAAAGTTTAGAAGAAATACAACAATCATTAGATATGTATTTAGAGACAAAACGTCAAATATTTCCTCGGTTCTATTTTATATCAAATGATGATTTACTCGAAGTATTAGGACAAGGTAGAAATCCCGAAGCTGTTATGCCACATCTGAAAAAATGTTTCGATAATATTACTCTCTTGAGATTAGAAAAGGTAAGTGAAAATAAACCGACCGCTATATAATCTGGTTTTCACTGTATTAGTTAGTTGTATATTATGGTGGCCATGTATCTGACTCCAGTTAAATATTATGCTGATTGTTATCGAAATATACATGCCGCCAATTCTTGTATGTTTTTATCAACTTAATTCGCGTCAGAGAATAACGGGATAAAATAAGCCAAATAGGAGAATGAATGTTGAATAAGTATATTTCATACAATCATAGATCCAGACAGACAATCCGAGAAACGAAGGGATGCGCGGTGTAGAAGTCATGTGAGCCAACTCGTTTCGATCAAGCGTGACTCAATATTTATAGTCAGACCAAAAATAAATTACTGACACTTAATGAATCAAAGAAGCAATTAACAGACATGCGACCATAAAAAAAACAGTCCGGATTAACAAGCGAATAATCAACAAGGTGGGAATATGGCTTGAGAAGAATGAATAGATTGGTCTGTTTAAAGGTTACACAACCGATATGAGCTTGACATAGTACCTGCCAACACAATATCTTATGGATGAAAAGAAGTGACCAACCTATATTTTATATTTTTCTGACTGATACTTACTTTTCCTCTCTAACATAACGGTGTTCATTATTGAGGATTTTTACTCAAAGACAATTGACTGCACAAAATCACGTTAAGTTAGATAACAGTGTAATTACATTCTGGTAACTTGATTGGATGAAGATGTCAGCACCACATTATTAGAATTCAGTGCGGAAATTTTAATAATTTAACTTTTGCAAATCACGGCTACAGATTCGATGACTAGAAAGCTAAAGAAACTTTATAGAAGTCATATGAGTTGCTGAATAACCAAGTTCAAATTAACTAATAAGGATAGCAATTAGGCCAACTACTTTTAGTTGTTTTAAAAGGTTTTAACTTATTGTTGCCGACCACGGATTTCAGTTTTTCATAATCACATTCAGGTAGTTAAAATGATGAATAGATAGCTAATTGACTGATAGTTCTAAACTATACAACTTGTTGTCTCGCTTACGTGGATTAATTCTGAACAGGCCTTAGTCAAGTGGTAATACAATTTAATAAACAAGTGACAAAGAAATTAGATCTGATCACGATTCACAAACATAGCACGTTAACTGAGGGAGAAGACAAAATAAACACAACTAGAACATGGATTTAGAATGAATTATTGATGTTGGCAGGAGAAAAGTCAATATCATGCAAATATTGGTTTTACCCGTAAATATTCTAACAATCGTATATTGGCATCGTTTGTAGGAATGCGAATTTAATTTACCAGTCACTTTCTTTGAATTTTATTTTTATTTCTTATATTCAGACAAATTTTCTAGTATATAATGCCTTATCAATGTTTTCGTTGGATGGTGAAGAAGTGCCATTCAAAAATAAAGTTCGCCTTGATGGTCCTGTAGAATCATGGTTAGGCGATATTGAAGAACAAATGTATAAAACATTAAAGGATATGTTAAGAGATTGTAGAATTGCTTTAAAGAAAGCAGCAAACAAGCGTGATAAATTTATTAAAGAATGGCCAGGGCAGTTATGTATTACATCAAGTCAAATTCAATGGACAGCTGATGTTACAAGAGCATTACAGCTGGTAAGAAATAATGTTGTTACTGTATTTATTTGAACCGTTTTGACTGGATTTTGGCAAATTTAGGTGTATATATGTAAATAGAGACTGATCAATTGTATTCCACAATATTGACGAAGAGAAGATCCAAACCGTTCAATAAACTTTGATTGTATCCCTCCCTTTGAAACAGTTAGTCCCTTTGATATATTCGGCCAATGTGATGAGAAGATAAAGGTTATCAGAATTATGTGATATATTTTCTCAATACATTTCGAACAACCTAATCACATATACTTGTTGAGACATTATATATGAAAAATAAAAGGTCATCTAGATAAATTAATGGTTAAAAGGAAAGATGATAATAAAGTACACACAGACTGTGAAAACCACTTTGTATAATAAATTCGCATTATCAGGGAAGGTTGAGGGTTAGAACAAACTGTTTTTGGATATATAAGGAGGTCTCATTTTTTGTATAGCCAAGACTTCAATAAACCTTAGTATGCGTCCTCGAAAGCTATCGTATAAAACTCCAAAGGATGACTTCATGTCAACTGTATGACCGGTCTCAACCAAATGTTTTGCACTGTACGAAGATATTTGTCTATCTTGTGATCTTATTTGACCATTGGGATTCATTTGTTTTTACAACCATTTGGGTATGTGTTCAGCCACCCTTACATGCTTGACTTTTCGATAATGATGAGTTGGGCTGTATAAAATTTCTTATTGATAGCTAATTTAATCGTTTGTTTCAACATGAGATTTTGAATCACTTCTCACTTGTAATGTAATGTAGACTCGCTTTTTGGGTGACAGAAGCGTCATATGTCTTATCATATTACTACCTTTCCAACAGTTTATAAACATCAATGAATAACGTTATTTATTAATGTTTTAGTTGAGAGCTTCGTGTCTCCTTCGATAGAATCGTTAGTACAAATACGATTGATTCTATTGAATAAGCCTTTTATTAATCCGTGTTTGTACTGGATTGGACAGAGACTATGGAAACAAAGATATTGCTCTGTCCATGTCGGCTTTCTATGCAAGTCTCCCTACTAATTAGTATGTCTAGAAAAGGGAACTGATTATTCAGCTTTTCTTTGCATGTAAGAGAAATGGTTTTTAACTTGTGTTAAGTTCTTTTAACAAGCGGTCATATCTTCACGTTTGTCACCTATTTCTATGATGTCATCCAAGTAAAGCCGATACAAACACATCTTTTGAATTGAGTCTGCAACTAGATTTCCCACATACCTCATAAACAAATCAGCCAACAATGGTCTTAAAAGACTTACCCTCGAAAATGAAATTCGCATTGTCAGTATGTAATAATAAGTGTCTTTACTGGCCTTATTTGCAATATCTTACAAATTAACCGTTGTCAACCTACCAAAGAAAACATGTTTCCTTGTTCATTTATTAAATAGGACATAGTTAATTCAGTGTTCCATAATATATGTTTATGAGTATTGTTGTGACTTTATATTGAACTTGGTAATGATAAATATGTTTCTAAAAATAATTTCTTATATAAACAGGTATCAAATAGACAAGACAAAAGACCATTGAAATCATTAAAACATAAACAAAAGAATCTTTTAGAAAAATTTTCAGAAATAATACGTTCAAATTTAACAAAAATTCAACGTTTAAAAATTAATGCCCTCGCTGTTATTGAAGTTCATCAACGTGATATTATTGACAAACTTTATAAAATAGGCTGTAATGATATAAATGCTTTTGATTGGTTAAGTCAACTTCGATTTTATTGGGAAAAGGTAGGTTGAAATCAAGTTATTAACTTTTATTTACATAAATAACAATTTTAGTGTTAAAGGTTCAGTTGATATATCGTAAGAATGATAAATTATACTGATATTGTATAGTTATTTCTTTATCAAATCTTTATGATTATGAAAGAGCTGACCGATTCAGCAATATGATAACTTTTTCTACATTCTAATATTTGGCTTTATGTTCAAAATACGACAATATGTAGCATAAATGTTTGTTTATTGTGAGAAGTTACAAAGTATTTACATAATACATATACATAACATTCAATCATCTATTTGCACCTTTCGGTGCATTCTGCAGTCTGAACTGTCTTCTCCTCTGATCTTCGAGTGTTCACCCAACACCGTGCTTTGGATGCACTGAAACTCTTCACTCCGTCAGACAACTGTTGTAGCTTCTACGTCACTTTCCGCTACCCACTGCCTACAAACAGTCTAGTGATTAGTGTCTAATACACTTAGCTCATTATAATGTTGTAATCTTTCAGTTGCTTGCTGAGCTGTTGAGCTCTCTAAACCAATCATCTTTTCAACAAATTTATAAGTTATAGTGTCTATTTGTCAATAATTTGGATAGAGATGTTCAATTACACTATTGAAAATATATCTTACTTAAGCACCAGATATTCAGCAGTAGATTAAAGGGTATGAAATTTCAAACACCTTATTATGAAAATATAGTAATTAAAGGATTGTTAATTGTGTTTGTAATTTTTTAAAACAATTCATGTATAACCTGATTCAATGAACGTTCAAAAATTTTAACTACCGGATCTTAATGTAATCAGTCATTCGTGTGATGGTCACTCTGGGGTTCAAAGGTTTCAAACATAATTATGGAAGATCAGTCCGTCAGCTAGAACGAAGAACCAGGCACATATGCGCATTGGTTCAAGTTGTCATACCTCATTAGTACAACAAGATGAACACCGGATTCATAGAAGTGGTTAATTCAGTGGCGGTAATATATAAAAGAAATATTGCATATAAGGACATAGTACAGGAAGAAGGATTTAGTTTGTAGAAAGAAAGATATTTTACCAAAAATATAATAATAAATAAAGCTAATAATAATAACGAATCATACATTCAGTTTGATTGTGAAATATAGTCCAGAATAATTAACTTCGAAAGCTAAACAATCACACTTTGAACAGCAACTAAAAAAAAAGCCATTGAGGCTAGGTTTTTATTATTTGTCCTAAAATTTTGATCTTATATACCGCCAGTTTTTGAATTTCCTATTATAAATGTGCATTATGACCTAATAACACCACATTAGTGAAGTACGAAATAAATGAACTTTAAAACATCCATTTTCATTTATGACTCTCACTGGAGGTTTGGAAGCACGTCGTTTTATTGGTCAAAAAGTGCACGAGACGAAGGTTGTGTGTAAGGGTTGGGTCGAACAAATTTCATGTTGTTCCTCAAGAAAAATTCACTAGCTCTTTTACTGTGGTTGTCGAGAGATTAATAAGCCATGGAAATCTCCACATTCCTAAATTTTCCATTAGAACATCAAAAGGTTGAATAAATGATTGGAAACATTGTTTTACTATTTAAGCTTAATCTCTTGATACTATAAAAGTTAGTTATGTGATCACAACGTTTCACACATGACGAATCAAAGTTGATACAAAACTAGCTGAGTAGTACACTTCTTGTTATTTGTTTATAGTTAATGAAGATTGAAAGATATAACAGTAATTAATGGGCCTAAAGATAGTTTACAGTCAATATTGTATAAAATGCTATATATGAAATACTCAATGAAAATCTCGACTAATTCACTAAGCAATAGCTATCCAAGTTCTATACTTCCATGTCCTCATCTCTTATCAAACATGTAGATATATTGTTAGTGATGATTACTCTTAAAAAAAGAAGCAGGTATGCTCACCACTTCAGTGAAATATGCCACTGTGTTGTTTAACTTTTGTAAGATTTGTTTCGGTGTAAAATTATTCAACCTGATGCTTAGGCGCAAGTACACTTTGTAAATACTTTATTCATATGAAAGCTAAAGTTAAAACACGTTCTAAAAATAATCCACCAATTACCAGGACATAATAGTAACCAGTTATCCAGAAATAGAACGCCAAACACGCTAAACAGTATCATTATAATATGAAATGATTAGCTGCTACAAATAAGGAAAACGACACACATCTTCTTGACTTATAATTCATTAATGTGGTAAAACCATACAGCACAAATTTAAGCAGTATTAGACCATAGAGTTTAATCATACCTATTTATATCTGTGACATATAATCAGCATTCCTTATATTACCCTAAAAGAAATAATGCTGAGTGCTTTCTTTTAGATTACAACTTTAGAATATTAGTTCATTTTAAAACAATTGTCACTCATTAGTTAATACGATTGTTAAGGGATTATTATTAAATGATAAACATCTTACTTGTGTATTCATTTATTTCTAATAAAAAATGACTAAACAAATTTATATTTATCAGAAGGGGTTTCTGTAGATATTATAGTAATTTTAATAGTTGAGATCATGGACAGCCGTTTCGTCATATTGTGGAACTCCTCAGCAGTGTGCATCCACGATCCTGCCTCGCGAGATTCGAATCTCGCGCTTCCAGGTTTTCAATGGTCGTTCAACTTCAATTGACTGATGACCCCAACTACTGAAATTTATTTTTAATAAACCTTAAAATGAATTTCATTTGTTGCAAAACGTTTGCCTAGTTTTTCAGAAGATGATTAGGCTCAGTTTTTATAGAAGCATACATACGAATACACTTATAAACTATTGAAATTTTTTAGTTCCTATGACATTAAATTTATTTGTACACTTATTTTGCTATCTTTAATATTTTTTTATATTTTACATTAGGAAGCAGATGACTGTTTTGTTCGACAAACAAATACATCTTTTCGTTATGGTTATGAATATTTGGGCAATTCTGGACGACTAGTTATTACACCTCTTACTGATCGTTGTTACATAACACTGACAACTGCATTACATTTACACAGAGGTGGTTCGCCTAAAGGACCTGCTGGAACTGGTAAAACAGAAACAACTAAAGATTTAGGCAAATCTCTTGGGGATTATGTAATTGTTGTTAATTGTTCAGAAGGTTTAGATTATAAGTCTATGGGTCGTATGTTTGCAGGTTTAGCTCAAACTGGTGCATGGGGATGTTTCGATGAATTCAATCGGTGAGTTGATACTGTAATCTATCAAACTCTTAACAAAATGAAAGCTCCAATTTGCTAAACTGAGATCGAACGTAGTTAGTGTTTCGTCACATTTGTTTGATAATAACGCGAAACATAGGACTAAAGAACGTAGAGCAACTTATTATATCGCGCCACATTTTTTCAACTTTAGTTTGAAGGTCAGATATAGAGATTTGAGTCATCTTTCGTATTTGTGTTCAAAAAGAGTTCATGTTTTCTTTAGGATTGTAACTAGAAAAAATTTGGTGAACAGTTTATGTCACTTTTCTTACAATTTTGCTTCACCATTTTCATAATTACTAATTACTACTCATATACTCTACCTAACTTAATAAATATTATCTTAACAAGTTTCTTTTTCCTATAACATGGTACCTATTAAAAGTGTTGAATTACTAACTCATTTTATTGTGTTGTCTTCATTGTCGTTATCACTACAGCATCTGACTTCCTAATATTAAAGTTGGTAATTGTTAATAGTCACGTAATACACTTCGTTATAATACCTTCATTCACAAATCATCCTGATTGCTTCAATATTTTGTATATAGGTGTATGAATCTAAATCTATGTTAAAGCCTGAGATGAGAATCAAAACAACACAGTTCACATTATTTCATATAACGTGTGCCCGTTAGTTGTGTGTATGCTGCTTATGTTGACAGATATGATTAGTTTGTGACAGCAATCGGAAGTGAAATGCCTTCCAGCAGAAGATTAAGACGATTGAATTGTAAAGAATAGGTAGGGAAATAGAAAGCAGTTGTATTGACAATAGAATTGAAAGAACTACGAAGCATGTAAAAGACAACTCGAGGAATATATGCAGATAATGTATTTAATGTATGGCTTTCATATTTTAAGAAGGCACTCCGTAATTTTGGATTGCACAATAAAATGATACTTCCCAACTGAGTGCCTGTTCACAACATAGTGATTTATTCCAAGAAGAATTCTGGTTAGCAATCTTGTTTGTTCGATAGCGGCTATGTCAATGATAAGACAGGTATCAACGAAGCCAAAATATAATGGTCGCGCAATATCGTAAACTGAATGAGTTGTAAATGATCTGCACCGAATGCCAATAAAATTCTACAAATCAAGCAGTTGCCGCGAAGCCTAAAGACCTCGGTACAGATTCTCGATTTGGTTTATGGTGCGCAGTATAGAATAAAACACAAAATTAGACGAAATACCTGATCGACGCTATTTCGCTTTCATTGGTTGTTTAACTAAAGTTTTTCCATGATATAAAGTAACTTCAAATTACGTATAGTTATATTCTTAACCAAATCAAGGTAAATACAGTTGACAATCCTTCTACCATACCGAATTAGTTTTATTTGTGTTAACGTCAAAGAAGTACGTCATTATTTTAAGTGTGTACATAACTAAGTCTTTCATTATTTAATCTATTCTGACAGTATAAATATAGAAGTGCTATCAGTCGTGGCTCAACAAATACTATCAATTCTATCTGCATTAGCGGTAGCTGATCAGTCAGACAATCAAAATACGAAAACAAGATTTATGTTTGAAGGTCGAATGATTCAGTTAGTATGGTCATGCGGTATATTTATTACAATGAATCCTGGTTATGCTGGACGTACAGAATTACCAGATAATTTAAAATCTATGTTTAGACCAATTGCAATGGTGGTACCAGACTCATCAATGATAGCAGAAATTACATTATTTGCCGAAGGTTTTAGTTCCACAAAGGTAGTGCTACAATAAAGTACAATTTTTTCTTAGAAGTAATAATTATGTGAAGAGTTTGGTTTTAATATCAATTAATACAACAAATATTCCAGTGAAGTAAACGTTCATTGGGATTCATTTCAACATCTTAACAATTTTAACTAACGTGAACATGAGTATACTAAGTGGAAATCATGGAGTGCACTTTGTATGATGAATAATAAATAACTGGATCACTAAACGTACTAGAAATTATTGGATAAATGAGAGGCTAAAGGTCAATTTTATTAATTCGATGTTGTAAAATCAGTTTTGGGTAGTTCATCTTATTTGACCAAAAAAATTATTGTCACTCTTAAAATAGTTCGATTCGCTTACTCACCTAAAAAGATATATTCGAACAATTCGTTCAGAAACATCATTGACTCATAGATACTGTGAGAATAAAAGTTGTTCGGTACACAATTTTATGTTTTTATTCATTTCATCAGTATCAGTGCGCATCCAACTTCATCTAAGATCATTTGGATCAGGTGCTAACGACATGTGTGATATACTAGATGTACAAAATCAGGCGTTCTTCTAAATAAGACGATAGAATTCTCTAATATATAAATGAATATATTCAGATTATATTTCCTGTTAGTGTAAAAACATTGAAGCAACTAGATATTAGGTTGATTTTAATAAAAGATTTATCTTTTACAAAAGACGACCGATGCTCAAAGACATATATCAGGATATTTTCGTCACAATTTATTAATGTTACTTTAGGAACCCAATCGATTTATCTACCAAGAAGCATCATTTATTTGGTAAATAGTCTTCGTAAATTCAGAATCTAATTCGACTTTCTTTACAAAGTAAAATCAGCTACCTAAATACTGTAAATTAAGATAAACCTGATAGTCAATTGTACTATTGTAATCACCCTACCCTATACCATGTGTGGTCATCGGTACGAAATAACCATTCGATAACATCTTTTCAATGGTTCTTTAATCAATTTCAGCTGACAGAAAACCATTTTCAACATATAATGTTAAACTCATACTCATAAGGCTTTGTTTCATTTCATCGTTGATAAGTATGTACAAATTTAGGTCACATTGTAAGAAGAATCAAAAGTTAGTTGCAATTATCGACAATGAGACAAGATCAACCAATAACAATTATCGATATAATTTCTGGAAAGTGCTAGGAAAGCCAGAAACTATCTTGGATTTTCTTTGGATAATGTTTTGTAGTTTTGATAAGCAAGCAAATCCTTGATAACTTTTAGTTTACCGTATTACTTTGACCTTTACCACTATGGTGCTGGTTACTTTTCTAATGTTCGTTGTTTTGTTACATGATCTAAAGGTTCTAACTATTACTATGTAAGCATTATTGTTACTTTTTTGAATATAAAAGTTCCCTTATAAAAACTTCCTTCTCTTATTCCTTATAGAGATTGAGGTTAAATTACGGTTGAATTGATACAGTTACAAAGTAGGAACAACTAGGAGGCGAGAGTAAAAACTGGAAATTTCGTTTCAGTTTTAATAGGCTGGGAGTAAGGTTTAAGTACGAGTTATTATCTACCTGGACTAAGTAGCTTAATAGATAATGCGTTGGCGTTTCAAGTGGCATATACCGGATGGGAGTTTCAGAGTGATTAACATCAACAGAATTCGTGGATATCCAGGTGTCAAGTCCCGAATGGAATGAAATCTGCGTCATCGATACCACTGTTAGTTACAGCCTAGATATAATATAAAGCAATTGAATAAGTGAAATTCCCAACTTTTTATCTTGGTAATTAATTAGAGTATTTCTTTTACTTGCAGATTTTAGCCAAGAAAGTATTTACACTGTATAATTTAACTGTACAACAATTAAGTAAACAAGATCATTATGATTTCGGTCTACGCGCACTAGTATCTGTACTACGTTATGCTGGTAAGAAGAAACGTACCAACCCAAATATGTCAGATGAAGAATTGTTACTATTATCATTGAATGACATGAATCTAGCTAAGCTTACTTCAGTGGATTTACCATTATTTGAAGGTATTATTACTGATTTATTCCCAAGTATTGAACCACCTACAATCGATTATTCAAAGGTACGTCATGATGTACTTTAACATTATTTGCATGTCATTTACTAAGTTAAAATCAGCTAGACAATATTTTTTTATCATAACACATTTACTGAAAGTTTCTAAATACATTTTTGGTTATAAAGATTGGAAGCGAATACGAACCGGCTCAAAAGTGGAAACATATGACAACACACGAACCCATATTGTGTAAGAATAATCAGAATTTTAAGTGTGATAGTATTCTCTTGAAATGGTATAATACAGTTTTAAGAATAATTATTACACATACATGTTTTTGCTGCCTATTCTGAACAGCTGTACCGATTTCCCACAAGCTCCCCAACAAGAACGAGAAGACCGGCTTAGTGTTCCCTTCGTCATTGTATAAAGCCCTCCTAAACAACTATGGCAATGAAATCCATAAATAACTTAGTATTAAATTAGAATTTGCTTCGGTTGTTGAATCCTTTCGTATCTTTCCGAAGGTTACCATATTAAACATAAGTACTTAAAAATGTCTTGCTTCTCATAGAGTTAAACCACTTAAATCACTACACTCATTACTTTCGAAAACAATCAACTTAGTTATAAATATGTTCTAAGATTATGTAATTCACATAATATATCATGGTACTTTCATGTACATGAACCATAATTATTATGTTAAATCATTTTCATAGATTAAAAATGCTCTGCAAGAAGAATGTAATAAAATCAATCTGCGTATGACACCGTTTACACTAACCAAAGTTATACAACTGTATGAAACCAAAAGTTCGAGACATTCAGTTATGATAGTTGGCAAAGCATTATCAGGGAAATCTACAACATGGCGCCTACTTAAAGCAGTCCACAATTCATTGGCCAAAGTACCTAACTCTGACTTTGAAATGGTTACAGAATATTCATTAAATCCTAAATCCTTATCTTTAGGCGAATTATATGGAGAATTTAATTTATCAACAAATGAATGGACAGACGGTGTACTTTCAAGTATTATGCGACAAACGTGTTCAGGTAAACTGTCATGTTTATCCATGATAACGTTAGGATTGTACGTCTATTAACTCATGAATACTTTTCTATTGTAAAAGATATTTGCTACTTTAGTGAAGCAGTAAAAAGTTAATAGTGAATGGTAGTTAATTGTAGGACTCTTTTTACCCAGGTTATTTCTTTATCAAATAGCATATGTAGTCATCGGTACATATGTTTTTTCTCTTAATAGTTTTAATCACATTAATACTTTTTTATTCAATGACACTAAATACTCAGCAAGTAATTTATGTTCATGGAGGTTATCTATATCACAACCTCAAGTATTTAGTATGGTACGTTATCTGTTCATGTATAATTTTCGAACTAAAACTACAACATCATTCTGTTACACCGATTACAGACCATTTTCACAACTTTCCTTGCACTTCGCAAAACCCATTTGCTGTCTCAGTTCAAAACTATTGACTGAAAACATTCATAGAAAACAAAGTGTGATCCGATGAAACACAATTAACAGCTGATCCTTATCATTCAATTGACTAATCAGAAGTACTCGACTAAAGATAACAACTCAGTGATCAGTTAATGTAAATATCTCATTCTAACAGGAGATCACATATGATCAAAACAGCTTGGTAGTAACGTTTTTCTGTGACTGAATATGTGATTTTAAATGCAAAACGAGAACATCAACTCCCTTAAGATTGCAGATATACCTCAATCAGTAGTGTCAACTAGTACAAGGTCTAGGTGAAGAACTTTATTTTGGTTGCTTTCAAGCACTCAACACTAAAGATGAGGTTAATTTACTATGAAGAACTAAATTTTCCGTAGTTATGTTGATAATACTTGTTTTATGGCTTAAAAATACTCTTCAATATTTAATATTATTCACTGGTCTAGGGTGAATGACAAAGAGATTCTATCGACTACCAATTTATACAAATAAATTACAACCAATTCACACTGGTGTTTTTTGTTTGTCTAACAGAAATTTACAAACGTTTTTAATCATTACAGATGGGTCGCCAACATTAAAATGGATAATATTCGATGGACCAGTAGACACGTTATGGATTGAAAGCATGAACAGTGTTATGGACGATAATAAAATCTTAACATTGATCAATGGAGAAAGAATTTCAATGCCTGAACAAGTAAATTTTACTTTATTATTTGTAGTTATTTTTGAAATACGTCACTGGAAATAAACTTTTCAAACTTCACTTTGAATTGAGCATTACGACTGCAGTTGTCTTATTTGATCCTGGTGACAATTATCTGTAAAATGTGTTTATCAGGATGAAAAAATTAATTTTAAATCCATAGTTAAGTCTTAAATGATTTCCTGAGGAGACTAAATTAAGAAAGGATGATATAGCGAGGTCCGCGTTGCAAAATGAGTATTTTCTAATTCAATGGTTGAGTTCATGAATCAGTTAAACCTAGACCACCATGGAAAATCTGGAAGCAATGGGCGGCCGTTCCGTCCTAATATGGGACTTCTCAGCAGTGCACCTCTACGATCCCGCTCTCGGGATTCAAACCCAGGACCTTTGGTTTCGCGCGCGAGCGCTTTACCTCTAACCCACTGAGTCAGCATCCAACGGTGTTAATGTCTAGCTTCTAATTATTTAGTGGTTCCCACCACGATTTATTTTATATTCTGATTCACCATTTTGAATAACACCTTCGACATATACAAAAGCCTACTCGGAAAAGCTTTGTTGCTTTATAATTAACTATAGGATTCTTCACCTTATCTCAAGTTGATGTATATGCTTGATGTCTAATATTTCACTATATTTCTATGTTCAGTATTCAATTTTCCCTTCATTTGCGGAGTAAGTGTTTTTACTTAAAACAGTTCGATTACTAAATTTTACGTAACATTTTCAACACATTCAAAAAATTACAGAGATAATTATATCCCTTATAATGCTTTGTATGATAAGTTCTAATCAATCTTTTTATTCATCTTATTAAGAATTCATTCATTCGCGTACATTCAAACATACATATGTATATTAGCATGAAAATACAACTCATGTTGTAATTGTTTTATTTAGATATGACTTAATAATTTAAGAGCTTCATTAATGGTAAACTACGTCGACGGTTTAAAACCTTATCGTATGCAGATCATCTTTTATAACTTGTGGCCTCGTACCATATTACTATATGATGTAATTATACCGCCAATTAGAGAACAGTGATTTATCGACCGGATCAATGACGCGCAAACCCGTATGAGCAGTTCAGATTCTTAACCAGTCCTTCTTTCTACCTAACACTGCCTTTGAAGTCCAGAACACAAATCTCAGCCTACACGATATGAAACATTTATTTCAAGCATACTGGGTTTATATACCAACCAGACAGACCACATCGTACCATAAAACGGAAAATAACAGTTGTACAAGATTTAGCCAAATGTGGCTGTGAATAAGAGAGGTAGTAATTAATAAACAGGGTATAATTCAAGAATGGTAAATCTTATAATAATAGTTTATGGGTTAAAATAAAGCTTATAGTAAGAGGAACATAAATATCCATAGTTTAGTTAAGTAACAGTGATACAATAAAAATATATATATCGTAGTTCTCAAGAGTTACCATTGATAATTCTTGTCGGGATATAACATCATCATCACCGACGTTCAAGTATTAGGTATGATTAAAAAATGCTTAGATTTGTGTTTGGTTATTGATCTGAATTCTTATGAACTAATTCTTGTTTTTCACTTTTTTTAAACATAGGTCTCACTACTTTTTGAAGTGGAAGATTTATCTGTAGCATCTCCCGCGACTGTATCACGTTGTGGTATGGTTTACAATGATGTAAATGATTTAGGCTGGTGGCCGTATGTTGAATCATGGTTGTCGAAAAAGACAAATAAGGTATTAGTTGAAGAAACAAAACGTTTCTTCACTAAATACATTGACAATTTATATGAATATATCAGACTGAACTGCAATATTATCATTCCAATGAGTTTAACTAATACAATTATTTCGTTATGTAAATTATATGATAGTTTGGCGACTCCTGAAGTATGGGTAAGTACTAAATCAAAATAACAACAGATTATGTTTATGCTTAGAAATGTTTTTTTGTCAGAAGTCATCAGTTGGTTGAAGAAAAATATCGTTGCAACATTCACGCGGGAATTTTAATGTAATAATCGAATCAACTTAAATATTATGAAACAAACTATATTGGTCTGACAGTATGACATTATCATATACAACGGAGTACATGGGATTTGTCACAACCTTCGGATCTGTGATATCGGTTGATGCTCACTCGCGAATTCCATAAGTTCTAAAAGACGTTGAGGTTGATCTAACTTAGTTGACCAACAGAATTTTAGCAATCTGATGATGCACTTGTTTAATGATGCAGTATAAATGAAAACTAAGAAAGCTGAGTAAAATGAAAGGTCCAGTAACTAGTGGAAATTGGAAATATGTGAAAGGTAGAAATAGGTAGTGTAGTATAAAATGGTGTCTTATCAATCTCGGCACCATAAATGGATTATTTTTTGGCAAACAAAGATAAAAATTTAGTTGGAATCAAAAGTGGATTGTTTAAAGAACCATCTAACTGTTTGAAACATGGATACGCATATAACCATCTGTAATTAACTTGCGAATTCCTAGCCACATATAAATAATAATTTAACTCACATTACATTTTATGTATCTGATAAGTCTTGCTAATTGAACACTATGTTCGGTTCCTAAGCTATTCTCGTAACCCCCAAGCTAGAACTACACAGCGATCTGAACACGAGAGAAAAGGTGTAAGTACGCGAGAAGTACTTTACTCCAAAGGTTCGTTTTAGTACAGAAAATATAGGGTTTTTATAGTATTTCAGATGTCCTTGGGTTTCCCGAAAATTCTGGAATGATACTAAACATAGTAGCAATCTAGTAATCAGCCAATCAGAAACTCTACATGTGACTTTTCAATTTTTTGATGTTTCTGGCTAAACTTCAAGTTAACACTTATTGGATAAAGTGCTTCTTAGTGTTTCTTGAGCCTTTTTTGTCTTTCGCGAGAAGTTTTCTGGATCACCACAACAGCATCGCATTCATTTTCTTAAGGTTAAAGATATGATTTAACAACACTGACTGGTGCATATTGGAACTAAATATGATCTGAATATTTTCAAGATATAGTGTTATTGAGTTATAATGCTACTACTATATAGGCGAAACATGCATTGCATTACATTATCTGCATCTTTGAATTTAAGTCTGGAATTATCCCGGTTAACTCCCAACATAGTTCTGCTGGTTCCGCAAAAGCCACCCATTTCATGATGATTTACGAGTTCCTCATATAAGCCAAATTATTTGGTGCATTAGAACCATCATACCTCATGGACCTTGAATGAGGGCCAAATATTTTTTATGCGTACAGATAAAACCAAACAGTTACACGAGATGCGAATTAAAATCTAAGTAAGGTATTAAATCATAAAATCCGCATAAAACTGTCAGAACCTCACTTTCCATTCCAAGATGATTATCTCCTATGACCCACCAAACATCATGTGACAAAAATCACCTGTCAGAATACCGACTTCGATGGTCTCGTCCCTGTGATAAACCAATTGTTTGTTAACACGCGCGAGCAGCCTTGAGTCAACTCTTAGTCCTTATTGATCTTTTGTATGGTAACTTCTTGCCCAACCCAGCTCGCTAAGTTGAGATCACTAATACCAACCTTCATTGCATGAGTCGTATATTTCAAGACATACGTGTTTTATATACAGTCAAACTAGACGCATCACACCATAAAATAATTATCTAATAAGAATATATGTAGTAACAGTCCATAAATAATTCCTAGCAGTTACCGTTTATTTATTATTCGTTCGGATATAACAGATTTTAACAGTTTAAACAAAAAAACTTAAATTGTATTAAGGTTTAAACTACCGTTTTCTAGAATTCCAGTCAGAATATTTATGGATTTAAACATGAAACCAAGCTACGCAGCGGTTACCAATTTCCAATAATCCACTACTATTTCTTACGTCATAAAGCTTAACATCGATTCAGATCTTTTATTGAAATTAAAACCAAGAAAAAATGAATTATTGAAAGTAGACTGAAACAGCTATTTAAAGGCTCTCAATCCGATATCAGTCCATAGAAATTATTTGCGGTTCATTTAAGTCTCCATCAGTTACCGAACTGATTTGCATTCTACACGCCACTGAGGATAGTTCTTTATAGTTAGTAGTTTTATTTGTTGCTAATTTGACACACATTAAAACCGTTGGTCATATTTCATAATAACAGTTTCGGATTACATAAACGAAATTTACACTAGTACTTTTTATTATTACACTGTTAATATTCTTAATATTACAGCAATACAGAGATGTTCATCTTTATTGAACGAACGCCGATCGGTTTTTTATTGATGCAAAATATAAATTCAGAAAATGAAATTGTTTTACATTCATTGTCAGCTAAGTGAACATTTGATAGTTCAAAGATCTAGTTATACACCCTTGATGTGAATCTTCATCAATAACTTATCCAAGCTTTTGATTTTGATAGTCATTTCATCATAATGAAAAATTAATATTACGAGGTATTTTGTTCATTTACATAAAAACGCATTAACTTTATTTACATCTCTTACGTCACTCTACATTTTATTACCACTCGAAATATTCTAGGCAAATCCTGCAGATGTAGACTATTATCCGCGTTTATTGGAAATGACGTTTCAATTTTGTATGATATGGTCTGTTGCATGTCTAGTTGATGAAGATGGTCGTAAAAAAGTTGATGCATATATCCGTGAAATTGAAGGAAGTTTTCCAAATAAAGATTCAATCTATGAATATTATGTAGATCCTAAATCAAGATCATGGATTCACTGGGAGGAGAAATTAAATACTGGATGGAAATATTCACCGAAGTATGTTACTTTGTTTCTTTTCTTATAATTCTGTTGATTTGTATCTAATCTCTTGTGATCAACTACTGAATTGATCACTTAAGCCATTTGTTTCTTTTCATGTAACTTTTCTTGTAATTATACAAATCAGCATTAAAATGTTTCATAAATTTCTTGAGTCTACCAGTGATAATTAATGAATTATAATTTGAATATAACTGTAGTCTGAAGGAAGGACAAACTAATTACAGATATCTTAAACTTGGTTTGCATATCAAACGCACTTTTTATATGCTATTTACATACAAGTTCAAGCAAATTCTTTGTAGAATAGCAGTGAAAAAGTTTATCATTACATCAAAAGATTACTTCGTAAATATTATCAAGACTGTATGTAGCGCCTTAATTTGTAAAGATTTGCATTATACAGTTGTTGATATTTTGACTGAACTTTTATCAGCCTTAGTTTCATAATGACTTTATCTAGATCAGCATAGGATGACAATATACTATGACTAATCAAATGTCAGTATGATTTCGGTGGATTCAGTAACTAAATGGATAACGCGTTGAGATTTGAAACAAACAGTGCCGGGGTTCTGAACATAAGCTCTGGGATGTAGGTATATGCAGCTGAAGAGTTCCGAATCGGAAAAAGCACGCGTCCTGGATTCCACTGCTAAGCCTATTTCATCTATTCTTTGTTCACACGCTACCACTTCGAGACAATCAATCATGTAGGTTGAATTCTTCCGCAAAGATTTTCTACTTAAGTGATAGAATTACTGGTTCCTCAAATATTTTTAAATTATCCGTAAAATACCTATGTATACCTGCCCAAACAGAATATTCCAGTGTTGCATTCGTTTATGATTAGAAATTTACTTCAAGATACCATATGTAAATCATTAACCGTAATCGAAAAAAGGTGGAAATTCAGTTTTTCAACTTTAGATACAGAACAATATGGCTAAACTCAAAATGATACACTGGAAGAGCAAATAGTCGTTTTAAATTGGTTTAAAACAATTGATGGTGAAATGAATTTTGTTGAAACTGACTTTCAGAGAACTCTAAACTAATGCATATATTATGAAAGAAAAAATACATTATCTTACCGTTATCTTAGTGATCTTATATTAAATTTCCCTGTCATAATTTTCTTTTTACTCTACAGTTTTTTTCTACTTCGTCAAACTAACACCTACTTTAAGGCCTTGTTTCAACATATCTTGTTAAGTAGCTTACAATGACAATGTTCTAGTTCTCTATATTTCCTGTTTCTATTCTTTGTTCATTTTGCTTTCTGTTTTAAGGAATAGTTATCTATAGTTTTGTTTAGAAGCAAGCATACTAAAAATCCTTTGTTGTAACAACTTTCTACCTTCATCAGTAGTGATTATCTTAGAATATATAACTGCTTATTCTTGTCACTATGTTCTATTGCCTCGATCAGTTCTGTAGACAGGTGAGAAAATTAAAACCAACACAGTTTTATTCTAATTCATTGATTCTTTTCTACCTAATTAAATTGCGAAATTTTTTTATTTGAATCTATGGATTATTGAAGTGTGCGGATAAGTAGTTCCAGTATGAGATGAAACGTACGTACATTGTTTATCATAATTCTTTTTGACATATCAACTGCTAGTTTTATTACACAAAATCCACTTTTGTGTATGTTTTTTATTCCCTTACAATTTTTTTTACCAATAATATAACCTGACTACCACCATTAATCATTTGCTTTATAATTTACTTTCAGTGTACCATTTCATAAAATACTAGTACCAACTGCAGATACAATTCGGTATAATTTTCTCCTGGATTGTACAGTTAAACAAAAATATCCTGCTCTACTAGTTGGTTCTGTTGGGACTGGAAAAACATCATTAGCTTTGGATTTATTAAGGAACTTAGATTCAACACAATGGATTAATCTAATAATTAATATGTCTTCACAAGTTGGTGAAAATTTCATATGAATTTTCATTTATATGATGTATATGATTTCTACTTTCCTAATTTCATTATTATTATTGTTATTATTAATATGTTATTAGACTAAGAATTACCAATAATGAAATCTTTTTTTTGACGTTGACACTTGACTAATAATATATTCCTGCAGAGGACTTTTTAGTAAACCATAGCAACGTTTGATTTCGCATGATGTATGTGGTTCATATCATTGTATCCGATTAAAGTATTTCGAATGACATTAGTGTAATTTGACAACTCACAATTGATCATATTGTCATCGAAAAAAGTGCACACTCAAGTTCATTTATAAATACGATCTCTATTTTCCTTAAACGAAAGAGTATGGAGTTTCACTTATTTGTATAGCATAACACAAAACAAGAAACGTTTTTTTAAATAACTATACTATGGCAATTACCAAGGTATATTTATTTTATAGTTTTGAGTCACATTGTTGAAACTTTGCCCGTTAGTTTAGACTTACAATTGCTTTCATCTCTCCGGCCTATTATTGAGTGCACTCGAGTGTATGATAGACCAACTCAGTTAAATCTATATTAAGAGCTGTATGATAATAGGTGTTATAGTGTCGCAACATAAAAAGTAATGTGAACATGATCTCACAAAAGATGATATGTGCACTATAGTAATTTTCTTCTCTTATATAGACAACATCAAACAATGTTCAAGATATTATTGAAGGACGAGTAGAGAAACGTACAAAAGATACATTTGTACCTGTTGGAGGTGGTAAAATGCTTACATTTATGGATGATTTTAATATGCCTGCTAAAGATAGCTCTGGTTCTCAACCACCTCTTGAATTAATTCGTCAATGGTTGGAATATGGATTTTGGTATGATCGTGCAAAACAAACTAGAAAGAAAATAAAAGGTATGCAACTTTTCGCAGCAATGGGTATACCGGGTGGTGGAAGAATGATATTATCTCAACGATTACAAGCCCATTTTCATCAAATTGTTGTCACATTTCCAACGGTACGAATTTTGTTTTGGAATTAAAAGTTATCATTATACTTTTTCTAAGACTTGAAGAGAGTTTTGTTTACACTTTTATGTTGGAATTAGATGAAGATTTTGTTAACAGGCTATTTTAAACTTGATCCATGCAACATTCAGTATTTTGATTGTTTTCCTTGTGTGCATTTCCATTGTATCATGATATTATCTAAACATCTCCCAATACTTCATAAAGGTAATCAACTATTTTTGTCCATATATAATATATCGATAATTTTTGACACTATGTTAGCACAGGCTGAGAAGTTTTAAAAATAAAATAGTTTTAATTTTCATAATGCCAGTAAAACTTTTGAGTTACTAAATTTCATGTGCGTGTAGTTTGATCAGTTTCAGTCCCAGTTTTTTTATAACCATTAACTTTTAGCAAAGGTGATGGACTATTATAAACAGCTTTTACTTGTCGGTCCCCACGAAACCATAAAACTTGAGAAGGTTGCATCATTATTACTTGACGACATCCAAAATTAGTAATAATCATCCTTTCATTATTCGTCAATCTTGTGAATAGGACTTATAAAAAAACACAATCAAATATATAATATCAATAGCATTTACTCTGAATAAGGATGAATAAATATTAATAAAGTATCACAACAAATTCCGTTTTAAATTGTCCGTAACCAATAAATGTTATCAAGTCCCTCGAATATGTAAAGTAATATACATATCAATTACTCAGAGCATAAAAAATAATTTAATTCAATGATAGCCATTCAGCATCTGATCGAAAATGACTGGTTAAAGGTAGAAACTTAATCATAGTCAAACCCACGAGGTTATTCATACTAAAGCTACTTTATCTTCATCTTGTGCTTGACAAGTTAAAATGAAATATAGTTAGGAGTTATAATTAATGGAAAAATTCTAGAACTTTTCACCCGCGAATTGGTAATTTAACATTATGCGATTCATAATGAAAGTTCAGCCAGGTCTGAATGTTTAAAATGCTTAAAAACCAAATACTGGAACCACTACTGATTACATTCTACCACTTGATGCTTGTTTTAATCCAGATATTTAATTATTACATTGATTTAAATTGACCATTGAAATCACAACACTTCATGATGAATTTTTTGTCATATCACTTAAAGTCTTCAACTAAAAATTTATAACATCACAATGACTTTCGATAGAATTTTTAGTTTTCTCTCAGTTTAGCAATAGACAAAGTCAACCACTTTCTCATTACTAGCGCTTAGTAAACTTTTGGCGGTTTTCGACTGGAATCTGCTTAACTAACATTTCATTTTAAGTTTGATAATTGTTATTGATGAAGTACAAGCTTATGTATTCAGTTTGAGTCACCGTCTAGATGAACGAATCAAGATAGGTGTAATAGTGTTTAAAACTATGATCTACTGGTTGGTGAATATTTGAGTGAGGTAAGACTACTTATTATTCAACAACTAATTATTTGAAGGACAAATATTTTTTGGAAATTATAGAGTAATTGACGTTGATATCGTCTTCTTTAAGCTTGATTGTTTAATCGTTACGTTTTCATTACGTTCTTAGACAACATTATCAGTTTAAACCCTAATTAGGAGTTGTTTTACTTTTGTATCAGGAGGCCAATCTTAAACGAATTTATGGAACTATGATCACTCAAAAATTACAAGAATTTCAAGATGAAGTTAAATCGATGGCTGATAATTTAACTCAGGCTTCAATTGATTTATATCATGCAATTGTTAATAAATTTTTGCCAACTCCAACAAAAATACACTACTTATTCAATTTAAGAGATATTTCCAAAGTAAGTTTCTTTTATTATTAATAATTTACAGTCAGTAGTGAAATTGTTTCACAATAAACAAATCTTTTAGTCAATCGATATATTAATTCATATGATTTAAACTAATTTATTGCTGTCAAATTGAAGTTGCTTTTTGGTGGAGTTTTGTTCTCTGAGCTGGATGGTTTGGTAGTGGAGCTTTCATCGTTCTTCTGAACGACATCATCAGCACAAACTTCAGATAGGAGTGAAGTGTTCGAATTTCTCCATATGTGTTTCACAGCTTGTTCTGTGCACCTCGATGTTGATTGGTTCTTATTGACCTTAAATTTTTCATTGTTTACTTCTTTCTTTTGGTTGTGTCTCCCATTGGTCTGATTTTTCTTCCTGTATTTGCGCATGAATTTCCTGATTGGTTGGTAAATTGGATTGATTTCAATATGCTTGTTGATTGCTGATTGACCTGAGTGCCAGGCTTCTAAAAATTCTCTGGAGTTTTTGGAGTTTTCTCTGTCTAAGATTTCCACATTTTTCCAATCGAATGAGTGTCCGCAGTTGTCCACGTGTATCGATATAAGTGAGGAGATATCATGGCGTTTGACGGCTAATTGATGTTCATGTAGGCGAAGATGAAGGAGGCGTCCGCTTTGTCCGATGTAGTGTTTGTCGCAGTTGGCACAATTTATTTTGTAGATGATGTTTGATTTGTTTTCCTTTGTTATTTCATCCTTTGGTTTGCATAGGATTGATTGTAGTGATTTTGTCGGTTTGTGTGCCACACCTATCCCGAAGGTTTTCAGCAGTCTCGTTGCGGTTTCTGATATTCCTTGTATGTATGGTAGGGTGGTCCTTTTGTTGATTTTTCTGCTTGACTTGGGTTCGGATGCTGCGTGCGGTTGGTATTTTTTGATGAAGCTGATTGGGTAGCCGTTCTTTTGAAATACATCCATCAGGTATTTCTCTTCATTTTTTCGTGCCGCCAGTGTGCTGCAGTGCGTCCTCGCCCTCTTGAAAAAAGTGTGTACGCAGTTGATTTTGTGAGCTCTGTGGTTGTTGCTATTGTAGTTGAAGATTTGATCTGTATGGGTTGGTTTTCTATATACTTGGGTTTCCAGTTTTTCTGTGTCAGTTCTAGTGATCAATATGTCCAAGAATGCTAGTTTATTGTTTGACTCCTGTTCCATCGTGAACTTGATGTCATCAAAACGTTGTTGATCAGTTTGTAAGTGTTTTCCAGCTCATTCTTTTTGACGATGACGAAAGTGTTGTCTACATAGCGAATCCAATTTTTTGGCTTGATCACTGATAGTATCACGGCTTCTAGTCTTCGCATCACTGCCTCTGCGATGAGTCTTGATATTGGTGATCCCATTGTTGTCCTTTTTGTTTGTTCGTAGACTTTGTTGTTGGATTGAAAATATGTTGTTAGGCATAAATCGATGAGTTCCAATAGACTTTGAATTTGAAGCTTTGTGTATTTAGTGAGATTTTTGTCGTTATTGAGCAACAGGGATATAGGTTCTTTTGCTAATTGAGGTGAGTAGTGCTATTATGTCGAAGGGTATCATCAGTTCGTCGTTGTTGATTTGAATGTCCTTAATTTGGTCCAGGAGAAATTCAAACACTTCACTTCTATCTAAAGTTTGTGCTGGTGATGTCGTTCAGAAGAACGATGAAAGCTCCACGACCAAACCATCCAGCTTAGAGAACAAAACTCCACCAAAATCACCCACCTGAGCTACAAATCTTCTCCACCATCTGAAGTTTCTTTACTTTGTTAATCTCTTTTATCTTAATGAAAAAGTATTCGGTTCGTTATAAGCTTTTAATGAGTTATTTAATAGTTCAATTCATGAGTGAATTAAAGCTAGACCACCATGAGGAACCTGGAAGAACTGGATGGCCGTTTCGTCCCAGTATGGGACGCATCAGCAGTGTGCATCCACGATCCTGCCCGCGGGAGTCGTACCCCAGTACCTATTGATCTCGCGCGCGAACGTATAACCTCTAAACCACTGAGCCGGCATCCAACAGTGTTAATGTCTAGTGCTTCCAGGTTTCCCACAATGGTCTAGCTTTAATTGACTTAATAATTCAACTATTTGGTGAATAAAATCTCCACAAAATCCTCTTTTGATTTTAATCAGTTGTTAGAATGAAAATTGAACAGTGTTTGTATAAGGCTATTTCTAGTAACGTTTTATATAATAAATATAAAGATCATAGGTGGTTCTAAAGGACAGAAATTTTTGATTGTCCTTGAAACAAATATTTTTCCGAAATGTTCCGATGAATCAGTAGTTGTTTTCAGGGCTTCTGTTTAGCTAATGACACACAAAAATCCTGCTGGTGAGATAGCCACACGAAATCAAATCATCTTATGATGAGACTATAACTGACAGACCACCTTTGATAGATGCTCAATTGACTTTTAGATTGTCGACTTGCTTAGCCGGGGCAAATGAAAGTTATAAATGAAGATTAGGATTTGGGTTAGAAATTGAAGTTAGGGTTTTCAGCACTAACTGTTATCAGCTCAAATGCCAAAATGTCATTTCGCGCTAAAATCTAAGAGCTGCTCTCTAAAACATGATTGATTCGTCTATAAATTATAGTCTTATCTCTATTACAATGGCATATTGTTAGTACAAAATAATATTATGAGCAAAGAGTGCAAATAGTAATAGTGAAGTAAATATATAAAACTAAGGAATTTTCTTCGAAAAGAACGGATGAAATTGAAGAATGAAAAACATGGAATATCATAAAACCGAAGATTCAGAGTGAAATTAAGAATGAATGCAATTTTACCACTACGTCACATGGTGTGTCTTATGATTAAGAAAAATTTGCTTTACTTTCTTCGTTGTCATTCCTATCCTAGATGTTTAGCTTACCGCATATGCGTGAGGTCATTCTTTTTTATATTTGAGATCTTTCAAGGTTTACTTCGGGCTACTAAAAAGTATATTGATACTCGTAACTCAATGCTTCGTTTATGGATTCACGAAGGATTACGTGTATTTTATGATCGTTTGGTAGATGAAAAAGACAGGGCAACATATCTCGATCTGGTAGGTGAATCATTGGCCAGTTACTTCGACCAAACTTATCATGGTTTGTGTCCGTCTAAACAGTCTCCAATATTTGTGGATTTTATGAATCCTGATAATTCATATGAAGATGTTACAGATTTAGATAGACTACGTAAATTTATGGCCCAAACTTTAAAAGAATATAATGAATCTCCTGGTATGGTACATGTAGATTTAGTCATGTTTCGTGATGCAATTGAACATAGTAAGTGTGTTTATTCACTTTTTGATTTGAAAAACAACACGTTTATTCTTTATAGCATTCGAACGCTTAACTTATCAGTAGAATAATTACTGACACCGAAGAAATAACTTGTCCCTTAAGTATACCACATTATCATCACCTTTATATCATGCAAAATACCAATGTTTTACATCGCTATTCAGAAACACTGCAATTTCGTAGGACTCAAATTTTAGTATACTTACTTCATGGCATTTACATACCTTTACACGGTGAGACCATAATTTATGAACGACCTTTGAGTGACGCTAAACTGACCTTGAGAATGTCTACCTAGTAGCTAGGATCAAACGGGGATTATAAACCAGAGTGATTTTCAGTTGATGATTAAGGTTAGGAAATAGATTTAGGGTTTTCATAACGAACTGGCATCAGCTCTAATGCCAAAATTCTATTCAGCCAAATGGATGAGTGGATTTCGTGCCAAAATCTGAACCTGTTATCTTATACCTGATTGGTTCGTCCACTTATGTCAATCTACAGACTCAAATATTTTGCTATAATGTACGAAAACAATGCACCTAAGAAATCGAATTTCAGTTGAGAACTGCAAACTTAATAGTGAAATCAGCTTATCGAGGAGATTGAGTTTCAACTAATTAGTGGATCAAGGATATGAGACATAGTAAGAGGAAGCTTTCATCTTTGACTATACACTTCCTTCTGTGATCACTTGAACAAAATGAATTCTGAGATTATACAATTCATAAAATAATCTTAAAATTCATTCATTTAAGCTCAGTATAAATTCTTTTCCATAGTTTGTTCAGATGAGCTTATTATGATCATTCAAAGCAAACTATGCAAAAGATTATTTGACAACTTTCCAATTTGTAAGCGACCACAGTTTAAATTTACTATATTATATTTCAAAAGAATTTCATCCGAGTAATGGACTTGATGAAATATACTGATAGAACACTTTCACCGTGTCATGCATTATGACATTACGTGTAACCTATACTAATACACTTCACAAACACATTGATTACAACTTTTTAAGTATACCTGATAGTAATTCGTCTAGAATTTAATAATAATACCAATGATAATAATATCACACTTTTTCAATTAGCGTGCAAAGTTGTTCGTGTAATTAATCAACCAAGAGGTAATATGCTATTAATTGGGATTGGTGGTAGTGGTCGTCAAAGTTTAAGTCGTTTAGCAGCCTATATATGTGAATATAAAACATTTCAAGTTGAAGTCACAAAACACTATCGTAAACAGGAATTCCGAGAAGGTATGTTGTATTACGTTCTTTTACAATATATTAATAAATTTATTATCACCATTATAATCTTAGAATTTGTTCAGTTAAATACAAGTTATAGTTATCCGTGTTCATCGAACTAGTTTGAGTCGGTTTGAGTCTATTCGAGACCGAAAACTGGATTCTTTAAACAATCTACCACTACTGGAGTTTTTACCCATGCAGACTGCAAACTATTACATTCTTTGCTTCATGTTAAACACATGAATTCTTCCTTAGTGAGTTAATATATAGAAAGAATACTTTGGTGTGGGAGTGTAATAATATTACACGAAATTTCTCGTATAATAACTTTCATTCACTAATTATTACTATGTCCCGACATCGGATAGACCTATAGTATTTAGGAAGAAGCTGTACGGTATTACGGAAGGATCAATTGTAGTTGATATATAACAGAAATTAGACGAGGAACTTTCAGTTTTCATAAAAAGATCTTAAATTGGATATTTCTGCATTCTACTCCTGCATATTACTGTAAATTGCGGTTCTAAAATATACTATCTTAATTGGATGTCTGTTTTTATAAAAATTTAAAAAATAAACGGAATCACTTCAAAAACCAATAGGACATATGATGAGGTTTTTACCTTTTCGTTTTGACCCTGTAAGCTACAGTGAATGATTGATGTTTGTGTTCTGTAATTCAGTTACCGTAGATGACGAGTAACTTAGTCAATAAGAATATGTGATATTAACACAGTTGCATTAACAGAGTGTAAGTTTGTTCGAAAAGTTAACCAGTTTGTAAGAATCACTCTTATATCTACAACAGTACATTATACCTTTAACAGCAAGTTACATATGCATCATTATTAAACAGTTAGGAAGTAAACGTTTCATCACACTTATACACTGTCTTGTTCAATGAGGACAAGAAATCATAGTAATTCATATTCTCTTGTAACTGCCTTAATATTGTATGTTAGCAAATTGACTGTTTTAAATTGTATTATTATATTGAATATAGATTTAAAGAAAATGTATTTTCAAGCTGGTGTTGAAAATAAACCAACAGTATTCTTATTTACTGATGCACAAGTGTTAGATGAATCATTTTTAGAAGATATTAATAATATGTTAAGTTCTGGTGAAGTGCCTATTTTATACAAATCAGATGAATTTGAAGAGGTTAAACAAGAATTACTTGAAGTTGCTAAACAAGAAGGTATTGCAGAGTCGACTCAGGTAAACTACAAGTGAAAACATTCACTTCAAATTTAAATATATGGAATATCGTATTTTGATTATTAAGTTCACCTAATTGGTTCGTTGGGTCTAAAACTGGTAAAATATTCTTCTTCAAACTCATCTTTCCTTATTCCTAAATGTCAGTAAAAGTCAATTTTCAACATAATATTTGATCCATACTAACACAAGGAGACACTTTAAAGTTTGTGCTGTAAGACTATTCAAAAATGTAGACCACTCCGATTTACTCACAAACTGGAGACAGGTTATTTGAAACTCATTAATTGTATACTACTTCCGAATTATTCAGTTAAAATTCACCTTCACACACAGTAAAACTGCTGAATCAGCAATACTGAATCTCCACCGACCACCTACTCTGACGCCTTATATAAGCTTACATAAAAGTAGATTGGGATAGAGATGAAACATCCAAGTCAGGATACTACGTTATTCTGCAATGCTATGAACTACTGATCAGAGATGTTTCTAGAAGTGCACATTTTTATTGTGACGTTTGCTGGATATTCGTAACCTTTGAATGGATCAAAATAATGTCAATAATATCTGTATAACTATTCTTCGTCTTCCCCTTATTATCTAATTCAGTATTTTGTCATACTTTTTGTTCTATAACATCGGTTTTTATAATTCTTATACTCATTTTTGAACCACTAACAGTATGCATAGTTTCTTCCCCTTGATTTTTTACGTCATTAACTTGTTCACCGTAGCTTCTAGAATCCAATGTGAAAATTAATTAGTGGTTTAGAATTGATATAATATGCTCCAAACCCAATACTCTGAAAACCTGATTTGTTTAACTTTAAAACCATTGATCTCTCGTTTGTTTATTTTATTTGTCATTTAATTCTTTCCATGTTAGTTTAATTCATTTGTTAAATTCTTTAGATTTAACCAATCTATTTTCGTTGCACAGTGAAATTTATTTCAGCTCATTCGAGAAATGTTAAATATGGTATTAAACATTATTTGAATAAGAATATAACGTTAAGGTAGTTACATCGATTGGAAGAGGTTGGTCAGTGGTTGAAGTACTTGACTTCTAAACATTAGGTAGAGGGTTGGGATCCCATCTCATTAAGCAATGTGGCTCAAATTTCAGTAATTAAACATGTATTTAGTAAATCAATTATTTTTATTAACTGTTAGCTATTTAATTCATGGTGGTATAACATCAAACATTTATTTCTCATATTCATTTGGCATTCTGTTTTATTAATATAGGCAATATTTCGTTTTTTCATTGAACGAGTTCGTGCTAATCTACATATTATTTTATGTATGAGTCCTATTGGTGAACCATTTCGTAATCGTATTCGAATGTTTCCAGCATTCGTTAATTGTACTACAATTGATTGGTTTAGTGAATGGCCACTTGAAGCTTTACTAGAAGTAGCTGAGAAATATTTATCATCCGTTGATATTAACATTAATGAACCAGATGTAAGTTTTTCTCCACTACAATTACCATTATCAATTTCCTTAAAAACTTTATTTATGGATAAATCACTCCATTTTTATTGAAACTAACTACCTATCAGTTATAGGAATAGTTGGTCTGTTAATAAATACTATTTTAAACAATCAGTATTCTCATTCAACAAGATCATTGAAGAAGCATTAATTGAGCAATAATTTTCATTTGATTACTTATTTACCAAGAAATGTAATTTTATTTTTTATTAACCACAACATATATGGATTCAATTAGTGAATGCACATAATAAATACAACTTACCAGTCAGTATACGTTTGTCTTCATTGCCTAGTTAAAGAGTTGTAGAAAAAAAAGTTATTTATAAACAGTGAACTAAAAACACTGCATGCTATCAAAAATTGACAAGATCTCTTTCTACTGTACAGGTCATAAGCACCTTTATTAATCTTTTTTCATATCACTTTTGCCTTATTTCACTTGTAGTTGATATATCTGTTATATCTTGAAAAAGCTGATTTTCTTGATACAACCGCGTATAACTGAGCACTGGAACACCAAACCCTTCCAAGTCGCAATAAGAAGACAGAAGACTAACGAAAGGAATATTATTCCAAACAGTGTCAAACATAGTACAAAATTATCAGGTATTTATAGTTTTTAGTGGGAACGAAATCATCATTACAATCTTCCAATCCGCGTACAGGGGTTATTAGCATTATCCAATGGGGAAGCTACACGTTGGAATTCTAGAACATTCTTCCGACAGGTGATTGGATGGAACGTCTTCGGCTCCTTATGAGCCTCTTACAGCTTCCTCGAGTTCACCGGTGGTCCGTCGTCACACCTCCCCCCTTTAAAGTCCGTTGTGTAAGATTTTTTTCTTGGATCCACCTGAAGCTTGGGTGTCGCATTCCTCTTGCGCTCCATTACTCTCGAGGGTTGTACAGCTTTCTCTCTGCGTCGTTTGTCTTTTCGATATTTGCGCTCATGATGGTTCTTCGGGGATGAATCTACGAGCAATTGAAATGGAAGCCGGTTTTCTGTGACCACTGTACTATCATTTCTTTGCATTTGATTTATATGTCTTATGCATTTCCCGACATCTTTCCGGACTAGGTACAACACATTTCCGATTCGACGTTCTATGACACCTGGTTCCCACTTCTTATTACCTTGGTACGATCTGACAAGTACCTTCTCACCCACCTGGAAGCTACGATTGACCTTACGATTTTCATTCGTGGGTTTATTTGTCTTTCTGGGCGGCAACATACTGTTAAAAACTGTCCGGATTTTTCTTCCGAACATACACTCGGCCGGAGACTTTCCTTCTGGTACTGCCGGATTAGGGGTAACTCTGTAAGACATCAAGAACTTATTAATCACTTGTTCCGGGACACCCTCACCTCCCCCTTTGACCAGAGCTCTTTTAATTGTATCCACGAATCTTTCTGCCTGGCCATTCGACTGAGGATGGTATGGAGGAGATTGTAGATGCAATATGCCATTCTCGTTGCAGAAGCGTTTGAAGGCGGATGACATGAACTGAGTACCATTGTCGGTCACTAAGATCTCTGGAACCCCAAAACAGGCAAACAATCCTGACAATCTTCTTATGGTACTCTCTGAAGTCGTATTCGGCATGTCATAAACTTCCGGCCATTTTGTGAAAGCATCTACAACAACTAAGTAATTCCTGCCTTGTATCGGTCCGGCGAAATCAGCATGTATTCTTTGCCAAGGCCCGTCCGGTTTAGGCCATGGTTGTGGCTCAGCTCTCGTTGGGTTCTTTGCAGCCTCTTGACAAGACCAACAGCTGCGACATTTTTGCTCTATCTCATGGTCCATTGACGGCCAGTAAGCATAGCTACGAGCTAGTGACTTCATTTTACTTATCCCTGGATGCCCGCTGTGGAACTGTTTAATGGCTTGGTGTCGAAGATTTCTGGGGATAACGATACGATGGCCAAACATTATACATGAATCGACAACTGTTAATGACTCTCGTCGACGAAAGTATTGTAAGAGTTCTCCGTGTAATCTAGATGAAGGCCATTTATTGAGTATGCAATGGCGAACAATCTTTAATACATTATCCTTCTTGCTGGCCTCTTTAATGGCTTCAAATGTGACCGGGAGTCCGGAAACTGCGTCTGACAATATTTTGTGAACCTCGGCCTCGACATCTATAGCAGCTACAAGCACCTCTTCTTCTTGTTTTTCATGCAGACCAATCAATCTTGAGAGTGCATCTGCCTGTCCGAAATCCGTTGTTGGTTGATACTTTATCTTAAAATCATAACCCAGCAGTGTGGTAGCCCATCTCTGTAGCCGGTTTGCTGTATATACCGGGATGCCTTTTTTAGATCCAAAAACTGTCAGTAAAGGTTTATGGTCTGTAAGTAAGGTGAACTGCCTACCAAACAACATCTTGTGGAACTTTTTTACAGCAAATATAATCGCGAGGGCTTCCTTCTCTATTTGACTGTAGTTTCTTTCAGTCATAGTCAGTGATCTCGCAGCGTGAGCGATTGCTTTCTCAGAACCGTCAGGGTAGGCATGTGAAATTACTGCTCCAATTCCGTAGTTCGACGCATCGGCTGCGACTATAATTGGAAGATCGGGATCATAGTGTGTAAGGAGAAGGTTCGATGACAGAAGCTGCTTCAGTTTTAGGAATGCTTCTTGACATTCAGTTGACCAGAACCATTTAGTATCCTTTTTCAATAAGCAATTAAGAGGAGCACGATGGCGATGCAGATCTGGCAGAAAAACTCCATAATGACTAACCATTCCCAGGAAAGAACGTAAAGTTGACACATCCGTGGGTGGAGGCATGGACTTAATGGCTTCGACATTTTCAGGATCAGGTTTTCTCCCGTTTTTATCAATTATGAATCCCAAATACCGGACTTGCTCCATGTAAAAATCACATTTTTCGGCACGCAGCCTGAATCCATAATCTGCTATGCGTCTGAGAACCGTATCCACCTTATTCTCTAAATCAGCATAGTCTGTACCCATGATCAATATATCATCGAGATAAGCCGCGGTACCAGGAATGTCTTGTAACATAGTGTCCATAACTTGTTGGAAGATTGAAGGGGCGGTCTTTACTCCAAAAGGAAGTCGGTTATATCGGAACAATCCCTTGTGAGTGTTTATTGTCAAGTAATGCTTACACTCATCCGCTACCGGAATCTGTAGATAAGCGTCTGATAGGTCTAATTTCGCAAAATACTTACCCCCATTCAGTTTCGCAAATAAATCCTCTGGTACCGGCAATGGGTATTGATGGGCTTCAAGCGCTTCATTTAATCCAGTTGAATAATCTGCACATAACCGGATACTTCCATTAGGCTTTTTAACAATCACTATTGGAGCTGCCCAATCAGAGAAGTTTACTGGTTCGATTATTCCACTTCTTTGCAGACGCTCTAATTCTTGTTCAACAATAGGTAGCGCTGCATAAGGTACCGGACGTTTTGGTCTGAAGACGGGGGTGACTCCCGGTTTAAGAATCAATAGTGCTTTAACCTTTTTGCATTCCCCCAACTCTTCCATAAACACTTGACTGTGTCTTTCCAATACAACACTCTTCAGATCCTTTTCCACCGGTTTACTGGTTCTCACTGCGCTGCATATGTGGTTAATGGGGTGATTTGCTAATTGAAGTGCTTCTATCAAGTCTAGACCTAGCAAATCTAGTCCTGGATTCTGTGTAAGATATAAAGTTGCATTCGTTTTCGCATTTCCTTTCGAGACTGTACAACAAACCTCTCCAACAATATTTAGTTTTCCTCCAGATGCGCTGTGAGCTAACTGGGTCGTTGGGAGCACCTGTGGTTTACCGATAAGATTCCAAGTTCTCCGACTAATAAGTGTGATGTCAGAAGCGGTGTCGAGTTGCAGGCGGGCACGCTTTTTATTTATATCCAAGTTACATACTTTCTTTGGCGGCAAATTCGTGCTCGATTATGTGATACCAATATTTTGTTAGTTCGAGCACTAAATCTGTATTTCTTCGAGTAGGGTTTCAAAGAATGTCGTTTATGGGTTCTTTTTCTGCAGCAGTTTTCTTTATGTCCCTTGCGATGACACTTGCTACAACAATGTTCTTTATATGGGCAGAACCTTTTATAATGCCAACCACCGCAAGACCAACATGGAGATGAAGGCTGATTATCTGTGTGCGATACCTTTCTTGAGCGAGAATCGTTCTTTCCGCTTACAGCACGAACGTATGGCAACTGGCCATTATTTTCGACCATCGAAGTGTCATGCTTTAGGTTTACCAATCTCTGGCACTCTGCGGTTACTTCTTGTAGTGTCATATTCGGACATTGTTCAATTTTACTCAAAATTCTAGTTCTAATATCGGCATCTTCGGGAGATTGGAGGCTGCACACAAATACGAGACACTTAAACTGGTCTTCTGTCATTGCTGATAGTTTGAAGCGCTCACATTCACGGTTTACTAGACCCGCATGCTTCACCCAGTCATCATCACCTGCTTTTGTCATCTTGAGACATTGATAACGAATATTAAACAAGGATGACTGTTCAGCAAAGATTTGCGACAAAATTTCAATCGTTGCATCGAAAGAAAAATCTCTTGGATTCTTTGGAAGGATAAAGTTACTGTAACGTTCATGTTCAACAGTTCCAAGTTTTCGCAAGAGTATTCTGACCTTAGCGGCGTCATCAAGTTTTTTGAGGTCGACCTTGAACAAATCTTCATATTTCTTGAACCAAGTTTCAAAAGTAATGCCAGCTGAACCATCAAAATTAAATTCATGGATAGAATTAACAATCTGGTCAACATGAGATTTGAAGGGATCATCTGTAACTTCTTTTTGATCCAGGTTCATTTTCTGAGTTAGCATCTCTAGCATGCGCATCTGGAACTTTTCTTGACGTTCCAATAAGGCTTCAAATTGTTCCAAGGTAAATGACATATTGATACAATAACCCGTCGCCAGATGTTATATCTTGAAAAAGCTGATTTTCTTGATACAACCGCGTATAACTGAGCACTGGAACACCAAACCCTTCCAAGTCGCAATAAGAAGACAGAAGACTAACGAAAGGAATATTATTCCAAACAGTGTCAAACATAGTACAAAATTATCAGGTATTTATAGTTTTTAGTGGGAACGAAATCATCATTACAATCTTCCAATCCGCGTACAGGGTGTTATTAGCATTATCCAATGGGGAAGCTACACGTTGGAATTCTAGAACATTCTTCCGACAGGTGATTGGATGGAACGTCTTCGGCTCCTTATGAGCCTCTTACAGCTTCCTCGAGTTTACCGGTGGTCCGTCGTCACAATATCGCTATGCAAGTAATGAATTGGATTGATACACCACAGTTGTTATTAATGTCGATTATCACAAAGTTGTGTAATTCTTACTGTTGAGTTTGAATTAACTTCCGAAATCCACCCAGCCAATAGTCTTTTTGATCTGCCATTGGTTCAGTTATCATTAATCTCAGTTATTTCATTCCTTTTCAGACAATTAATTCTAAGAATTATAATCGATTTTGTTTTATGCTTGAATCATATCAGTAACGAGAACAAAACTATGTGTTTGGTTTTGACATTTGATTAAATAAAGTTACTGATATTCTGTATCACAATATAATATATTTAAGTAACCTGTCATTATTGAGTATATCCATAATATTTTTTTTCACTGATTTAATTTTAGCCCCAACTTTTGATTAAAAAACAGGTAGGTTTTTTATTGTAACCAACATTGTATGACGTAACTGTATGCTTATAAGTATTATTCTGATAGGTCATGTTTTAGTTATGTGCTAGAATTTATTTAGTTGTGAAGCGGGAATTGATTATATAACATTTTCAAGTGGATAAATTATTAATGAATGAGAGAATTTATGAAACATGAGAAATATTTGACCAATAGGACGAACAGAGTAACTGAGTGTATCATCAGATTTCAATGAATGAGTTATGTGAATGATCACCAATAAATCCGAATAGACATAACTATTATGATAATGGTAATAACAATGGTAATAATTAGTAGAATATAGTTGAACGGTTTTTCATGAAGCAAGAGTGAAGTACGAACAGAAAAGAACAAAGAAATATAATAAAACTGTAGACCAAGACCACGGTAGAGCGAGGAATCAAAGAAATTATCTTTGTATGCATAAATTGGGCCTCAAATAATGGATGAATAAAGCTTCTGCAATTTAAATCAGATTTGGACACACACCTGAGCTTTTATAAATGGTGTTAATAGATGAATCTAAAGCTAAATATTCTTTCGCAACTACATCTTACAGAATAGATTATTTTATTTATCAGTGTTGTTTTTTGCTGAGCCATACCAGTAGATGCACCCCGAATTTAACGAAGAGATGTCCTCGACGACTAACTGAAATCGGTTGTTAGGTAACTGTTTCTGTTTCGCTTTGAAACTACCCAGTACCAAAAGAATCTATAAAATTTTACTTGAATTGTAATCACAATATTACTCAAAAAAAACTCATAACTCAATGGTTTACGTCAACTTTCAGTCAGCTTCCAGGATCATTACCCAAATTATTCAATTAGACAGTGTTTCGCTCTCGACGTAGTTGTTTCCTAACATCACTGAATCTTGATAAAAATCATAAAAACTCTATCACAGTACTAGCTATTAAAATGCAGTGAATTAATATTTAATTAAGTGGATTATGGGAGGTTTTCGAAATCATATCTTTATTTCATATTGTTCGAAGTTTTTATTTGTGCTTTTACACATTTTTTTGAATAAACAGGGAAAAATGAGAATAAGTGTTGCGAAAATATTCGCTTACATGCATCGATCAGTTACTGATATGGCTGTGGTCATGCTTAATGAATTGAAACGACATAATTACATTACACCAACCAATTACTTAGAATTTGTATCTGGGTACAAAATGTAAGTGTAATTGGTGGGAATTCATTATGGTATAATTTATAATGATGGTTACTAGTATTGCTAAAACGAATATGTTAACGAATAACCAAATGACGTTTGAATGTTGTTCAAATTCTAAAAGCTTCAAAACAACATATTTAAAGGCCGCATGGATGGGAAATGTTTTATTCCAGATGAATGCTTCTCATTATGTTTTATTCTCTGAAGTGAATAGCAGAATTATGAAGCTTTGACTGGCGTTTCGTAAACTTTACCAATTGTTACTTGAGATGGCACTTTCAAATCAATCTATAAGTCCTAATAAAAATATTTCAATTCTGCTACGGCTACTCTTAACTATTCCTCATCTAAGGTCTTAATGTCTTCATATACCTCTGTACTCCCATTGACCATTGTTTCCTTTCAGCATCTAATTATTTTCTAAATGATTTTCGTCGTATACTTTGATAGATTGAATCTATTACACTCAACCTATTGACTGCATGTTGACTTAAGTTTCAGGCTTCTAAAATTATTCTAGCTTCGTAGAATTTCCTCGATCCAACATTATGATATTTTATTAGTCAGATTCAAGTCCATTGTTGTTTGTGTGTACTGAGATAGGCGACGATATCCAGTCATCAAACAAATACAGGGAGTTCAAATACAAACTTATGCATAAAGCCAATACACAAATTAAATTAAATTCAATAATAAACAAAACTAATTATATACAGGCACTGTTTAGAGAAGTGGAAACTCTGTGCTACTCCTACTTACCATGCAAATTAAAGGCATTTAGTTGCATTTTATTGGCATCGTTATTTAAACAACCTCATCAAAGCTGTCTTGGAAATCAACACCGTTTTTCTCAATACCGCTTGTTTAATTGCTTTAGACGGCTATATGGAAATAGTTTTGTTTTAGTCACCTTCAAATTTCAAACATTCTCACTTCTATACTTATTTATCAAAACGCCCATTTTTTTATTATTAAAACAATAAATGCAAATTTCATGCAGTTTGTCAGTCATAATGTAGAATTAAGCAACATATTTGCAGTGGTTTAAGTTGTCGCCGTACATGAGCACAGCTAGATGAAAGTATCAAATGTCAGAGTATTAGAAGTAATCACAATATCAATTACAGTTAAAGACATTAGACATAGAATAAAAGATCGGCAAAGAAAATACAAATTAATGCGATAAAAAAGGATAAATTTGAAAGTCGAGATATAAGGTTAGGAAATGAGTGAATACATTTGCATCATGCTGAATGATACCGAACCATACCACCCAAAGTCTCCAACCATTGGTTGCATTGATCAACTTGCACCTGAGAATATTGGTTGTTAAATATTAAGGATGTTATAAATTTGAATACCGTCTAGTTACTTCTGTTTACGTAATCATGATATCGACAAAAATACAAGGATAAGATTGAAGAATTTTATTGATGCTAACCATTTTTATGCACACAGTGCAAATGAATATTTCGCTCATACACTTATTCATACTCTACATTGAATTCATTTCTTTTACAGTCTTCTTTATCAAAAACGTCAAGAATTAAGTGATAAAGCAAATAAATTAACAAATGGTCTTGATAAGATTGATGAAACAAGAAAAAAAGTTGAAGGTAATTTTAATTTTTGTATTTTTCATTGTCAGACTTTATGTTAATGTTTTTCCCCTTTAAAACAATTAAATGAGTCCTCAATTGATTGGATAGTACGTTAGGAGTTTTGGGCAAAAATTGTGAGCATTAACACAGATTTAGGTACAGTTTGCTAAGAAGTCCCTAACAGGACAAAATGTGCATCATTGATTCCATTCCTAACGACAGCCTATCTATTCTAAACACGTGAATAAAATTAAAATACCTCTGACCATTTCACTGTTGAATATTAACATACTCGCAGTTATTTCTAGCTAATTATACATTATTTTAACCTGATAACTCAACAAAAGCGCAATGAGACTACCTATAAGCTGAAGGCAAAAAATGATTTATATGCGAACTAGCATAAAACATATTCATCCCATTGCAAAGTGATAATCCACGTATTTGTTTATTATTCATAGTGTTATTGTTGAGCATTGTTATCTTTTCTTAGTATACTTATGTTTTCTTCAAGCAACAAAAACAAATTCTTGAATTTTTGGATCAGTGTATAATTAAAATAGATTGTTTCTTTAGCAAATTCACCTGAGTAAATTATTTCATTGACACATTTCTTTTAATTAAAAAACTTCCGAGTCGTAAGTGACTCCATTCAGGAATGTATTGATGGGAGTAAATAAGAAGGAAATACACATACAACATAAATACCGCTTATCACGGTGAATTAAAATAACAAATCTAGGTATGTTCGTATATGGAGACTTTAATGTTGTTACATAAACTTTGGGAAAGTGAGGTTTCATGGTTAAGTATTCCTACAAAGGCTGTTGGCTATCAAATCAAATTTTACTCTGTGATCAGTAACGTTAGTTGATAGTGTGTCAAAATCCCTACTCATTTTTCTAGGATACATTAAACAATAAAACTTGGACCAGCTGGATATAACTACTTTTGTCGCCTCTAATTAATATTAAGACAGCAAACGAGAACCAATCTTGTTCTCTCTAAGACCATAATAATCATTGCAAAGTCATTACAAAACGGATAATATAACACTTGTAAACCAAACACATAAGTGTGATATATGTTTCATAACCCTAATTATTAGCAATTTCAACAGTTTGTGTTCTTAGTCTATGCTTTATTATTTTGGGAAATTTCAACATACCTTTACCTTTTGTAAGTCGAAAAACATTGCTGGACATTAAGAGTTACACTTTTCAGAATGAACTAATATTTTAGACAATAAAACCTAATACTTTATGCCTCCTGAAGTCAATTACAACTAACTATGCTGATAGACAGTGAAATAAAACAAAAGACTCAAAAATAGATGACTTTATTACAAACTTTAAGAATCTAATTACGAATACACAACATGGTATATTTTCTTGATGTTCCTTGAAGTGCTTTTGAATATAATTCAATGAAGGAATATGTACAAGTTTAGCATTACTCTTAATTTTCAGTAATGTCTGTGGAATTAGAAGAAGCTAAAAAGAAAGTGTCAGCATTTCAAAAAGAATGTGATGATTACTTAGTAGTTATTGTTCAACAAAAACGTGAAGCTGATGAACAGGCTAAAGTAAGTGATCTTTTAAATTTTCAGTCAAACTACTACTGTAATGTGTGCTACTCATGTCGACAGATATAAATAGTATGTATCATCAATCGAAAGTGAAATATTTGGAGGTAGAAGGGTAAGAAGACCAAAGAAAAGTGAACGAGAACTTACCTTCAAAGCATGACAGATGTTTAATATCAGAATTGAAAATAAATAAAAATATTACTGTGAGATAGTTTATTTATCAACATCAAGAATTGTCATGCGAGTAAACTGTTTTCAAATCATTACACTTTTACAAACAAACTGTTGACTACCTATCAACAAAACAAATTTCTATACTACACTAGTTCACTGAAACCAGGGACATTTGAATTTGATTAGTTTATTAAATTTTGTTGTCGAAATATAATCTAAGTTTTAATTAACATTAAAATTTAAACATGTATAGATCAATCATTATTAGATATGGTATAGTTAAGACTCAGTGATTAAAACACTAGACTTTTAACAAATAAATTGAAGATTGATCTTCCCTTCGCTCACTTATTTCGTTTTGATACCTTAAGTAATACTATTTATGATCAAACTATAGAAATGCTGGCTCAAATCTTAGTATATAAATATGGAATTGGCAAGTGAATCTTAGTAATTTATCTAAACAGATATTATTGACAACATTGAAATCGTAATTTTTTTCACCTTTAACTATTATTTCTAGTCTGTTATGCAAACTCAAGAAAAAATTAAAATAGATGAAGCTAAATGTTTACATATGGCTGAATTAGCTCAAGCTGATTTAGCACAAGCTATGCCAGCTTTAGAAGCAGCTGTACAAGCATTGGAGTCATTAATAAAAAGACATCACGGAAATTAAATCATATGGCAAACCACCTCTTCTAGTGCAAAAGGTTTGTTTGTTGTATTTTTGTTTTCATTAAATTAATGATCTAGTTTTATTGTAAGCAAATAAGTTGGTATTTACTCTATATTTTAATCCCGGAGATGAAAATGAAGAATAAAATCTTTCATGTCTTGGGTCCGAGTCCGATGTGAAGCATCATGAATGAGCATTGCCAAGTAGTCACATCCTGGGACGAAACAGTCGCCCAGTGCTTCCAGGCTTTCAATGGTGATCTAAAATTGGTGAGTTTATGATCGCGATAAAAACTCAGCAATCCCCACAACCTTATACCAATAAAAACTAATGAACTGAATATCGTTCATTTAAGTGGATGAATTGACGGCATAGAAGATTGTCTTTGCTAGGTAATATTTAGATTTTATTTGAGGTCTGTCATTTTGCATTAATGAGGTCATTAATTCAATTTTCATAAACTGTCATCACTTGGTTACGTTGCATCATCCCAGGCTGTCAATATAACAACCATAAACTCACTATATTTTTTACCATATCAGTAAATTGGGTCGTTTTTAGTACCTTACTAACGATTAATTTGTTTTAATTACTTTTTTATCAAATCTACAACGAATCTATGAATAACAGAAATCATAAAGATATTTACATAAACTTGATACTGACCCACAGTTATATACTGTTTATTAACAAAAGAGTTGGTCCTAAGTGATTTACTTTGATTGAAACACTTTATCTTTACAGTATGAATCACATTGATTTTTTAAAATAACTTGTCTACTTTAAATGTTACATGGACTTGTAAGATGTTTAGGTATTTTTAACTGATCAGTAGGACTTCGAATACATTTGCATAAGATTAGCGAAACAGATAAATGATTCAAATTGTTTAAAAAAAAACAGTCATTAAGGATAGTGAACTGTCAATCTCTAATATTTACTTCAGCTTTAAATTTAGTTGATTCCATTACTGTTGTGTGTAGTCGTTTGTTTGCTTCAACTACGGTAATTGATGATTACGAACAACTGAGATTATTTTAAAACGAACAAAATCTATTGAGACATTGATATGTCAGCAACTGACGCACACAACTGTTCAGCAACAATTCTTAACGATGGAATCCAAGAAGAAGGGATTAGTACAGAAAAACTGTTTTATCCGAACGAACTATTAAGGAATATTAACTTCCAGGTCTAATTTATGGATTGCTATATGTATATTCTTACTGTATAATTAATAAGTAACTAGACTATATTTACATGTATGTCTTTCAATTACCCCATCAACTTCTCCTGTATGATTTGTCATTCTTAATTTGTTGCCAGTTTATTATTCATAGCTTTCCCTACTCCGTCGTTGCGTTCTGAACTCAACGGACAGGACAGAGAGAAAAGCTACTGAGTCGAGGACCAATGAGAGCTTAGCGTCAACTCAAGGTTATTAATGGTGCCTTTGTCACGTGATATTACTGAACGGACAAAAGTCATAACAAAACTTGATACCTTGTGAAGAAAACACCAAAGCGGAACAACATTCTATATATAGTAAAACAACAGGACCTTGAGATACAAGAAGGTCAGCGACCTAAATGAGACAACAGCTAATCAGAAAATAACAAAAGTAGTAAAGAAATACGAGTTAGGGAGATTTTATTTGTGGCTGTTCTTACAAGAAAGAATTACCGCGCAGCTAGATAACCTGAGATTTCCTTAACAATTCTTTTACGAGATCATCTGGTTTAAACGACTCAATCGATCCCCAATTGTAATGTCAAGTTGGAAAATAGTCTACAGTGTAAATTAGGAATTGCATTTGAGTTGAATATTAATTCTCCTTAGTTTTGTGATATTCCTGTGATGCACTAAGACTTCAATTGTCAGGCGACAATTAGGTTGAATGTTCATTCGTATTACTCACTTAAATTCACTAGTTGTTATCGTAACGATTAGCTTGATTTCTCCATTACCATTTCTGCTTAGTATAATTTCCACATAGTAAAATGTTTCTCTTGATCAAACCCCGATTTCATTATTTTTTACTTCTCCCTGCTATTCTTTATCTTGTCTTGTACAAAATGAACTCAAAGAGACTAAATTTTATTGTTACGAATTCATCTTTTGAAATACTTTGTACAATAACACTCCGAAAATTAGAATCAATTCCTTCCATTTTGATTATTATGTTTATTTCCACAAAAATGATTTTGTTTTAAGAGATTAAGAAACAAATTAACGTTTTCAGAAACCTAATGAGTCACATATTCTCCCAGTTACTTGCCTACAGAATAAAATATAAAGTTTTCTTTCAGGTTCTTGAAGCCGTAATGATTCTTCGAGGGGCTGATCCAAGTTGGGCTGAATCAAAAAGACAATTAGGTGAACAAGATTTTATTAAACAACTTATAAATTTCGATAAAGACAATATTAGTGATAAAACTTTGAAAAAAATTGGTCAGTATTGCTCACAAGATGATTTTCAACCTGATGTAGTTGGTAAAGTAAGTATAATTAATAATTATCATTGATACTGTCATTACATTATCATAATAGATAGAATAACAAAGAGGTAACTAAATGAAATGTTTGGCTTCAAACCACTCTATCGTATCAAAACCAAACAGGTGTATATTCAGTTAGTAACTGAGTTAGATAATGATATAAGCGTAAGCGTTAATCATAAGTAAAGGTGATATAAACCTAGATAATGGTTGATAATATTCTACCAACGACTACAACACTATGTAAAATGATGTTGACATAATTCACTTTGTAAAATATATGACCAGTAGTCAGTATTTCAGATATTTTATTTTAATTGTTATCATGGTTTGCTTTAGATTTTACTTATTAATTAGGTAAAAAACCCTTTCTGACGGTCATAAGTTTCATTGTCAGCACTTAACCTACAATTGAATAAATTTGTCTGAAATAATGAAAATCAGTCAGTGTGGCATGGTCAAAGTCAGTTCAGATGGGAATTTCATAAAATAACAAATACTGAACAACATGAATTTTTATGGGATACATAATCGTTTCATTCCTAGAAGAATATAGTATATGTTAAGTTAATGTTCGTTTATGCTCAAACTTGTTTAAAATGGCCCATAAATTAGACCTATACTAACTTTTGAGGTAATTTTTTAAGATACGGTTATGTATTCAGACCTCAGTCTATATTCTTCCGTCTCCCCAGCTCATTGGTATCAAGAACTGTCACAAAATGTGCAGGTCAGATCAGAGTTTACGAACTTGTACTTGGTAAATGAGCCACATTATTGAACTGACAAGACAGATTTATACATTTTCTTGCGACAATTCCTTATTTAGTCTTTTTTAGAATTATTTGGGATTTCATTTCAACCTGTAGTGCAAGTTTTATGATGAAAAGACAAATACGATGGAAGATAATTTATTTCTTGTCTCCTCAACCTTAAGCAACCAGATAAGTCACTGCATTTTTCTCCTTATAAGAACATTGTGATTCTGTTTATCCCCTAAAGGTAATTTCGATTGTCACACTGAATGTTAATCTTAGTTCATCATCATTCAAAATTAGAAAAGTAGATAAACTAATATGAAAGATGACATCTTTTATACTTATGAACTACACCAAGTGAAGTACAACAATTTTCACAGAGGTTTGAGGTTAAAGTTGAGTTTAAAATAACGAAGATCATTTGAAATTTTTTTAAATAAGATTTCTACAAACAAATTGTTAACAATTAAAGAGGGTTACTCATAATGCTTACAATTCTCATAGGTTTCAAGTGCAGCGAAATCGTTATGTATGTGGGTTCGAGCAATGGATGTTTACGGTCGTGTTTACAGAGTTGTGAACCAAAGCGTCAGAGACTTAAACAAGCTGAAGAAGTATTACATGAGAAACAAGCACAATTAGCAGCTGCACAAGCTAAACTTGATGAAGTAAATGCTGAAATGCGCCGTTTACAACAAGAATATAATGAAAAGGTAGATCATTGAATTTATTTTGTAAAATTTATTTCAATTTATGATAGTACTTATTATTTTAAATAGTCTACATATATTATAACTAAATTTATCCTTAAATAGGTAATAGTAAGTTCACAAAATTTACGGACGAGACTTGTTGACATTATGATTAACAAATTAATAGTTACATGTTCAAAATCCCTAATTTTACGATGCATTATGTAAGAATTATGATACCTTAGGAAATTAACTTACAATTTTACAACATATTTATGATCTGTTAGTGGGACATAGAACAATTAAGAGCAGAACTTTAAATACTGTAGTATTTTTTCTTAATCCAGGACATTACTTAATACTTGTTTACATAGATGTAATATTAAATACAAATGTTCACATCTATTTGATAAATTTTAGACGTTAAAATACAATCGTCGCAAGACTCAAATCACGCATAAAGGTGTAATTATATCTAGTTACTCAGTTTTGGATCACCACTGCTTACTCACTGACAAATAACCTGTTTACGCCCTTTCTTAAGTTCATAACATTTTAAAATCCTTCTTGTAACCTTTTATTTCTTGATTGTTAATTAATGAAACAACTTGAAACGATATATTTTAACATGGTGTTTACACTGTTATGTCTATACACAATTTCCAAGTGTGATTGCTTTAAATTCTCTTCAATATTAATATCGAACATTGGTCAGCATCCGCCTAAAAGTAAATAACGATCTAACTAACCCAACTAATTTGTAATCCTAACACAAATCTAATTTAACTCCTATTACTTAATCATGACATTATGAAATTATAGCCGATGTCGTTTGGTGACGAAAACCCAACATGGTTGTATCCCTATCTCATAACATTCGTGCAACTCTTAATATGTCAAAATTAACCTTCTTTATGCTAACAAATAATAGAGTTTGTAAAAAATTATGAATCATTTTGAAACAACTGTTTCATGGCAGTTTTATTGCTTCTCATCACTAGTTGTTTTGGAACTAGGAAACGCTTCTTGATTGGTTAATAAGTCTGTCAAGGTTGTCAGTATAGTATACACTTACTTCAAGAACTAGTTGGAATAAGAAAGCCTGTTACCCGCTTAAGAATATCGTAATTTCTGATTTAAAAATAGTATTCTACTGTATATGTTTGAGTATCCACAAACTTTTAAGGCTAGTCACAAGTCCTAGGTTTGATCTTTAAGTGGGTCTTGTGTGCCAACTTTCAATGGAGTATGTAATCTAAACTAAATTCCCATTCAATTATTAACTTACTTTTCACTCTTACTGCTGAAGGATTTACTTAACAGGTTTATACGCTTAATATGCTTACTATTCGATGTTTATTTCACTTTTTCTCTTCTAATATTATTTTCTTTAGATGGAACAAAAAGAAGAGTTACGTAAAAAAGCTGAACACACGGAGAAAATGTTAGACAGAGCTAGTAAATTAGTCAGTGGTTTAGCTGGTGAGAAACTACGATGGGAAGCTAGTGTTGCTGATCTATTACGTAAAATTGATCTATTACCTGGTGATTGTTTATTAGCTTCCGCTTTCTTATCTTATATGGGTCCATTTTTAAGTGAATATCGTGAGAAGTTAATTAAAAATTGGTTGGAATTAATTAGAACTGAGAGTGTACCAGTAACTGATCCATTTGTCTTTACTGAATTTTTAGCTGATCCAACACAAGTACGTGAAATAACATTCATTATTATTTTAACTATTTTTCGCAAGTTGTAGAAAATTGAATATGCGAGAGTAAATCATGTTTTAGGGTTATGATTTTTTATTAAATTAAATAGAAGCCAAAAATCCATATTTCTTTAATTGATAACCCAATAAAGTGGACATAGATAAGAGCGCTAACAAAAGGTATTTAGCATGGTAGTTTGATATTTTTTGTTCGATGATTAGCCTCAATTTACAGAGAACTGACAAAAGGCTTTAATACTGAGTTTTAAAGCATGGATAAAGTTAGTCAGTAACATGCAACTTCACATTTCCAGTTCGAATCGTTCGGTATAATATTCACAAACTTTGTTAGGCTTCATAAGCTCTTTCTAATTTGTCCCATTTTATTACCAACTATCTACACTCCATAGATTATTAAAAATATCTAAATTTATTCTAAGTATTATAGTGAATGCAATGAGTCGATACAGTGTTCATTTTTCCGTGAATATGAAGAATATCATTTCTATGACTTACAATATATTAAACTAAATTGTTTTCATCTTAGTTTACCCCACGGCTTCATAGCTTCTCGCTAATTCCATACTAACATTTTTTTTCATTTTTATACAAGGTTAGAGAATGGAATATACAAGGATTACCACGTGATACATTTTCAGTTGAAAATGGTGTAATTGTAACGCGAGGTAATAGGTGGCCATTAATGGTTGATCCACAAAATCAAGCTTTAAAATGGATTAAATCAATGGAAGGCAAAGAATTACGAATAATTGACTTACAAACACCGGATTATATGCGTACATTAGAAATTGCTGTACAACATGGTCAACCAGTTTTATTGCAAAATGTTCATGAACAATTAGATCAGGCTTTAGATCCATTATTAACTAAATCACTGATTAAAGTTGGCGGTACATTATTAATGAAATTGGGTGATAAAGAAATTGAATATAATGATAAGTTTAGGTCAGTACCGAACTTTTCTTTATTTCAATCATGAAGATATATTTTAAAAGTGTTACGTAAATTTCATTTATTATCAATTCATATTTTTTCCATTTACTCAATGGCTTACTCAAATGTTTAGTTTAAACGTCTGACGAGACTATGATTTATAAACGAACCAATCAGATATAAGATAATGAGCCTTGGATTTTGGCGCGAAACTCATCCATACATTTTGAAAAAAATATCATTTTGGCATTTATAGTTGATATCAGTTCGCGAATTCAAGATAGCTCTCAACAACAGGTTCCAAGCATTACAAGATCTAGTGAAAGAAGAAGAAACTACTATGGAGGACAACTGGAAAGGCATCAAGGAAGCATTAACTTCAACGTGTCAAGAGGTTCTGGGTCTAAAGAAATACCATCATAAGGAATGGATCTCGATAGAAACTCTGGACAAGATCAAAGAAAGGAAGAACAAGAAGGCAGCAATAAACAACAGCCGAACACGAACAGAGAAAGTCCAAGCACAAGCTGAATACATAGAAGCAAACAAACAAGTGAAGAGGAGCATTAGAGTCGACAAGAAGAAATACGTAGAAGAACTAGCAACGACGGCAGAAAAAGCTGCTAGAGAAGGAAATATGGAACAGCTTCACAATACAACGAAGAAACTAGCAGGGAAATACAGTAAACCAGAGAAACCGGTCAAAGACAAAGAAGGCAAGCCAATCACCGAAATTCAACAACAGTGTAACAGATGGGTAGAATACTTCGAGGAACTCCTGAATGGACCGGCTTCAATGAATCCACCGGACATCGAAGCAGCACACATAGATCTTCCTATAGATGTCAACCCACCAACGACGGAAGAAATTAGAATGGCCGTCAGACAAATCAAGAACGGGAAAGCAGCAGGACCCGACAACATACCAGCTGAAGCACTGAAATCAGACATCGAAGCAACCACAAGCATGCTATACCTTCTATTCAAAAAGATTTGTGAGGAGGAACAAGTGCCGATGGACTGGAAAGAAGGACCTCTCGTCAAGATTCCAAAGAAAGGAGATCTGAGCAAATGTGAAAACTACAGAGGCATTACACTACTGTCAATACCAGGGAAGGTCTTCAACAGAGTGTTGCTGAACCGGATGAAGGATGCAGTAGACGCCCAACTTCGAGATCAACAAGCTGGATTCCGTAAGGATCGGTCGTGCACAGACCAAATTGCAACACTACGGATCATCGTCGAACAATCAGTTGAGTGGAACTCATCGCTATACATCAACTTCGGCAAAGCAAGGGTCGCATTCCTACAATTGAAGAACATATGGAACTCAAAACAACTTTCAACCAATCTCAAAGTGAGAATCTTCAATACGAACGTCAAGGAAGTTCTACTGTATGGAGCTGAAACTTGGAGAACTACAACAACCACAATCAAGAAGGTACAAGTATTTATAAATAGCAGTCTTCGCAAGATACTCAACATTCATTGGCCGGATACCATCAGCAATAGCCTTCTGTGGGAGAGAACAAACCAACTTCCAGCTGAAGAAATTAGGAAAAGACGATGGAAATGGATAGGACATTGTTATGACTTTAAGTTGTGGTTGACTTTTACCCTGTGCTAATTGTTGTATCCTTGACTGGAAAATTAGAGAGCAGCGTACTTATCGATCGATTCAATGACACGTAAACACGTACGGACGGCCTAGAGTCTCGATTGGTCTCACTTCCCTGTCTAGCCCAGTCAGTTGAGTCCAGAACACAAGTCACAGCCTCGGAGATATGAATCATTATATTTCAAACATACTTTGTTTATATACCAATCAAGCATACCACATCGTACCATAAAATAGAAAACAACACTTTGTACAATATTCAACAAGTGAACAGATACCGACCAATAGGAAATGTCCATTTAAAGTCCAAGAACACCATTGGACTTAACATGATAATTATTGGTCTATTCTTCCGCATCCACAACAGACATACATTACGCAAATCGTCAAACTGCATCACGAGGCAAGCCCTAACTTGGAATCCTGAAGGAAGGCGGAAAAGAGGAAGACCAAGGAACACATTGCGTCGGATAATAGAAGCAGATATGAAAACAATGAATTACAACTGGAAGGAGCTAGGAAAAATTGCCCAGGACAGGGTTGGATGGAGAATGCTGGTGAGCGGCCTATGCTCCTTCACGAGGAGTAACAGGCGTAAGTAAGTAAGTAAATATCAGTTCGCGATGAAAACCATAAATCTAATTCCTAACCCTAACCATCAACTGTGAATCCTAATTCTAGTTCGTTGCCCTGGTTTATGACCCTTATTTAGTTTTAGTTAGTAGAACATCCTCAAGGTCACTTCGGTTTCGCTCAAACGTCGTCCATAAATTACAGTCTCACTAAAAGTCTGTTTAAAGGTTTTTCTATTCACTTAACTGTACTACAGTTTTTTATTCAAAGTCGTTATCATTTATTTTGATTTGTCTGACTCTATTACACTATAATTATCGTCACTCAAAAACTGCTTTTGATTTGTGGTTTATTACGTATCTTTTTGCGTAAGTTTAATTATTCATTTGGGTTTTGTTTTAAAGGTACTTAACGATAACCATTATCGTTAATGTTACTCTCACTTCGGTTTAATTTAGACATTTCGCACCAAGTTGGAAGAACAAATAACTAGTGTAATGTAAGGAATATAAAAATTTCTGAAGAACTTTCGTGGAATTTCTACTATTATTTTCAATCTATTGACAATAATCAATATGTTTATGAAGATTCATACTGATTAGTAGTTGCCTGACATAGGTTCGTCATGTTAACGTTAAAATGTAAAGTTTGTCCTTAAATTTTGTACTCTGTTCAGATAATTATTAATAAATATAAGGTGTTTCATACAGGACAGTTCAATTATCTTACTTACCAATTCAATATTCGTTATCACATTATGTGAATATTAAACCGTATTTACATCATTTTAAACTATTCTTCTTTAAAAGCGAATGAATTAAACTAAATTTGATATATTTTTAAATTCTAGACTTTATATCACCACTAAACTACCTAATCCTCATTATACACCAGAAATATCCTCTAAAGCGTTAATTGTAAATTTTGCTGTAAAACAACAAGGATTAGAAGCACAACTGCTTGGTATTGTAGTACGTAAAGAACGTCCTGAATTAGAAGAGCAAAAAGATAATTTAGTCATAGGGATTGCAGCTGGTAAACGTAAACTTACAGAATTAGAAGATGAAATTTTAAGACTGTTAAATGAAGCACAAGGATCTTTATTGGATGATGAACAACTTGTAAATACTTTGCAAACATCGAAAGTTACATCATCTGTAAGTCATTTTTTGATTAAATATTTTATTATTTATTGAGCATATTATTCTATTGACTGAATTCATGAATTATTGCTAACTTTCGCTTGATTCGTTTTATAAGAAATATTTTTGTTTCATTTGTTTAACTGAAGTTTTATTACTGAAGACTAATGACTGATAACAAAAGTAAACTTCATAATGTCCTAATAAAATCCTAGAGTACTTACTATATATCGATTTATATTTGAGAGTAAAAATATAATTGATGTACTGTAGTGAACAGAACGCCAGTGGGGACAATCGTATGTACTTAACACAAAACTACAGAACTTGTTAATAAAATCTAGCAATCATAAAGTAAATGCTTAATTTGCAAAATGTCCATCAATTGTCTCAAAATGACTTCATTGTTCTTGAATTTTCATACAAATTGCATTCTGTTTCCATTCTTTACTGTTCGATCCTCTTTTCTCTCTGCTGCCAGACATTCTGTTCATGACTAACATCATATACTACTTATGTCAATATAACTAGCACACACCACAGTACTACTAATTCACTGAAACTGAAGGATAGTAAACAACTAACTCCATCTGAATAGTTTAGGAGAAACTCATCTATAAAATGAATGAAGAAATTTAATATGCCCTAAACTACAATGGTTTTCCCATATTTAGTTAATTGTTGACAAAAACTGTATTTCACTTCAAGTTCAAATAGAATACAATGTAATATAATATTAATAGCATTTTACTCCATTATGGTACTGTTAAGCTAGTCAGGAATAAAAATATTTTTTATGAAATGAAAAAGTTTGTATTACATGAAGCTTCTGTAAGACTGATGAGGATTGTTTCACTCATTTAGCCTCCTCGATGAATCCATCACTAAATCTAAGGTACACTAATACTTTCATATATATCAGGTAGCTATAAAACAAAGGTTGGAAGTAGAAAGTATTTGACCTTCCATACATTTTCTCATATTTAATAAAACCTGAAAGTTGTATTATCTATATTTTTGCAAGTAACCGGTTTACAAGTACTGTTTTGACTGCTTTTCTGGATAGATTGAATTTAGTCTGGTCCTTGCCTTCTGTTTCTTTTTGTCTGGTTATTTTTTAAATTACTTTTTCGCTATCACTTTATTTTATTTTATCATTAACTCAAATTATGTGATACCTTGAAGTAACTCAGCAATAAGCTCCATCCCATATTTCATTGTTTATGTAACTAACATGAACATTTTAATATCGTGGTCAATACAAGATATCGATCATCTATATTAGCTTTTAATTTTGACTAGTTGGACCACTGAATCTGATATTTAGTAAATAAGTAACTTCCATGGAATATTCAAGCATCACTAATGATGGTTTACTGTATAATGTTTTAATTTAAACGTTTATTCTATGATGTTGTCTTCTGCTTTAGAGTATTTCTCAATATGAAAACTGAATTCTGTTTACTTTCTACCATGTTCATATTTTGTCTCATGAAGTATTTCAACCTTTTTTTCATCGTCAGGAAGTCACTGAACAATTGAATGTTGCTGAAAAAACTGAAATACAAATTGACAAAGCTCGTGAAGGTTATCGTCCATCTGCACAACGTTCTTCAATTTTATTCTTTGTATTGAATGATATGAGTCGAATAGATCCCATGTATCAATTTTCTTTAGAAGCATACATTGATTTATTCACTTTAAGCATTGATAAAAGCCCAAAATCAACAAAATTAGATGATCGTATCACAAATTTAAATGACTATCACACTTATGCTGTGTATCGTTACACATGTCGTGGTTTATTTGAACGACATAAACTACTATTTTCATTTCATATTTGCTTAAAAATACTTGAGTCAGCTGGTAAAGTTAATGAAGATGAATATAATTTTTTTCTACGTGGTGGTGTTGTATTAGATCGTGAAAATCAATTTGATAACCCATGTACAACATGGTGTACAGAACAATGTTGGGATAATATTACAGAATTAGATAAATTAGCTAGTTTTCATGGTATTGTTACATCATTTGAACAATATTCAAGAGATTGGAATTTATGGTATACATCAGCTGAACCAGAAAATAGTTCTTTACCTGGTGAATGGGATAATACAATAAATGAATTTCAACGTATGCTTATTGTACGTTCATTAAGACCAGATCGTGTATCGTTTTGTGCAACACGTTTTATTGTAAATAATTTAGGTAGTCGATTTGTTGAACCCCCTGTTTTGGATATGAAACAAGTAGTTGATGATAGTTCAACTAGAACACCATTAATATTTGTATTATCACCAGGTGTTGATCCTACAGCTGGTCTATTACAACTAGCTGATAATTGTGGTATGAGTAAGAAATTCCATGCGTTATCATTAGGTCAAGGTCAATCACCGATTGCTACACGATTAATTAAAGAAGGTATACGTGAAGGAAATTGGATATTTCTTGCTAATTGTCATCTTTCATTATCATGGATGCCAGCATTGGATAAAATTGTTGAACAATTGGGTATGGAAGAAATACATACTGATTTTCGTTTATGGCTTTCATCAAGTCCAAACCCAGCTTTTCCTATTTCAATTCTACAAGCTGGTATTAAAATGACTACAGAACCGCCAAAAGGTTTACGTTCAAATATGAAACGGCTTTATCATCTTATTAAAGTAAGTTATACTTTGATAAAGAAATTTAATTAGCATTGATTTAATTTAGTATATACGTATGTATATGTTTACAGTTCTAATTGGTGCAGGTTTATCTCGTTATTAAAACTACAGGTTTAGACCATTTTACAAATCCCCCATAACAACTCAATTATCGATTTCATTTATTCTACAGAAAAGATAAGGGCAAATATTGAAATCAAATGCCAACGTTCTATCATTAGTTTTTGTCTTAAAATGGAAACAAATGAGTTGTAATAAACATTTTCAATCCTGATAATGATCACCTTTAAAAAATCAGTCAGTGACAATAAAATCTTTGGGAACTTTTGGAATTTATGGTGGCTGCGATGGTTCACCTAGAATCAAACCACAAATAATTTATTATTTTTTCTTCCAAGAACTAAAAACATATATACTACATTTTTCAAAAGTGATCTCACTGCTCAGCCATATAAGATATTGCTGTAGTCAACATCTTCAAGTGTAAAAATTTTAAATTGACTAGATTTTCAGAAAGCTCCATCTACTATTCAGTTTTAAGTTCTTGAACCTGTTATTAATATCAAGGACTCCATCCGATCCTTCTCTTTTGAAATATGTTCAGGTACATCCAGCTGACGAATCCCGAATACGATTAAATGTATATCCTGGATTCCACTGCAAGTCACTAAACGTCTTTACTTAAAAGAATTTCACCTATTCTCTATAAATGTTAATTCTACCGAAGCTTTCAACCACACGAATGAGATACGTGGGAAACTGAACTCTAAAATATAATAATTTTTCTAGAGGACGGTTCTTTTATCTAGGAATAAAAATAAATTGATTACAAGCCTCAACTCGTGAGGTATCTGAGGCAATTACCATGTCTGTATGCCTGAAATGAGAAAGGCTTCCTGCAGTAATAACATAAAGATTCATTACAACATACGACAGCGTAAATGACAGCTGATACCTGTGTCTAATGTTAACTGTAGTTTACTAACAACCAAAATGGGAAATAAGAACATGCAAATATTGAAACTGTTAGGTTTAAACAAAGATTCAGCGAATATATGAAACTGGAAATGACTGTTCCTGTGGTTAATAGGAAGTAATATTAATGATAAATACATTAAATATTATAAGTGTTTACAAATAATTTATGATATTACATAACAAACAAATGCGTTACACCTCATGCCTAGAAATTAACAAGAATAAAACTGTTTACTGATTATAATTAAGTAGTATGAAATAACATACAAGTAAGAATTTGGATGGTGGTAAACTAGGGACAGAATGTGCTAACGAACTTAACAAAACATTAAGTCAATGGACATAAATTTAATTTTTTATTGAACTTCATTGGAGTTGATATTTTATTTTTATGAACTTAAATATATACACATACATTTACTTTACAGGAAGATCAATTTTCCTTATGTCAGAAACCAGAGAAATATAAAAAACTCCTATTTTCATTGTGCTATTTTCATTCAGTATTATTGGAACGCAAAAAGTTCCTTATGCTCGGTTGGAATATTCCATATGAATTTAATGATTCTGATTTTGAAGTATCTGAACATTTGTTAACAAATTATTTAGGCCAATATGATGAAACTCCATGGGATGCATTACGCTATTTAATTGCTGATATTAATTATGGTGGCCATGTTACTGATGATTGGGATCGTCGTTTATTAAATACGTACATTAGTGATTATTTTAGAGATGAAGTATTGAAAGAACCATTTTATAAACTATCGTCACAGCCATATTATTATATACCAAGAGATGGTACATTAAATGCTTATCGTGAATTTGTTACACTTTTACCACAAATTGATCATCCAGAAGCATTTGGTCAACATCCTAATGCAGATATCACATCACAAATTCAAGAGACACGAGTTCTTCTAGATACATTGCTTTCATTGCAACCTCAAGTAAGAAAATCTTGTTCATTGTCTATTGATATGACTTCATTATAATATTTTTATCATGAAGTTAAGGATATTTACAAATATTTTAGCGGTATTTTTATCCTTGCAGTTAATCGAAACGAATAAGATCAAAGCAAATTTTTCAGAAATCTCAGTAAAAATATTAAAAGAAAAAGCATTCTTCACGGTACAGAAGTGTCCTTAAAGTAGATTCTACGCGAGGTTGTGGATATGAGTTTCTGTAGCTTCTCACTAAAATGAAACACGCATCTATTACAATTTTGATTCTTTTACTAATGCTAATACAAAACAAAATGAAACAAAGAAAATTTTCTATTGTCTCAAATTTAATTTTTGTATTGACTTTTGAATTTGTGAGGAAAAAACAATTTTTGGAGTAAACTATTCATGTATCTAAAATTGATACTGCATAATCGAATTTTTGTGTCTTAATGAACTTTTCGATTACAGTAATTTATTCAAACTGTAACAAACTTGGGATATACAAGATATTTAAGGGAGTAACACCAGTGATATGATGGTTCACTCAGCATTAAGTATATTCACTAAGCCTAAAATAACCAATATTTTTTTACATTTTATAAGCAGTTTGTAAGTTAAATAGGATATAATAAATCTCAAAGGCAAGTAGCTGATTCGCTAGTAAAAATAAGAACTTATACCATTACATAAAATCTATAGTACGTCGTTAATTGAACTACAGTATAAGTTACTATCTATTTTAGAGGCTGATATACATGGGAGTTACAAACTTGACATCTCTCTAAATCATTTTATCATATAATCGAAGTTTTCGGGATCCATTCATCTCTTTAATGGCTGCTCAACAGGCGCTTCTATGTGATTTAAAACTATACTGAATTTCTGGCGTTTAATTATCCTGTTTCATAATCCTTTCGTAAATGTATTTTCAGGTATCACAAGGTACAGGTGTTTCACGTGAAGAAAAAGTTCTTGACTTAATTGATAATTTACAAAAGCAGTTGCCTGGAGATATTGATTTTGAAGGTACTATGAAAATGTTTGCAACAGATCACTCACCATTAGTGGTTGTTCTACTGCAAGAAATACAACGTTACAATCACCTTCTTGGTTTAATACGCAATCAACTATCAGATTTAAGTAAGGGTATTCAAGGCTTGGTTGTAATGTCATCAGAACTCGAACAGATATTCACTTCAATTTTTGACGGACATGTTCCAAAACAATGGAGCAAGGTAAATTTACAAATCATGAGATTTATCGGCATTATCTGATATTGTGCATGTATATACTTGATTATCCTAAAACTAGTATATATAATTATTTCTTTATTTATAGATTTATAATCATCCTAGCTACACTTTGAACTTTAGCTTCAACCAAGGCCTGACATAAGGACTGATCAGCTTCCTCCTTACTAGAGATCTCTCTGCCGTAATCACCGGCTATGCCACACTAAACTAAATCCAGGACACTGAGGTCTCAAATTGAGTACGGTATTTTTAGGGCACTAAATTAGAATCTGTTTGACTACATTAACGATTTTGATCAGTTCGTAATATTCTGTGATGGTTTTTTCAGTAATTTTGTTAGTAACTATCTCATTTTTTGCAAGGTTAAGTTCTACCTGTTGTAGTTTCTCGTGAACATCTCATTTCATCTTGGAACTAATCAATGGTAAACAGATTTTTATTTTAGCATAAAGGGGTTTGTGGATATTTTCGACTTAAAATTAGCTCCCATCACAGACTGCTGGGTCCCAACTCATATCCCTGACAATGATTCCGTCAAAAGCCATTCATGAACACTCCTTATATGTTCAAAATCATAATGAAAGCTCACTGGTAACCTTAGTGACTTGCCTGTATATATTTATTTCCTATGTCAATAAAGAATATCATAAGGTCGTGTACGAACGGCTGTCGTGATAATCATGGTCACTCATTATCACAAAACTACAACTTATCTATTATCTTACTATAGGGTAAATTCTAAATCATCCAGTTGTAACGGAGTGAATATTGTGAAAACTGTAATTTTTTAATTTCGTGCGAACAAGTATTGTTCATACTTTGTTGTATCAGACGCTTGGACTATTGCATTTGTACACTTTTTCATTTATTCGTTTTCATGCGGTATATGAACTGTTGATTTGTGTTTTACTTTCCTTAAGTTATTATTAATTAATTACGTACCCATTATGCAGTCTCGTTTTTATTTATGGTGTACGTATGTTCACGCTGTAGTTTATTATTCGTGTTGCCGAGTTTTTAGTCATAATAGTAATAGCACAATAGTGGTCTTATCTGCTTGTTGTGTCTCTTAACGAGATTAAGAGAGTCATGCTTCTGACACAATAGACGTTACGTCGGCCACAGCTAAAAGTTATCGTTACCAGTCAAAGCACATAATTAATCCAAGTAATGGATATTAGTCTACGTGAAGGGTAAGTTTACTTAAGGTAGAAAAGTATAATTCGGATTGGTTAGTTATATCGAATGTTATTAATTCATTCTTCATGAAATATCCGTTTAGAGATTTTAGTTTATAAAATTGTACTCTTCAAAGTTAATAAAACTATCTAAGTAAATGAAGGTCTCAGAATGTTTAATAGCTTCGTTTCTGCTACAAAACTAGACATGAATGTAAACCAACTGCAGAGAATCATTTTTTTTCTTTTCATCGGGAAAATTATCTCGGATATTTCCAGGCTTTGATTCTAAATACTTAGGAGATCGGGTTTCATCGCATTCACCAATGCGGGAAGTAATCGTTGCACTCTGAGTTGAAAAACAGCTTATCCCATTCTATACTAACCTTATTGTCAAAAGTTCGGCAAACTTTCGGGTTTGGAAGTATATGACAAATGTGTTGTAGAGTGATTCAAAATGAACAAATATAAGGACCAATACTATCGGCACATATTGTAAACTAGTTACATTCCATACAACTTAATTCGCAATTGAAATTCAGTCCACAACTACCAGCTTAATATTACATAGTACAATAATTTTCAAGTTATGAATTATTATTCCTTTGCTACAGATAACATAATTTTCTGTCATTTTTTCAAAAATCTATTTTAGACATATTCTTCACTAAAACCTTTAGGTTCATGGGCAAGAGATTTAGCAGCACGTGTTGAATTATTCGCTAAATGGGCTAGTACAACACATCCACCAAAATTATTTTGGATTGGTGCATTCACTTTTCCAACAGGTTTTCTTACAGCAGTTCTACAAACATCAGCAAGAAAAAATAATATTTCTGTAGATAGTTTAAGTTGGGAATTCAATGTACTTGCTACAAGTGATCCTAATGTTTTAGTCACTCCAAAAGATGGTGTCTATATAAGTAATTTATATTTACAAGGAGCTGGATGGGATAGAAAAAATTATTGCTTAATTGAAGCTGCACCAATGGAATTAGTATGTCCAATGCCTGGTGTACATTTTAAACCAGTAGAAAATAAAAAGAAATCATCTAAAAGTAAAGTATACATTTTATTCATGAGTTGCTCAATGTTTCATTTACTTGATATGGATTAAACTAACGATTATTTTTGCCTCACTCCTAGTAAACTATAAGCGTAATCTAGTAATATCTTTGCAAAAAATATTTATATCAGTATGGGGTTGTGGCGACTATTAAGTTTTTGATTGAGATCATGAACCGATTGATGTTAGACTCCTCAGCAGTGCGCATCCACGATCTTGTAGCGTGGTGTCGAGTCGAGATTGACTATGAACACCACTACAAAGGAATGCGTGCCAGGGTATCCATAAAATCCCCCGGGAGCCAAATATCAGAACCAAGTCGAGATATATTTGCTGGCGATCTCGTGGTATCGAAAGGATACCGAGATCGTGCCAGGATACAAGCTTGGTTACAGAACGTAACCGAATTCGCGCGAGGTCACAATCAAAGTGTAGGAATAATGGATGAACCGATAGAAACAATGGTACAATTTATAACAAAGAACGGACTTACTAAATTGCACCAATATATCAATTGTTTGTGAAATATCGTTATTTATTATGAGTATTATCGTTACGTTCAATGTTTATGAGATAATGTACGCGTAATTAAAATAATGATATAATAAGTCCACAATTATGATTATAATCCAGATGATAATCCGAATTGAAAGAGAGCGTGTTGAATTTTCGAAATTAGTTTGTGTTTGCACGTTGGGATCACCAATTCTGTGGTGGTCGGTACTCAATATAATCCTTAAACTTTGTATACAGTTCGTCCTGATAACAGTAACTAGATGACGCCCCAACTGTGTATTAATCAGAAGGCGAATACGAAGCGTTGATTAAGTTTATTATTGCACCACTCATAGATAACCCAAATTACAGGTACGCTAAGCAAGCGTGAAAGAGTGGTGCTGAAAATCAAGCAGGTGAGCGAGTCGGCGAGTCAATGAACAGGATTAAAATGTACGTATATATATATATATATATATATATATATATATATATATATATATATATATATATATATATTGTGTTCGCCAGTTAAATGTTAGCAGTTCAGTAAATGAACATCTGAATAGTGTACATTCTTTTCGTTGTATATTGCCAGCAACCATATTGTCTATTATTGAGTTTTTTGTAACTTTGACAACGAAAGGTTGTACACTTTTCAGAAACGCAGCAGAATAGGTTATGCGATTAATAAACATAATGGTATATTAAAACAAACAAAAATAGATAACTTGTTGAAATATCTGAATGGCAGGAACAGGTAGCCCAGATGCTCAAGCAAACTGCCCTTTATAAAATGAATATGTGGGTAGGAAGTAATCAATGCTCAAGCATACATATTCATACAAGTGAAACAATAATAAAGGTAAAATGCTTTAGATAAGTTGTTATTGTACGGATGACTGTCCGTCAAATAAGTTAACAAAAGTGCTTTACCAAATTGGTTGTGAAGATTCTCAATAGCACGTGAGATTCGGTATGCTGTTTAATTTAGCATGTTTTTGTTTCTCAAACAGAAACACTCTGTTGTGTGTCAAATAAGTTAACAAAAGGGCTAAACCAAATTGCACGTGAGATGCTATAAAATTGTATTTTTCTAACTGTTTGTATATGACAGGTTTATCAATTGATTTCAATATTTATCAAGACTGAAATATTCCTTTGAATGAAATAATCTTCGTCTTATAATTCGAACTTATCGTGAATATTATGATATCGTTTTTAGCTTGATTATGAAATGTAATTTGCATTGACAGTTTTATTTCTAACCCAGAGATATTACGATGATAGAACTTTGAGTAAAATCAAAACTGTATCTATTGTATATCACTACACAACGTAATACAGTCTTCGAGGCACCAGTTTACTTATTTGTAAAGATTTACATTGATTACTATTTCATTGTAAAATATTTCTGCTCATTTTTTCTAGATATTTATGTAGCTCCATGTTATTATTATCCGAATCGAGCTGGTACAACAGACAGACCTTCATTTATGCTTGGAGTAGAACTAAAAACCGGTGAAAAACCACCTGAACATTGGACTAAACGAAGTACTGCACTTCTGATGAACTTGGACGTCTAATATTAAAAATCATGACAACAATGGAGTGTATCTATAACTTACGATTTTTTATATCATTATTTCTATATTCTTTAGGTAATTGATAAGACCTCATCTAAGAGGTTATTTTTGCTGTTATTAAATATAATTTCAACAATGTCCAAATATACTATAGTATTTGTGTCATTAAAAGTTATCTAACTGTGAAAATTCACTTGTTGTTTTACTCGTATCTTCTCATTGTTATTTAGGAATGCAATTGATCAATCTCTTTTTGACATATGTGCGTATCACCTCGATATAGCCTTAAGTTACAAGCTTTTCAAGCAAAGATGGATAGTAGCTGGCAGTGGAATCCAGGACAAGTCCCAAATAGAACGAAACGCGCGTCCTGGACTCCACTGCTAGCCATTATCCATCTTTGCTTAGTTGAGAGTGATTTCCGTAGTTTTAATTGAATGTTTACTTATTGGTTTAATGACAGCTGTAAAATCCACGATTAGTGATTATTAACATTTAAAATGGCTAATTGAACATAACTGCTTCTCGCTATTTCTACTGTCATTCTATTATCACTGATCGCGTCAAGTGTATGTAGTTACTAAGTCGCTTAACACCCATAAATTGCAATGGATTATATATTTAATTTCCAACCGTGAAAACATAATGCAATTCGTACATACATTTATGGACCGTCTTTAGTTAAACTGTCTTTGGAAACCAGGAAGCACTAGACAGCTTTTACTGCTTAGGACTGGACTACTCAATAATGCTATCCGAGATCACACTTGGCAATAAACTTGGAACCTTCGTGTCTAGAATCAAACACTTGACCTTCAAACTACCGAGTTGGTATCCCATTGTTAAGATTCATAACTTCAGCCAACCCCATTAACTAACAATTATCCAGTTTTTATCAGCGATTACATGTGAGAAGTGATACCCAGAATTTTAGACAAGCAGCAGCTAGTGAGGTCCAATCAAGTCGGACGTGAAACTCAAGGCATTGGATAATGGTCGCCAATTTTGTTGATTGCCTTTAGTTAGGAATGTAAACCACTAGATCGTGCTTATCGTTAAACCGGAAGGTCGTGATTTTTATTTTTGATATGGTAGTGAATGAACACTGCTGAGGGTCGTCACAGTGGCACGAAACGGATGTCCAATGTTCCAGTTTTCAATAACTATCTAACCAAAATCAGATCGTAGTGTAGAACTGCATACTTAGCAAGCCCCCACGCTGACAGTTCACGGATTTTCTTAATAGAATGCTTGTTATTTAATGTAACATAGGAATTCATACTACGTCAATTCCCTGTGAAATACGCTTTATTGACTATTCATTATAACGGTTGGTTTTCCACGTTTACATGTATGGGACATTAATTTACCTTGAACGAATATCTACACTAGATCCCCTTTCAGTGTCTATTTTACAGGACTTCAACACAACTCACATCAAGAACATGTGATTAACCTGATCACAACGTAAATATATTTCCACACCAAACCCGACACAATCCAAAAACAATGAATAATTAATAACAATAATTATAGGGATAGGGGAATATATAACTCACCTGACACCTGTCAAACTATCTATATATCTGACTAAGCAGACAGCCAATCATTCTCGCCCACACATCACTATTCCTCATAGTAAACTGGTTTGCAACCCAGTTTAAAAAACTCAATGAGCTGTTTTCATCATATGCAGTATATAAATACAACGAAAGGTTCACAAGTAAATCATCCAGCCAAGAGAACACAACACCCTCAATGTCTTTATCCTGAGCCACAAATATTTCCTTATCATTTAGTTGTTACAGCGTGCTGTATCAGTTTAGTGGAAGGGAAGAGAATGATCCCTACTAAATCTACATAGGGAAATCATAACTTTGATAGGAGAAAGTTTGGGTGATAGGGGATTTCGAGTAAAAAACGTTTCTTACTCAGAAAATATAATAAATCTGTACAGCCATGAGTCCCAGCAAAATATTTGATCGAAATAGGTGTATTTAAACTACATGGTGCCTGTTAAGTGTATCGCGGCAGTACACAAGCATCCAAGTTATAAACGCATCGAATTTCAGGCCTTAAATTTATCCAAAACTTACATTGTTTTCTTTAAGAATGTATATTATGAATACTTTACTGCAAACTGAACCCATGAAAAACACGTAGGATAAGGTGTAAATGATATATCTGCTAGATCTTTCCTCACTACCTTTCCCAATAAAAGACTTACAAAATTTAATACACTTACGGACGAAAATATATATCTTTGAGATCAATAAGCCGCTGTGTATTCACCATAACACCCGCATCACTTGCGCCCTTAATCACCTCTTGATAACTTAACCTTTACTCGTTCCTTCTAACGAAGACGGCTATAATGTCGAATTTCAACCCAAACGCGTAAGTTTATGGATCTCAGTGTAAAATGTGCTAACCAGATCATAGATCCTATCAAATCGCAGTCTACTGAATATTTTTCATTGTAAATACTACCGCTTTCGGGATACATCTTACTTTTTTCGAAACTGGTACTTTGAACAAAAATCTTGATGCTATTAATAATGATATGGAACGAAGTTTAATGGTAGGTCCATCCAGTTTCAGCAAATGTTGGTCATTAATTCTGAAAGGACACTGAATTTCTATTGTTACCCTTAAGATATATACATGTCTCATAAAGTTTGACATAGACCCAAAGTAATGAATTGAAATTCCTTTTTTGCTATAAAATAACAATTATATGTAGAACAAACACTGATTTAGCATGGCAAAAGATAGATGGGGGATGTTATATATTTTCAAAGCATGTAGAGAAGTACTATACCTTTAAAACTTCTTTATTAGCTAATTCCTTAGAATACAATGATTTTTTGGCAGTGTAAATCAAACTTGGATTTCGACCAACTAATAATCATCTATAACGTGCTTACGACACCATATGAAGTTAAACTTTAGGCAGAATCAGTGAAACATGGCCGGTAAGAGTAGACGATATTCGTAGGTTACTAATAATCGATCATAGATGTCTTCGAAGCATTGCTCGTATATCCTGGGACCATCGAGTAAGTAACGCAGTTGTTAGGAAACGGGTACTAGGTAAGGATGGAAAATCGATTGACAAAGTGGTGAAACTTCATCAGTTGAGATGGCTGGGACATGTGTTACGTATGCCCAACCACCAACTGCCTCGACGTGCGATGTTCAATGGTATAAAAGTAGGTTGGAAGAAAGTTAGGGGCGGCCAGACCAAAATATGTCACAAGTCCATGAAGTCACTGACAAGTGGACTGAGTCATGTTGGTAGGTGTAGACTACCTGGTTGGGGACCGCGAGATGATAGCAACCGGTGGTCAGAGACCTTGAATGATATGGCTCAAAATCGTTCGCAATAGCGCAGGTGCATCCAATCTTTGTGTTCTCTCAAATTGTAATCTTTCGAATTTTTCGTGTTCCTTCTTTTTTTCTCTTTCCAAATTTATTTCACTGGATTATACCCCTTGAATAACATCTTCAAGCCCTAATCTTTCCGATTACTGCTTATACTATTACTACCTCTACCACTACGAGGTTTGAATCGACAACTGCATCTCTGTGCTAATGTGGTATGGCGACTCGAACTAATGTACGTACGTACGTATGTACGAAGTTCTACGTTGTTACTGACTGACTTTAGGAAATTTTATGTATCACGTTAGGACATACTCAACGAAGTACGGAATTTCTCGAATCTTTCTTGATAAAATTAATTCATTTACAGCCATATGCACACTAAGTTCATTTTTAAGAAATTGTAATCATCACAAGCAGAGGTAAACGAAACTTATAACTTGCCAGAAATAACAATGAACATTTTTTACACATTTACAATACATACATGTTACATTACAACTATACATTTTAGAAAGAGTCTATTGAGTGAAATTCGATTTAGTTGCGACAAACCAATGTTCATTTTTACCTACAAATAACAAAATGAAACGACAATCAAACAAGGAATGGAAAGTACACAGTTACGGAACTATTCAACTTGACTTTTAACTGATCGGCAGATAAAGCCTAAACTGAATATTAAATCGTGAGCCAGATATTCTAAACATAGTACATATAAACCGACCCTTTGCACTTATTCTTAAGTAGCTACTATATGTAGCAAACAGTTGAAGAAAATGGTCGCTGATAGAAACTCTGCATAGATTTAAAATATTTGATTATCATGTATTAGTGTATCCTTTCAATAATGTCACTAACAGGCTAGCTTTCCTTTTAACGGTCAAGTACAGAATGTGGCGATGTATTGGGTAACTGTGCGAAATGAGACAACTATCTCAATATGTGTAGTCGCTTGTGTGATTTAATTAAAAAGTAATTAACAGTTATGTTAGTACCCAGATATTATTGAAGGAAGATGTATTCAGCTTGAAATTTAATTAATGAAAGCTATAAAAGTTCAGTAATTAAATAGTACCATAGACGATTCTCATTTGAACTGAAAGTTCATTAAACCAAAAGGCGACACGATCGTTGAAATAATTCACTGTTTATCTAAATGAGATGAATTACAGGTGTTTAAGTTAATATATACAAGATTCCAGGAGTCCGCAGCTCGTAGCTTAAAATAACAGTACTCGGAATCTATTATACTTGTACACACTCATTTATTCTCTTTATTTGATATTTCTAAAAGTCTGTTGTGATGGAAGGACACTTCCGGTGCGAAATTCGATGAATAAAATATGGGCAACAAAACAATAAAATAGTATATCAGTTACATGTTCATGTAATACAAAATAACGAGTATATTATATGCAGACTGAACACCTTATGCGGTTATCTAACTTTGTTGATTGCATGTTGAGGGCATAAATATCAAAGCCAAAGCCCCTTAAAGTAAACAAAAGATAACAGTGAGACAGATTAACTTAGTAGGGAAATAGAATAATTTATACACATATACAAAAGGCTAACTTACCTAGTCGTAGGATACCTAAACCGGTGGTTTGATC